GCCCAAAGCAGCCAGTATCAAGTGGCTGGAGGAGGTAGGACGAATATAGAGGTATATAGAGTATAATAATATTATTCTGCTGGTAATAGAGCTCGAATTTAGTCGAGTAGTGGCTTTTATAGCCGTCGAGGATTAACAACCGGTATTTGCCTTTTATACAAGGTGCTATATAGAAGTTAAAGTGCTTGATCCAATCTAGGCCTACTTCATTGGTAGTCTAGCCATTGTCAGTAGTTGCAATACGCCAGTCGGCCGGGAGGTTATACTCAGTATACTAGTTGGCAAGGTAGTATTGTACGGCCAAGATGATAAACGGAGGGATGGCCCAGCCAAGGGCATTGACTCCCTGGATCAACATTACCTACTTACGGTTGCTAGGCTAGGCCAGCTTTGCCTTGCTACGACCATCCGAGGTTATAACCACTATACCTATAAAGATAATACCCATTATAAACCTAGTCTCGTCAAAGTTATAGATATCGTCATCTATAATACCATACTTGGCCTTGACATTCCATACAAGGGCAAAACCACTCGCCAATAACTTTTGGATCCTCGCACTTCGCCCTCTGGTAGTTATATCTACATATATAACGCGTTCGGAGCTCTGGCTGGCGTTTGACAAACCAATGCACCCAGAGCTTGCCAATAGGCGGCGCGTCACGTTCGCGTAGCAGATGGTTGGCCATATCTTCTATACCACTCAATCTAGGTGGGAATGCGCGTATAGAGAGGTCAATCACATACTGTACTATTGCCCTCTCTTCTAGATCGGTGAGCTTACGCGAGTTGGCTAGAAGATCGCGTCTTGCAATACGGCCGGCAAGTCGACGGCGGATAGTTCGGTCGGCAACGTTATAGATCTTTGCTACGGCGCGTATACTTAGTTCCGGGTTCTTCTGAATAGCCTCAATGGCCAAGATTACCCTAGCTTCATTTGAAGTAGGAGGCATATTGGGTTGATGAAAAAATTGGTGTTAAGTGCAGAGGTGACATGTAGTATAGAAAGGTGCGGCGCTCGGTGATATGCGGCGCTCGCTGATAATATACGTTATATTATAATATATAAGAGTATTACCTTATCTTTCACTATAAGGTTATAGTTATAGAGGACGCTTGCAAGAGATATTACGTATCTGGCTTATAGGATCCGCTCTAGAACTTAGCATTTATTAAGCTACTAGAAAAGACCTTAGTCTGGCTTAAATAAGAGAAATAGACGGGTAGCGAGGTTCCTTTCTAAGATCTTGTAGAAATCTCCTCGATTAAGGAGCTACTAATTACCGTTTATAGAGCTCCCTAGTTGACTAGACCCTCAGTTGTTAGCGACTATACGCTAGAGTAAGTTAACTAAGGTGATAATCAACTCTCGGGCGGTCCGGCTTATCGGAGGTTCACTACTAAGTGACCTTTAACTAAGCGGGGTAGCGGAGATAACGACTAGCCTTGTGATGACTAGATGCAATTGAACAGGGTCAAGCCGGCTGTTGTTGTCATTCTATTTCGTGAATCTAAGGTTGAGGAAAGGAAAGAGAAGTTCTGAGTCGGTGGCTCAGAACATTACAAGAAGATATTCCTGATTTGTGGGTCATGTGACCGGTGCTCCACAACAGCCGTCAATCAGGGAGGTTGTGGGTTCGACCCCCGCCTAGGGCGACACCCATACCGACCGTGACAAGCCTCTAGAGGGGGTTACCCAGAGTTATAATCATTACATTTGTTATCTAATTATAACGTACATGATAAGCGAATGACACAGACAAGCGAATGACATACAAAATCGAACCTTCGCAACCAAAACTCTATCTATCCCACCACAATAGCTCAAAACAATTGAAACTACTTAGTCTCATCTTCTTCAGATATTTCTACAACTATCTGACAGGTGCGCGCATTGTGGCCGGGCTCCCTGCAGTTGCCATAACGCCGCGCACGCGTCTCGGTCCTCGGCTTCCGACTACTACCCGCCTGTGTTTCCTCCTTGATCTATACCTCTATCTCTCTCTGGCCCTGTAAATCCTATATATCCTATACACTAAGCGATCTTCCTTGCCGAAGACGTTGTTTCTTTACCCTCCGGCGCTTGCTTAGCGTCTTATTTGCTACTCGAAGGCTCTGGTTCTCTGCCTTTAACAATGCCAACTGATGTATTATCTTGGACGTCCCTTTCGCAAGGACATCAATAGCTCTAAGAATCTTAGTCGGCGAACTATTCTAATGCCAGGTAATTTGATTTCTAATGAGATTGGTCTATAAGAAGGCTTTAGTCAGGTTGTTTGGCGTTTTAAAGACCTAGGTGTAGGTACTGCTAGGCCGAGAATTCGAGGGTGATAGCGTCTTAAGCCGGATGTCGAGCTGGGAGATTACCTTGTCGGGGTCAAAAGGAATAAGTCCGGCGCCTTGGAAACCTCCTTGAATGTTTTTACGTGTTATTGCCGCCTAGTAAGCTGCGAAGAAGGCGGGAAAGAAGTCCTCCTTAGTAATATAGGTTATACCGGCCTGTATTATCTCCTTAACCTGCTTTCTATATACTACTTTAAATAGGCTAAAATACCTAATATTAGCTAGCTAGAGGATATAAGATGAGTGGGGAGGTATATAGAGAGTAATAATGTTATTCTCTTTACAATAGACCTCGAAGTCGGTCGAGTAGTAGCTATTATGGCCGTCGAGGATAAGGAGGCGATAAACCCTAGCTGTTCGAGCTCTAATATACTTATCGAAGTATTAAATCTATTTAAGGCCTCTCTTATTGGTCGTCCAACCATTCTTAGATATTGCGATAACCTAGTCCTTTGGCAATGAGCTATTCTTATACCAAGAGGAGAGGTAATATTTGCCCTGGACGATAATAAATAATAAGACCACCTAGCCAGTTGTATTAATGCCCTAGATTACTATTGCCTATTCCCGATTGTTAGGCTGCTTTGACTTTACCCTGCTATACCGTTTGGAGCTTATAACAACCATTGCGGTTAAGATAATACCTATCTAAAACCCGGTCTTGTCAAAGTTATAGATATCTGCCTCCTAGATACTATACTTTGTGATTATATTCCGTATAAGTATAAACCAGCTATAAATAGTTTCTAGATCTTTATATTTGGCCCTCTAATAATTATATTACCAATTAAAACGTATAATAAGTTATAATTGCCGTTTGACGAAGTTATAAGCCTAATGTATCCCGACGTATCCTATATCGCGTTCGGCAAGTAGTCGGTTGGCTATATCTTCTATACTAGACAAGCAGGGAGGAAATCCTTTCGTATCTAGGTCGAGGATATATTAAACAATTATTGATTCTTCCAAATCAGTCAACTTCCGCGAGTTGGTGGGAATATCGCGTCGTGATTTCATGCCGTGTTTGCGACGACTTATTTTTTGGTGATCTACATTGTAGATCTTGCCAGCAGCTTGAGCGCTTAGATTCGGGTCATTTTGCATTGCCTGAATGGCTAAGATCAACTGGGCATCATCGTTTTTGTAATGCATGTTTGTATTGTAAAGAGAATCAAGGAAGAAGCTGAGAGATATATAAGTCCGATGTCGTGTGTCATTCGCTTGTCTGTGTCATTCACTTGTCTGTGTCATTCGCTTGTCTGTGTCATTCGCTTATCATGTACGTTAGTTATAACTAAAGTATAAAATATACCTACGTCCTTAAGCAGAACCTTTACCAAAGGGCTATGTCTATGGCTAAAACGAGCACTAGGATGGCATATAAGGCCAAGTTTTGGTTGTTCTTAAGCTCGTACAGACATAACCAAGCTAGGTGCCGTAACATTTAGGAATCCCGTTCTCTAGCTATCATTGTACCATTGGTTTTATATAATGCTAGGTTGCATTCAGCGATTAACTAATGGGTATTGAAAAGGCTGTTATTGACGTCACCCGAAGTAACAGGGGTGTTAAGGTGCTGGAGCATAGAATTAGGTAGTCCCTCCGCGTCGTTTTTGTCCTTGGTCAACTTATTAAGAAGGTTGTCGCAAGCGCCTTTGATTCTTTGAACGTTTTCCGCTTGTACCTTGAAGAAGGTTACAAGGCATGTTTCTGGGTCTAAAAGGTCATTCCCGTTGCGTAGAAACACAAAATGGAACAAGGGTCTAAGGAGAGCTGGGCTTGTCGGCCCTCTCGTTGGCTGGGTGATAGCATCCAAGTCTCGCAAAACGAAGAAGAGCTTTCTGTTCCTGCCAGTCAATACTTGATCCACGCCCAGGTCGTACTTTCCGTAAACGGATGGAAGCACTAACGCCAGCTTCCATGCAGAACGACATCTTTTTGAGACAATCTGGACGCGGATGCTGACCTAGGCCCGTTTGGCTACAACCTTCGCATCAAGATTATCATCAACCTCGGTGACCAAGCGCTTGATGCAGGGTCGACACTGTGCAACCCCCACGCCAAGTATGGCATACCAATTGCGCAAGACGGTGCGGTGCTGTATGTGCTGTGTGCTGCATGCTCCCAGGCTGGTTATGTAGTGTCACTACCCGTTTGCAACCAGAAACACACCCTTGGTTGGAGGGGTGCCATTGCGAAACCCTGGATCACGCCGATGGCGTTATCCATCGGGGCGATGAGCAACTGCTGCGGCGCGCTAGAACCTGCCCGAGTTGGCAGTCAACCCAACGAATCTGTCTCGCCATGTAGTGCGAATGGTAGGCCAGCCGGAAAGAACCCAGACACCCAGCCCCCGACGGGGGGACACGGTGAGGGGGCCATGTTCAAGTTCAGCTACTGATAAGGGGGCGGGCATTTCAGAGTCTAGACCTTCCTAGTCGGAGAACACCGTGGGGAGGGATGTCATGCCGCGAAACATCGATCGCATCATTGAGCTTCTCAAATAAAAAATGCGGGTGTTGTCAACGATATAGATAAGGCTTGCCCGCTGGCCCCGGACCCAGCGATCTGGTCCGCGCTCCCCTTCAGACCAGACCGACTCGAGGACGTTGCAACCCCTACGGATTACGAGAACTACTTACTTGAAAACCACCACTATGCCGCTCAACCTACCAACCTGGCGCCGACCCTTCCGCAGCAGTACCACTACTAGTAGTCCTAACGATGATGACAACCCAGGATACCCCGAAAGCCAAGGCCAAGGCGAGAGCGACGAAGATGTGAAAAGCGACGGCACCCTCCAATACACGCTCGCGAAGGGCGGCAATGACTCGCTGCCATCGTACCAGGAAGCGTCGGGGGCGCCGGTCGAGAGCCGGTCGCCGCTGGGGTATGCGGTTGGCCCTGCGACCATTGTGTTCCTGAATGTCAGCAAGATGATTGGCACCGGGGTGTACTCGACTCGTGAGTCCTTTGCATTTCTATTCTTTCTCGTCTTTTCTTCGTTCGAAAGGAAACAGTTAGCCCTCTCTAGTTTCCCATCTAGCTTCCTGTCTCCTGAGCTCCTCCCCTTAAGATGCGGTCTCAGTCAAGGAGTTGCAGATGGGAGGTGGCTAAAAGGAGGGTCCCAAATTATGTGCATAGAGAAGCCTGGCCCGGTGTCAGTCCGTTCACGGCGTATCGCTGACGGTCAAGCGCATCTGCTTCACAGCATCGGCTATCCTCAACGGCACCGGCTCGGTGGGCCTGTCGATGGTCTACTGGGCGCTGGGCTTCTTCACGTCGCTGGCCAGCCTGTCGGTGTATCTCGAGTACGCGTCGTACTTCCCCAACCGGTCCGGATCCGAGGTTGTGTACCTCGAGCAGGCATATCCGCGGCCCCGGTGGCTGGTCCCGACCGCGTTTGCCTTCGTGTCGGCCGTGCTGTCCTTCACCAGCGGAAATGCTATTGGTAGGTACTAGTACTCCAGATGGGGATATGTCCCTCAAAGCAATAGCACGGCTGACCGGCATGGCAGTGCTTGCCCAGTACCTGTTTCGCATTAGTGGGCATGTGCCGGGGGACTGGGAGCTGAAGGGCGTTGCCATTGCCGGATACACGGCGGCGATATTGGGTATGATCCCGGGATCCGTTCATAGCACCCTGCCACACTACGTGTAATACTCACACCCTCTAGTCGTGATCTTCCATACCCGCTTCTCGTACTGGGTCTCCAACGCCATCGGCGCCGTCAAGGTGCTCACGCTCGTCTTCATCTCGATCACGGGCCTCGTGGTGCTCGGCGGTCATGTCTCGCGCGTCCCCAATCCGCACGCCAACTTCGTCGACGCCTTCAAGGGCCACGCGACGCCCTACGGCCTGACCAACGCCCTGTACCGCATCATCTTCTCCTACGCCGGCTACGAGAACGCATTCAACGTCGTGAATGAGGTCAAGGTGTGTGCTTGAACTTCTTCGCCCACTCGCTCTTCCCTCATCCCGCTATCTAACCCTGAGGGGCCCTTGCAACCAGAACCCAGTCAAGCAACTCCGCCGAAACGGCTTCCTCTCCCTGGCCATCGTGGCGGTGCTGTACATCCTGGTGAACCTGGCCTACTTCGCCGCCATCCCGCAGGCCGACCTGCGCCAGGCCCGGGAGATCGCCGCCTCCCTGTTCTTCACCAACGTGTTCGGCCCCAGCAACGCCATCCGCGGCCTCAACTTTCTGATCGCGCTCAGCTCGTTCGGCAACCTGCTCGCCGTGGCGCTGGGCCAGTCACGGATGCTTCGCGAGTGCGGTCGGTACGTCGTCCCCCTCCACCCTTTTCTTTTCAATTTTCTTTTTTTTTTATTTTTTGTATTTTGTTTTATTTGCTACCAGCACCCTAACGGTCCCCTCTCCAAAAAATCAGACAAGGCGTCCTGCCCTTCCCGCGCTTCTGGGCCTCGACGCGACCCTTCGGCACGCCCCTCGGCCCGTACGCGCTCAAGTACGCGCTGACGGTGCTCATGATCGCCGCGCCGCCCGCCGGCGACGCCTTCAACTTCATCAGCGACCTGCAGGTCTACCCGTCGGCCTTCTTCAACGTCTTGATGGCCGTGGGCTTGTATGTGTTGCGCTACCGCCGCCGCCGCCTCTTCGGCCCCTCTTCGTCGTCGTCGGGAGCTGGGGGGTTCCGCGCCTGGAATGCGGTGATCGTGTTCAATCTGTGTGTGCAGGTCTACCTGCTCGTCATGCCGTGGTATCCGCCTGCGGGAGGCGCCTATAAGGGTGATGTGAGCTTCTGGTATGCGACGTATGTGGTTACGGGGATTGGGATGTAAGTTTTTCTTTCCTCTTCTGTTTTTTCTTTCTTTTGTTCTTATGATATTTATGTTCTACCCTCCCCGCGCCCCCTAAATCATCTTTATTTCCAAGCTGTGCAGGCAACTGACCCAGAGTCAAACCCCCGACCAGTCTCATCGGATGTGTCGTCTACTATTTTGTCTGGACCCGCGTCCTTCCCAGGCTCCGTGGCTACCGCATCCGGCAGGAGACGATCGTGTTCGAGGACGGCGCGCAGAGTCACAGGCTCGTCAAGGTGCCCGTGGACGAGCTTGCGCACTGGGATGCGACGCACGACGCGGCGGGGAGGCCGCTGGGGCTGCAGCGCGGGAGAGAAGAGTCGTCGTGGGAAGTCGGCAAGAATGTGGTCAACGAGAAGGTCGGGAGTGAGTAGTAGTAGTATAGTTGACTGTTGCGTCAAAGCAGCACAGAACAGGCCGCCCCGGCTGGGGAGTGGTTCTTTGTTGGGCCACTTGACCTGGCTTCAAAACGGTGCTGGGTTCATCATTTATGAGATAATCGTTGATCGCAAACTAGTAGGCCCCCCTTCCCTCATTCTTTTACCGAAACGTGACAACCTTCCCAAATGTATCGCCCATGCCCCAAATCCCCTCCCTCAGGCAGCTAAGCTGCACAATCTGCGAGTGGTCCACAAACAGATTCACATCCGCCCCAAACTCCCGCACATACCAGTTAAACACCTGGGGGTCCGCCGCCTCAAACATGACCTTCTCCATCGGCAGGCCCCGCAGGATCGTCTGGATGGCATCCGTCCTCCAGCTCTTCACATTCTCGGTGATCCCCTCGCTCTCGATCATGATCCGCTCGACGCCCGCCTCCTCGATGAAGCGCCTCCCCAGGTTCACCACCTTGCTCGGGTCCGAGGTCCCCCCGCCGCCGCCGAGGGCCTCGAGCTCGGCGGCCGCCGTGTCGCCGCCCGCGCCGAACTGGATGCCGATCTCGGGCTTGGCCGTCAGGCCCTCGGCGTGCACGCGCTCGACCAGCCGCAGCCAGTCGTCCGGCGGCAGTGACAGGAAGCCGCACGAGATCTCGACCACGTCGAAGTGCAGCGCCTTGCACTTGCGCAGGTAGCGGGACACGGCCGCTTGCGCGTCGGATTGTGTGAGGATGTGCTCGATCCAGCCGCCCTGTTTTACACATAGGGAAGATTTGTTAGTTGCTGTAGCGGGGAGAATTAGAGGCACAGCGGGAAAGGGGGTGAGGGGGTGAGAGAGAGTTACGGTGGACACGTAGACGCCATGCTCGTGCGCCAGGTCGATTAGCTCGCGCAGCTTGTCCTCGGGGAAGAGAGAGAAAGAGCCGCCCGCGAACTTGAGGCCGTCGATGTGGTGGCCCATTCTGCGGCGAGTTTCTCATCCATTAGAAGGTGTTCAGATAGAGAAACAGAGAGAGAAACTGAGAGAGAACTGAGAGAGCAATCGCGGGGGCCATAGCCTATAGGACAACTCACGTGTCGAGCACGTCCTTCAGATAGTGCTTGCCCATGACCGAATAGTACGGGCCCCGGATCTCGGTGACGCCCACTTTGCGCGGCTTGGGCGGGCGCGTGTTGTGTCGGACGAAGCCGAAGCCGTGCTGGTCCTCCAGCAGTGTCTTGGACTGCTCGGTCGGGGCGGGATGCTGCGAGCCTTTGGCGAGTAGACTCACTGTGGTCGAGATCGATCTGGCTGCAGGGTGTGTAATGAATGCAGGTGCCGAGCTCACGATGCCCGATTGCAGCAGGCTAGTGAGACGCCGAGATGCCATGATGATGGATTGTCGTCGTTGCCCCTTTTCTTTACTATCAGTACTTCGACGGAACTTCAAGGAATTGTCATCCGCGGTGTCAAAGCCGTTGGTCGTGGTACAAAGGGCTGCGGAATTCCTCGCGGCATGGACGAGGTTTCTGAATCCTCTGTCGGCGGTTGTCTTGTTCAGATCATATGTTACTGTTGAGAGCAGTTAATAAGTGTGGTGGTGTGTTGAGGTGTGGTGCTATGTGACATCACCACCCGCCTTGCTGTTACTTGTTTCGTCAAGATCAACGTTGCCAAAGGAGGGTCGATCCTTTGCACTTCCAACTTCTCAGAACCTTCAATTGCGTTTGAATCATTTGAACGAATGAATTTGTTCGGGAGACTTGGCACTCAAGCAGGAAGTTAGGATTGGATGACTACTAGTATGAATTAATCGCTGTTTACCGAGTTTGCAACACGCGAATTAGTCTGAGAGTAAATCCAGCCTGGCTCACTATTTGAACACCATATTACGGCAGTCTCCCGGAGAAGAGGGACATTCCGCGTGGGTTGTCACGGAAATCATAAGCCAATTAGCAGTCACAGCTCACTATTTATCGCTAAGTAGATATTGTACAGGTGTATACCACGGCATCATCTCGGTCCATTTCCCTCCAACCCCAAAGAAGATGCAGCTCATAGCTCGTCCTTGCCGGCACTATTGGTGTCCCTTGATGAACTCGCCTTCTCATCCGCTTGCACCTCCTCGACATTTTGAGTCTCCTCGGCCTTCTGAACTGCCTCCACACCCTCGGCATCCTCACCCTCCTTCAGCTTCAGCACCTGAGCCTTGACCGTGAACTCCATATCCCGCATGTTCTGCGACCGCTTGGGGAGGCTGTGGTGAACGGGGTACGCCACGACGCCGCCGTCGACCAGCTCGGCGCTATACCTAGAGAGATCGAGGAGCGCTTCTACGCTTCAACGTCAGCCAGCCGAAGCAAAAGAACACTTCACATTACCTCAACCACCATGGAAAAGGACGAAAAAGGACAAATGAAACATACCCTCGCAGCCACTCCCCTCGGCCACCCAAAGCGGCAGCGCCTCATGCAGCGCCCCCGGCGCAAAGATAGCGATGCGCCCCTCGTCCCGGGCCCGCCACTCCTCGCTCACGGGCGTCTCGGCGGGGACCTTGACGGTATCCAACACCCTGGTGCCGGAGAGGGGAACCTGGTAGACGGCAAAGAGCCCCTTCCCCGGCCCGTCGCGCCGCTCCTGCTCCTCGATCCACTCGCGCACCCGGAGCGGCACGTCGGCGTAGCGCATCGCCAGCAGGTTGCGGTCGTAGCCGTGCGGGTCGATGCCGTCCCAGCTGCCCGGGTACTCGCGCGCCGAGAAGACGTCCCGCAGCGCGTCGCGGTACGGCAGCAGGCCCGCGGGCGGGTTCTCGGCGAGGTCGTCGAGCAGAAATTCCCGCGCCGCGAAGGTGCGCTCGACGTCGCAGGCCGCGGCGAATTTCTTTTCTTGTTGTTGTTGTTGCTTCTCTTGGTGCGCGAACGGGTTGGGCCAGCGCCAGTTGTCCATCTTGGCCGGGTGGCCCTTGAGGCGTGGCGGCGACTTGGGCGACGCCGGCCCGATGGCTGTCGCCGTGCACGCGAGCCAGGCCCCTGCCGCGAAGACGGTTTCGAACTTCATGGCTGCCGCTGCGCTACAGTACAATGTCTGGCAGCGGGGGCCCTGGTGGTGGGTGTATACAGGATCCGTGAGCGACAGCAAGCAAATCTATGTTCAGGGGTCTGTTACGACTTACGAGGATTGTGGGAGGAAAGGGAGGAAGTGCTACCGAGGGAAAAAGGGGTGCTAGAAAATTGGACTCCGTCGACAAACGATTCGGCCGCGGCCACCGATTTTATAACTCATTGATGCCAGTCCGTCGTAAGAAAGTGCTGTGCTGTCCTCCGGAGTGCTGTTCCGAGTTTCCGGATCGGGCGAATCCATACGACGGGAGACGCCCGCCAGCCTGCGGAGATCACACCGCAGATGCAGGGGTGCGCGCGGTGCAACTCGTGGTACAGATTATTCAGTGCACACTCTCGCGCGCTGGATTGTGTGTCTACTTGGTGCGTCAAGCTGCGTAAAGTCGGGTGGGAGATAGATGCCAGGCTAATAGACGAGGGAGCACGATCTCGAGATTCTGTGAAGGCTGCTCGAGTCGGGCGCTGGCGGCGCGACGGTCAAGAAGGATAGATCTTGATAAACATGCTTCGCCCGGTCTGGCCACATACTGTATGCGATTGATACTTCTTCGATTCTCGAAAGAGTGCTTCAGTAGAAGTTACTAAGTGCTAAGCAATCTTTGCGTCCGCCGACTGTGATCCACACTTCTTCAAATGAGCGTGATGGTCTTGATCTCCAACCCATGAAAGCCGTCGAAGCCACCACCCGGCCTTCTTTCCTTTGGGTCAGCACCACCTCCCTCGACCCGGACAATCCCGAGGCGCTCATAGAGCTGCTCGCCCTCATCCACGCATTGGAGTACGAGGCCCACGTCAAAATGTTGGGTCTTTGTTGCGTCAAAGCCGATCGCGAGGCAGAAGACCTGCTGGCCATCCGGAGGGAAAGGCGTGTTAAATGGAATGTCCGGGCTGTAAAATGCTCTCCTTCCTCTTCGACTGAAACTACCGCATGCGAAGGACCTGCGCAGCCAGGTGTGTCCCGGCGTTGGTCCCTTTCCCGAAATGTCCTGATCATTCATTGTAGTATCCGAGGTGCCCGTAAAAACCCTTCCCCTCAGGGTAATGGCACCAAGTGACTTCTTGCTATTGGTATGCTGTGTGTGCGGTTTGCTGGCGGGCGGAGCTGGGGACTCAATGACGACTACCTCGACGGCGCCATCGACCCATGAGGGTGAGTAGTAACACGGGAAACTGATTGATGTCCAGGACCATGTTGGTCGACACCGGCTGCTGCTGCTGCTGCTGAACCTTCCATGGTACTTATCAACATACCACGCGAGATCAGCGGGCAGGTTATCCTCCCAGACTCCCGCCATGTAAAGCCCTTTCCGAAGGGGCTCCATCTCCCTTGCTAAACCCAGGATAGCAGCTGGCCGATCCGTAGCGTACGTGAGCTGGAGATGCGTGTAGAAGTCGACAATCTCGTGCCAGATTCGCCACTGGGACTTCAATGTCGAGTCCGCCGCGTCAGGGTTGGATTGCCTGTAGCGAATCGACTTAATGGGTAGCGTCAAATTGATGTCATATACGTCCTCAGGATCACACTGACAGCTGGTGCTTTCCATGCACTCCCAGAACACTTCATCGAAGCCAAAGTGCACTACTCTCCTGGAAAGCAAGCGCTCCTGGAAGATCCACGCTCGCTCTAGAAACGAATAGGCCGATTCCGTGCCCCAGTGACGAAGGTGAGGACATGCCACGCGGAGAACGACTTCCAGGGGGTTTCCCTTCTCGTCGGTCCCGCACAGGCGCTGATCGAGAGTAGGAAGGAGGCGATCGTGACAACCCTCGCATCTCGTGGCGGCGATGGTCAGGAAGGCGCCGCGGTAGATGGCGCACATGGCTGGCGCCTGCTCGGCCCAGTCTTTGTGGTCGTCCTGAATGATACAGAGACTGTCGATCCAAAGAAAACGTACTCCGAGCTTTCTGGTGATGGTAACGACGTCCTGGAAGGACGGAGGAATCGTATCCCAAGGGATGGCGCGTTTCCGGCTCTCGAGTGTTGAGCGACTTGTTGTGAGCGGCTGGGAATCGCCCCAGCAATGACTGAGGCAGATGTAACGCCCGGTGCTGGTAGTGCCCTGTGGCTCGTGGAGGCGTATCTCTCCATCGGGGGACGAGATGTCAAGCACGCGCTTTGGCAGTGGTGTTGCCTGTTCCCTAGAGTCATCACCGTCGCCAAGACGGCAGTGGACGTGGCTCTTGCGGCACTGCTGAAGCCACTTGTCAATCTGGGCAAGTTTTGCGGCGGTCGAAGTGCTGAAGGGCGGTGGTCTAAGCGGCCAGTCACACAAGTTGACATCCTCAGGAGCGTGGAGCTCGACCGTGGCGCCCGGCTTGGAGCTCCAGTCACCGAAAGCCTGGACTGTAAGCCGGAACGAGTGGAATGATCGTCGGGGCGCCCAATTAACGCGGATGCTCTCGGGGGGTTTCCAGCCGTTTCTGTGTCGAGAGAAATGAAGGACAGCCTCTAAGAAGATGCGACAGGTCGGACAACCACCTCGGATCGACTCCTCAATGTCTTCGCGGCCGTAAAAGACATCAGCAAGATTGCCGTTTATGTTGACTTTACGCCTGGGCCCGGCCGGCCGACGTATGACACGGATCAGAGCCTCGCATTGCTGGCAACATTGGCCCGAGCGATGGCCAGCCTGCGTTGCGGAGGAGGGAGGTGTGGTTGCGCGGCTCGCTTGCGGGTCTGGTTCACAACTTGAAATCTGCAACTTTGCCAAAGAGGTTGATGCTTTGCTGTCCATGGCGGCGAGGTGCGAGAGTGAGCCGCATAAAGGTTAACAACAGAAGACAGCCTGAGGTGGTGGCTCTAGGTGGAAATGGCACAGTGCTGCCTGGCGCTGCCTGGCGCCGCCCGAGAGATTGGTCCACGCCTCTTATGCTGTGTGACGGGAAACACGTGAGCGGATTCCAGGATCAAAACAGTACAGCAATGCTCCCAAAACCGTGGATATCATCTGGAGCCCTCGCAATCGATGGTCACGGCGGTCCCACGCTTCCGGTGCATTATATTTCCCAGCAATGGATTTGTGTGCGTGAAGACGGGCTTGTATCCCTTCACGGCCGTGCATGTGACGGTTAAAATGGAGTTCTAGGTGCAAATAAGCCAGCATGTATTGTACCTATCTTCAACACTATTGTCTATGCACTCACAAACTAGCACCCTTCATCCAAAAAGAACGATCCAAGCTCAGCCCTTCCTCTGACAAAAACACTCATACTTTCCAACCCCTCGACTACTAGTAATATCCCCCTCCTCAGTACTAACTAGTCTCCAAATCTCCCCTCAAGGAAGACGGCCGCACAGACGGTTGGCGACGTCGCTGACATAGCTGGCAGTAGCGCCGAGGCCATCGCTCAGGTTGCTCGGGTTGACGGAGCCCGAGTTGTAGGCGCGCAGGGCCTTATAGATGGTATCGGCGTTATCGGCGTCGCCGAACTGCTGCAGGTTCTGCTTGAAGTGCTGGGTGCCGGCGCGGACCATGCCGGTGATCTGGTCCTGCGAGAGGCCGTGCTGGCCTGGGTAGCCGGGGCTGCCGTCGCACTGCATCAGGCCGGCCGTGGCGTGGCCGTCGCCGTTGTAGGTCGTCTGCACGCCCACGTTTCCCGTGCTCTCCTGCATGATAATGGCGAAGATGACACGCTCTTCGACGCCCAGCTTGGCGCACTCGAGCACCGCGTTCCAGATCCGGCCCACGTCCTCGCCCGTGTCGCCCGTCGCGAACATCTGCGGCTTGTTGAGGTTGAAGATCTCCTCGAACGACTTCCACTGGCTCATGGGCGGGAAGTTGGACGAGGGGCCGGAGTAGTAGGTGAAGCCCATTTTGAGAGGATGACAAGAAGAGTCTTGGTCTGAGAAGAGTGGTGGTTGATTTGTGATTTGGTGGTTGTGATGTTTTGTTAGGTGAGTGCTGCGAGTGCTGGATGATGGATGCTGGTCGAAGGGAGAGATACCGTTGGATTTATATCCCTCTTGTCGTCCTCCTTGACACAGACTTATGAAAGGTGGCGTGAAGCTCATGGCCTCAGCCGCCCGTTGTACAGTGATGGCGATTACACATCGTCGTTGCTAGTGCTGAGCCGACGTTCTCATGACATCCAGGTCTGCATCGTCTGGAACTTCCTCTTTCAGCCTTGCTGTCCTCAACTACTAGTACTACTAGTAGTATCTGACCTCAGCTCGGTCCCGTCGCTTTCTGTGTGTGTCGCTGCCTCTCAGCTCCTCGGGATCATTCCCATTACTGAGCGAGAACACCTTGCAGCTGACGAGCCTCACCGGGTAGCCAGCCTCGATTACTCGGCCCATGTCAGGGCACAGGCCCGACTGGACTCTGCGTATATCCCTCACGGTGTCTGACCGTCAGAGCAGTCTATCAATATCCAGGCAGCGATCATTCCGGGGGTATTTTGGAGCGCCTCACGCCCACCCAAAGCGGTAATAACGGCGACGTCAGCAACGAAGTCACATTGGACTAGTCAGCGCCCACACGCCACAAACCATTAGGAGTTCACCGCCGGGATTTTGCGCGAGCGTCACGGTCAAAATTTTAACAAATAATGATTCGCCCTATAGAATACTGATTCCAGGCAGACAGCAGACAACGCGCCACCAGGCATACAGCCATACTAAGCAGCTCTCATCCCTCCGTCAACCAATAACTACCTGTAACTTAGTAGTGAAGTCCTTACAACCTTACCCTGTCACCAAACGTACTCCCAATCTCCCCCCACCGCAAATTCCTAAACGTCACCTCCGGCCCGGGCTCGACCTTTGTGATATTCGCCGGGTTGCCCTCCCAGGGATCGCACGGCCCGGCCTCGCCCGAGTCGAGCCAGTTCATGTTGCCGCCCTCGTCCCACCAGATGCTCATGGCCAGCACCATCCCCCTTTCGAGCGCCTCGCCTATCCCCCGCGTACCGCCCAGCGCCAGGTACTTGGCGGCGCCCGTGGCCCCGCAGAACTCGTCCGTCAGCGAGTCCGTCTTGGGCAGGCCTGGCGCGTCGACCGTGTAGGATTCGATGACTTTGTCGTCTTGCACGTAGAGCCGGTGAATTTTGGTCAGTTCCTTTTTTTTGTTATGACCCTTTCCGTTTTGGGGGGGGTTTGGAGTGCTGGTGAGGAACTGGGTGACAACGGTGAAGGGCCGCGTGGTGTCGACGCGGAAGCGCGCCGAGGCGCCGTAGTAGTCGGTCACGTTGACGCGGTACGGGTTCCACGCGCAGCCGTCTTTGTCGCACACGCCGTCGTCGCCGCACTCGTCGTCGCCCGAGCAGAGGTACAGCCCGGGCTTGTTGCACGGGTGCGGCGCCAGGTGCGTTGCGCGCGCGTTGGCTTCCCAGATGTCCATCTCGTTGCAGCACGAGCCGTGGCCTTCGATGTTGCCCTGTTGTTGTTTTGTACTCTTATTAGAATTTCTTCTTTCGTTGTTGGGTGGGGGCCGGGGGGTGAGGGATAAAGGGGAGAGGGATAAAACGTACAACGCCGTTGATGAAGGGCGTCACAAAGCACTGGGCGTCGCAGTAGCCCGTCCCGTAGTAGGCGCCGCCCGGGTTGAGCTTGCTGCGGGCGCCGGTGGGGTGCATCTCGGACAGATACAGGGCGCTGTTCATGCCGCAGGGCAGCTTGGCGGCGTCGACCTCGAAGGCGAACTCGGCGCCGGCGAGGTGCATCATCTCGTAGCGCTGCTCGCTCTTGTCGAGCAGGTACACGCGCGGCGTGACCAGCCGCCCGTCGAGCAGCTGCTGCAGCCGCAGCGCCGTGCCCTGGGTGGTCACGCCGTACTGGCTGTAGTCTGGGATGCCCTCCATGATGCAGTTCTTGGCGCACGACTCCTTGTCCGGGCAGGCCGTCGCGTTAGGCTTGCTGCCCCAGTCGCCGCAGTTGTTGGCGAGCGATGTCGCCTGGTGGATCGGGTGCGCCAGCGAGTCCAGCACGATGTAGTTGGTCTGCGCCTTGCACCCGCCCCGGTTGGAGCACCGGTACGTCGTGATCTTGGGGTGCACCTCCTTCGCCGACCCGGGTTTCTGCCCGTGGGCCACGCCGAGGAGTGCCGACGCGAGGCTGAGGAGAGCGATGCCACGAGCCATTATGCCGGTTCTTTGGTCGCGCCGTTGCCGTGGCTGGGAAGGGAGACAGCAACGAGACTGGAGGACTAAGGAAAAATACTTGGGAGGAGATCCCGTCCGGTATTAATAAGGTATGTCTATCCATTGCCCCGGACTCTTCCCGCTCCCCATTTTCTCCTCAAGACCCACGGCGCCGCGGAATGCAACCTCGAAGTGGCATCGACGGAAAATCAGAGATCTGCATACACGTTGTTGTGCCTTTTGTCGCCGCTTGCTCGGGTCGCGCTAGGACGGACGCTGAGCCGGAAGACGGACAGCGGGCCCGGGGTTCCGGCTCGGCGCGACCTGGCATCCCCGGTGCCAAGCAGGAATTAGGCTGGAACGGAGGCTAGGAAGCATGGCGTGCCAAGCCAGCCAAGAGTTCGCCCACGGACATTGACCTGCCGAGATGCCAGATACGGAATGAGCTGAGAGCGTGCGGGGATAGAATACCCGGTCGGGGCAAATGGTGGGTTCCGGGACAGCAGCTAGACGCTTTGCTGAAGGAACTAGTACAGGTCGTTCATCGCTCGGGCTGATGTGCGTCAAAGGCACATCCCTGCGGCTGTGGCGAGAGATATATTGTAAGTGGATTCAACGAGGCAACTGCTTAGAGGTCATACCAGAAGTCAATTGCAGGCCGGCAGAATGGTGTGCTCAGGGCCAGGGAGAGGGACATTCATAGACATGTACAGGACTACAGGTAGAATCGATGATTATTATCACGGCGTCGAACAAAACAAGGCACAAGACCACAGGGACAAGAATAGCTCATGACTCCATCAGATTTATGTGCTAAGTAAGTGTCCGGCTAGTGCTAACGAGCGTGTGGTCCCCGAAGAGTAGGCCATCCGGTTGATGTTGAATCTTCCTGTCATATCGCCCTCTTCTCGAACTCCCAATTTTCGCACTGGCCCCCTATCCTGCCAACTAGTAGACGTCAGCTTTATTCCCCTGAGGATGCATCTATGACGGGAAGTAAGGGTCATCATACCAAATCAGATGGCAGGTCTCACCATATGGTGTATGCTACCCGCTCGGAATCTAGCACACAGCACCACCATCGTTGCCGCCATGGCAAGTTCCAGAGCCGCAGTCTCGGATCTCGGTCCACTTGCCGCCGCGGCACTGGACCTGTTTTCAGGAAGTGACAACGCATTAGTATCCATACCATACCATCCAAGGAATTTTGAATTTTCTTTTTGGTGGGGGTTTGAATTGCCCACTCACCACACCGGTCCTGTCGCAGCCGCAGAAGTTGCGGTCCCCGTTGGAAGCCGCGCAGGGGCTGTTGGTGCGCCGCTGGTCGCCGCCGTAGCCGGGGCCGCAGACGTCGCGAGCCTCGATCTCGGGCACGGCCGAGGCAGTGACGGCAACGGCGGCCATGAGGGTGCAGAGGATAGCGGTGACCTTCATTTTTTGAGAGGTGGGATTGTTGGGCTTGTTGTAAGTTGGGTGATGGTTGAACAAGTGTGAGGATGGGGCTGATGGCTGGGTGTCTTTCCGTTGTTTCGAAGGAGATGTCTTCAGATATTTATGTTCTTGTGTACTAGAGCAAGTTCGACTCTTCTGTCCAGCACTCCCGGTTCCCCTTCCGGACTCCCGTCTCGGACTCCCTTCACGCTTCGGCTATGGCGGCACGGCGGTGAAGCTGCGAGAATGGATGGTTCACAGTTCATACCGGTGTCAATCTGGCTGACGGACAGACACGAGATCCTTCTTGTGCAACCAGAAGGAGGAGAACGATGTGTCCCGTTGTACTGAAGGATCCATATTCGCCTACGCATGATGACCCGTATGACATAGAGACTCTGATGAATCAACGCAAGTCAACCCAACCCTAACTGACCTAGGTACGTTACCTAATATCAACTTCTTGCCGCTGCGGCAAATGATATGCGTGGATTGGTATGGCAGCCAGCGGCTTCACCTCGCGAATGGTAGGCATGATCACCAGCTTTCCTTGTTGGGCGGATGTAGAACTGTTGTGTCACCAAGTTCAGCCTGCGATACAACCTGAGCTCGCCTACCACAGAAGGCTGACGGCCACTGTAGAGAATGGCGGTCAAAAAGGGGACCACATTCCAAGTCCATGCGACATGACACTCTCTCAGACTCGCTGACATCAGATTTACGATGGTCTACGTAAGGTACCTGAGAGGATCGGTCCTGGACCTGTCGACATGTGACGGATGCTTTCCGTGAAGGCGTAGCGGACATCTTCCTGTAGATGTTTGGGGACTGACAAGATGATATCGACGCAGGGACATCGACGTCCTAGCTGTCGTTCTAGATCAGCCCTACCCCATCCCATGAATGTATACTGTAGTCTCACTATACTACTATAGCCGGTAACCTGATGGTCTGTTTCTCTACCAAACTATCAGGCACGAAGCTAAGAGCCATATCCAAGCTCGCCTGCAAGTTAGGCTTGGCCCCCATGGCGGAATTAGACGTAGGGCCGATTAGGTTGTACTGCCACACAGTGAGCCCGTCAGCTGCAGAACCTTCCTCCCTCTTGATGTGACTACTACTAGCAGGTACGTATAAGGAAGCAGGTGCCACAAGTGACGTCGTGGCAGCCCGATCTGATACGGGGTGCGGGAAAAATGTGACCCCCCTTTCCGACTGCGACTTTCCATAAGGCATAATGTACCCCCTGATTACCCGACAGTCCTCCTCTAAATTCCGAGCCACTTCGGCATCTATCCAGCAAGGTGCGGGACGGGGAGGATGCCTTTGCATTAGCGCTTACGGGCTCACGCGATTCCGCAGCTGCCCATCCTTTCGTGTAGCACAGTACCGCACCGGCGCAAAACGCGGCGGAGGGCGTGCGGACGGCGTGCGGCCGGGGATCTGCGGGTTACGTACCGTATTAGAACGACCGACCTAGACATGTCCACCGGAAGTATGCTGCATCAAAGCCTGCAACACATCACTGAGCTCCTCGCCCAGCATCCCCCTAGATTCTCTTATGTCTCGGTGGACGCTGTGACGGCGTGGCGTCCATACATGAACAGCTTCGCATTGGGACCTCGGACTCTGAACATGAGCTATGGAGCTGCAAGAAGAATGCCTCGCTCGTGGGTCGTCGAGTTCGTCGCCAACTACTTGCCACGACGTTCGTGCCTGGCTTCTCCCTGTACTCCCATCAAGTAATCACCGCCGCCTGTCGACAAACGGGACGCACTGGCTCCGTGAGGTCCCGGTGACTGCCCAAGTCAGGTCAGCGCATTATCTTCTGGGGGTCAGAGATGCCGTCTAGCAAGCATGCCTGACAGCCACCTATTCTGAACAAACCTCCGTGTTAGCTACTGAGAACTATCTGATACTTCTCTGAGTTGTATGTCTTAGTAATACTTGATATCGGTTGGCAACTCCTAACTTGACCTACATCATCATCACCTACTACGATTGTGCTAGCGTTCCTTGACGCTTCAGCCTAAATCACTCTTCTATTGTTGTATCATTCAACGCTACCTCACCAAGCGTTTCCCCAAGAGTCTCCCCAAGCTTCACCAGCGTGTTCTCGTACACCCGCGCAACGTCCATGAACAACAAGTCTTCCTCCTCCTCATCCTCCTCGAACAGCTCGGCATCTGACTCCACCTGTGTCTCAACGCCACTTGCGTCCTCATCGGCGGTCTGCTCCTCTTCCCCGTCGCCGTCGGCCTCGCGCTCCCGGCTCATGACCTCCACGACCAAGACCCGCGCCTCCTCGACCACGCTCCTGCAGCGCACCATGTCCGTCTTGCTCATCCCCGCCCGGCGACCGCTGTCAAACCCCGGAAGCGGCTCGTGCGTCTCTATGTCCTCGCCAGACAGCAAACTGGCAAAGCAGTGGTCGAGTTTGCGGAGCGTGGCAAACGTGGCGGCGGGGGACGGTGGCAGACCAGCCAGCCATGTGTTGAACTCGCCGGCAATGTGTAGGAGCAGCGGGATTTGCAGGTTAGCTTATACTGCGGATTAGTACGGTTGCCCCTTCTCTGACAGCGAGTCGAGGACAGCATGGGACATACGGGTGCCAGACAGCCAGACAATGTTGATGACGCCCTCGAGGTCCTTGCACAGATCTCGCATCGAGTTGTAGCCCTCCACCTCGCTGCCGGGCGGGGCCTTGCCGGTCCGCTTGAGGAAGCGGCGGGTGATGTGGTTCAGGCGCTCTGATACGAAATGCCGCACCTGGTCTTCCTTTGCGGAACCGGGCCGCAGGGCATGGGTGCGGGGCCGGGGCAGGCCGCTCACGGATTTGATTGTCGATGTGGTGCTCGGCGCCGGGGACGGCATGGAGGGCACGGTAAAACCCCCGGCGCCGGCAAACGGAGAATTTTGGTTTTCAGCCATTTTCGATTCGAGATACGCGAGAGATGTTGGACGGGTCAGGCAGGCATGGCATCGTCGTCTTTGTAGGAATTGGACAGAAGAGAGCTCCAATGGGTCAGATCGTGAACAGAGGAACTCGCCAAGTTCGTCGTTCGCCGGGCCCGATTCGAAGCGCACATCCGGCGGGGTGACGAGCGCCAAGACGCTGCTGACTCCGCGGCGCATGGGCCCACCTATCCGAAAGGGTCCGTGCGTTAGCCAAAAAATCGGCTTGCCTCTACATCAAGACCTTCAACAGACGTGCGTCTATCGCAACCGTCCACCAAGATAAGACAACCACCACCACGATCGCCATGCCTCCCAAGCGTATCAGCGGCTCGCGCCGATCTTACAACCCGATTACTGGGGCGTACAACGCGTTGTTCGTCTCGGAGAACGCCCCCATCGTCCGAAGCGTTGCCGCATTCGGCGTACGTTTCACCGTTTCGCTTCATCAGTGTCTCCCTGCTGACAGACCATCAGGTCGCCGTTACCTTCCTTGCCAGCGGCTGGGCCGGCGCTATTCTCTGGTGGGTACGCCTTCTTCCTAGGCGCGGCGCGCAAGCTGACTCCCTCCAGCCCCGAGTGATCAAACAACGACTCTACGATTTTCGGAGACCAAGGAAGGATGCCAGTGTCGGGACGGACACTTGTGCTTGGGTAAAAGGATGCTGTACGATACGTATTAGACGGCTACTCGGATGCCGGGTCAGGCTGACGAGCTCATGGGCGGCGTTTGGTGGGTGCAATACGATACTTAATACCCGACCAACCTCGTCCGATATGGGCACAAGTCGTTTCCAGCCAAGGATCCATGCCCACTGGCCTCCTCAGTCAGAAGAGTCGCACGCGAGCTCCTTGAGGATCTCTCGCAGGTGCCGATGCGACGGGCGACCAGTATACACAGCCGTCAGGGTCGTGGCTAGACGCAGCTGCCGCCTGTTGGTCGCCGTGATCCTCCTTGACCTCAGAGGAAACACCCAGAGCGTTGGGCAATGTCCAGCAAGAATTAGGAAACAATGTCTATCGTCTTCTAAAGTTGTACAAAGGCAAGCTTGGTCAGCTGGGATTGTGTTTCTTTCAACTTAGGGCTTGGGCCACCGGTTCTTTGAACAAGGACGGACAACAGGGATTGAGCTGAAGCATCCTGAACCTTCGCACTCATTGTTCACTCACTTGAATGGGCATTGTATCTGGACACGAGCGGCCTGTCAAGAGATATAAACCAGAGCACTCGAGCCTCTTCCCATTACCCCCTTCGCGGCACCACAGGCATTAGCCACTACCACGACACTAGCCAAGCGGCAACTAACATTCTCCTAATAACTCTGCCGGACAACTCCATGCCTTCTAACCAAAGCCAAAGCCTCCCTCATCCTCCCCCGTCCCCCGTCCCACCCCCTTCCTCAGTGTACTCACGACAGGGCAGCACAGCTTCCCTCCCCGTCTCCCAGGCCTCTCATGCAATCCCCAGCCACCGCCCGGCAACAACAACCCGAGCCGCCGCAGATTCAGGCCATCCCCGTCCTACTTCCTCCTCGTTCTTCCGCCCAATGCAGCCCTACTCCGACGTGGCGGTCAACCCCTTCGCGGGGTACAACAACAACCACGATAACAACAGTGTCGGTGAGTACCAGGACAGCAATCCCAACCAAGAACAGCAGCTAGGGCGCGGCGGCGATGGTGGTAGTAAGAGCAGCAAGAAGAAGAAAACCAAGGTGACCAAAAGCAGCTGTCTCAAGGTCGTTCCGCCGGAGCAGATGTCTGAACTCACGAAGCTGGGGCTGTACCTGTCGGGGACGACGCCGGAGAAGATGTACAAGAGAGCGATGGAGGACAAGGAGAAGCGGGAGCGGAGGAGGGAGTGGAAGAAGGCGAGGCGCGATGCCGCTTCTGCGGGCGAAGACGCTGGTGAGAGGGGTGATGATGAGTAATGTGGTGGATATGTAGTACGACGGGACGGGAGTTGCTGGTATGAGGTAAGTCAAGTTGTAGTTACACGTAGAGGTGAGTATCAGATAGGAATCCAGTACTTTCCAGGTGTATCATTTTCCTCTTACGTACCAGACTTCGCAGCCTGACGGACGGTTTACCTATCAATGGCCATGTTCGCCTGATGTTTCCTAACGTGTACCTTTCCACTAGCATGGATCTCGCCACATATAGCAAGCAGCAAGGAGGCCAGCAAGCAAGGGCCAGCAGGTGTGAGCAATGCATACACTGCGTTCTACCCTGAACGCTGTATTCTAGCCGCTGATGCCTCTGAATGCAATCATCAAAGCCGCAACGCCCGCCGCAGTCGCTAATTCTGCTTAGTAATTACAAATGCCGCCCACATCCTCATCCATCGTCCACGTCCCCGCCAGCCCCGGCAGCTCGACCTCCTCCGTCGGCGCCTGAACCTGCAGGCCAGCGCCTTCGTCGGGCTTACCAGCGAAGAAATCTCCTTGGCCCTCTGTCTTGACCACCCTGCTCATGAACCGCTTCGTCCACTCCTCCACCGCCGGCTCGCCCGTCTCGTCGCGGGCCTGCTTCAGGAACGAAATAAGCGCTGTGCCGCCCGTGCCCTTGAGGTTCCCGCCCTTCTTGCCAGCAGCAGCCTCCTGTTCGGCGGCAGCACCGCGCGCGTCGTAGGCAATGCCCTGCGGCTGTTGGCGCGAGGCGGTGGCCAGGTTGAGCCTGCGGCGCGTGGCCTCGGGGCTGCGGCTGCGGGCGCGGACTTCGCGGCTCGGCACGACGATGTAGCGCGTGACGATGGCGATGTGCTTGTCGCGGAGGTGGCGCAGCATCGAGAGACAAGCGTCGTAAGCGATGCACAGCGGGCGGTCGTCCTGGTTGCGCTCGACAAAGTCGCGGATGTTGGCAACGACCTGCACGTCGTTGAGGAAGCGAGCGTGCGGGCCTGGCATGTACCGGCGCATCTCCATGATGAAGTTGTGCTTGGGCGGCGGAGCCCGGCCTTCGCGGTCGTCGTCGTTGCGGCTGGGCTTCTTCTCGCCCGTGGGGCGGTGCTCAATGCCCAGGACGATGTCGAAGAACTGGATCAGGCTGCTCTGGGCGTTGCTGCCGCCGGCGTATTGGCGGTACGTCTCGCTGCCGGATCCGTCCTCGTAGAGCACGCCGTTCGGCAGGCCCGCCTCGGCCATGTTCTTACTCCCGGCCAGGAAGGGGCGGATCCGATGATAGAAGATGTGCGGATCGCAGCTCTCGTGCATGCGCTGGAGCAGCGTGGTAAGGTCGTCGAGGCGCTCCGCAAAGGTATGAAGGCAGCGTGTCACGGCTGCCGCGTCGTTCTCCCGCGCCGCGGCGATGGCTGTCAGCATCAGGGGAATGATGGGCGCTCCGCGTGCCTCCATCGCCACCGACACCAGGTAGAACCACGACTCGTCGATGGCGCCGGTGAAGGTGGTCAGGGAGGCGAGATTCTCGAGATTATCGATGTTCTCGTCCATGAAGAGCGGCTTGAAGTTCCAGAGACAGACCGCTGCGTAGGTGGCGACGGGCGGCACCTCGAGGTGTTCGGACACCTTCAGCAGCGGGATCGAGATGGAGGGTGGCAGGCGCTCGCTGGGACTGTCACCGCCCCAGATGTAGCCGTGGGCCATGAAGCATAGCAGCATGTAGGCTCGGCGCCATTCTGCGTCGTGTTCCAGACCGATGGTGGAGAGCACGGGCAGGCGATCGACAACTCCGCGCAGCCGCTTGCTGAGAATGAGAGCTTGGAGATTGGCGACAACGGCTTCCCACTTGTTATAGTAGGGATCCGGGAGTCTCGTCAACGGCAGGACATCCGGCAGGAAGCCATGGGTTGGAGAGATTCCATAGTCGGCCAAGACGGGGATCGGAGGAAGCATACTTCTTTTGGCGCTGACAAGGTGACAGTGGTAAAGACAGTTAAACGCTGAAGAAGCCAAACGGCGCGAGATATTGTAGGATATGATAGGTTGGATGTCAAACTAAGAATAAGTCCTGACGCAAGGAGTATACAGAAGATGGTCTGTAATACTCCTCAGCCGTGCGAGAACTCGTTGTGCGCTGACCATGTGGGAGGAGAGGTTGAAGGAGGAAAGTCCAACACACAATTGGAAACGTGACAACCTTGATGAGTCTCGCCCATCGCGTCTCCGGGGTGTCCGTGGGATGGCTGGTGTTTTGTAATCAGCCCACAAAACGATGATGACAAGTTCGCCCCCCTTCTGTTTCAACAGGACCCTCGGTTTACTGTTCGCCAAGCAGCTAACGTGAGTCTGCGGCATCGGGGTTTGATACTATTGGAGTCGTTAGAATAAAGACCCGATCTTCCAGTTTTGGGCCCTGGTGGGGAACCGGGAAAATCTCGCACTACAGTCACAAAGGTCACCGTTGGCCCGTTCCATGGACCCTGGAGTGCGCCTTCCGATTGCGGCGACGGTGCAGGCTCCTCTCCTGGCGACCAGCAGACAAACCTGTTTGTGGTAGGCTTCTTACCGTCACGGTGTCACCCAAGTCAACACGACGGTGGTGCCGTCATTCAAATCCCAGCATTCGGGGTCGGGATGCGTCCATTCAATTGTGCGGCGACATAGCATGTGCCTCCAACTGGAGCGGAGCTTTCCGAGCGATCCCGGCTGACGCAAGATCGACCCCGCGATTAGCCGAGCCCACGCACCCTTGTGGCTGCGGGGCCGCACGGAGCTTGGGCCACCATTCGCTTCGACGCCAAGCAACTCGGGCGCCAAGACACGCGATTGCACGTCACTTGGCATCTGGGAGTTTCCGCGACAAGCAACGACAGTTGACCCAAGCGATATCATGTGATGATCAGACCGGAATGCGCCAGCGCCAACCAGTACAATGGTCCAACAACATGTCTTGAATTGGCTCTACAGCGTTCTGACAAGTGTCCGTCCCGCCGTAAACTAGGCACATCCCGACACATGACCCCGCCGACGCAGCAGGATGAAACTGACCTCTCTGTCACGCGTCCCAGGAATATCACGATGTCAACCGAACCTACAACGATGTCGCTCAGGCTCTGTCGCAGTATCCGTCTCTGTCGCCCAGGACCGACGTCCACAGTGCGCAACCCCTTTTTTCTCTTCGGCTGAGCCTGGCTGACGAACGGCGCCCCCAGCGTTTCCGAACGGCGTCTCTGCCTTGCTCCTCCATCTGTCAGGGACAATACCGGTGCGGTTCCGCGGCACGACCTACCGCTTCCCCATATCCCTCTGGGTGCCCCACGCCTACCCTCGGGAGCCCCCTCTGATCTACGTAACGCCGACCGAGACCATGGTGGTGCGTCCGGGTCAGCACGTCGACCCACAGGGTTTGGTCTATCACCCCTATCTTGCCGGATGGTCGACGTTCTGGGATGTAAGCCAGGGTGGTGTCTCATGCAAACAGAGCAAAGCTGATTCACAGCTCCAGAAATCCACGATCCTCGACTTTCTCAGGATCCTGCAAGACGTCTTTGCGAAGGAGCCGCCCGTGGTCGCGCGCCAGCAAGGGCCACCCCCTCCGATGCAACACGCGCCGACTCCCCCTCCTGTCCCGCCGCTACCGCCCGACCTCGCCCCGAGACCTGCCAGCCGAGTGCAGTCGGAGGCCCCTGCAGAAGCCCGGCCGCCGCCGCCTCCGCCTAAACCTGGAACACAGGCCCACCCCCGAGCGCGGCCCTCGCCGGCGCCGCCACAAGCGACAGATCCCGGTGTCCCTTCACCTCCACCGAAAATCGGCGGTCCTGCAGCTCAGTCACTCGGGGACGGACCTCCGGGGCCGCAGCAGCATTCGCCGATGCCCGGGCATTCGCGCTACGAGACGGCGCCACCGCTGCCGCCTCAAGCAGCACTTGCTTCACCTGAGCCGAGAGGACCGCCATGGGCTGCACCTGCGCAGCAACCGCCTCCGTCCAACGTCGCGCAATATCAGGGACATCCGCAGGCACCCGGATTCCAGCCAGGCCCTCCTCAGCCTCCCTTCTCACCCGCTGATCCCCGGAGAACGTCGACCTTCGTGCAACCCCAACCATACAACACACCACCGCCGCCCTGGCAACAGGCCCCACCACCTCCTGCCCAGGTCCAGCCAAAGCCGAAGCCACCCCCTCCGCCCGACCTGATGGATGACGACCTAACCCTCCCAATCCCCTCGCCATCCTCCGTCCCGCCGCCGCCGATCCCTCCCAACCCCGAGAAGGACCTGCTGCTGCACCGCCTCGCGCAAACGCTGCACTCGCACCGCCAAAAGGCCCGCGCGCAGAACGATGCCTCGCTGCAAGGCCTCCGGGCGCAGCGCGTCGCCATGCTGCAGGCCACGACAGCCCTGCAGGCCGAGTCGGCGCAGCTCGCCCAGCTCTCGGCGCTGCTCACGTCCAACACGGCCATCCTGCAGGACAGCCTGCGCCAGGCGGATGCGGTGATCGAGTCGTCGGCGAGCCACCCGGAGCCGGACATTGACGAGCTGCTGGTGGCGCCGACCGTGGTGGGGAACCAGCTATACGAGCTCGTCGCCGAGGAGCGGGCGCTGGCGGACGCTATCTTCATGCTCGGCCGGGCGGTCGAGAGGGGCCGGATTGCGCCACAGACGTTTGCCAAGATGACCAGGGGGCTGGCGAGGGAGTGGTATTTGAAGAAGGCGCTTGTGAAGAAGATTGGGAAGGGGATGGGGTTGGCGGGGTAAAAGGATCCCATCCGGAGAGGGCAGGACGATACCTAATTCAACCAGTTGGTACGAATACGATGGGGTAACGTTTGGCTGCGGTGTCATCAGCTGGAGATATAGATACCATACCAGTAGAGCTGCAACAGTCCTACCGCAGCCACCATGCTACCAACACTCGGCAGTCCCTCAAGCTGCGCACTCTCCCAGAAGCTATGGTCTCGTTCCTGGGAGAGCGGGAACTGGTACTCCCTCTGTAGTTCCAACATGCCTATCGTTACTATTATGTCGCAAGTACCAACGGCCTCGACAGGGAGCACCACGATACGAGCCGAGCAGCAAAGCTAAAGAAAATGTATGGGCGGGTTTAACATGTACAGCAAAATGCATCCCGGCAGCCTGCAAAAATGATACACTTAAAACCCCTTGCCTCCTAATCATCCGTCCCAGGCATTCCATTCCATTCCTAAACATCTATCCATAACGTGTTTGATACGACCCAAAGCCCTTCCTTCCTCACTTCCCGCAGCTCTTGTACAATACCCCTGAGCAGGCGCATAGACACTCACTAGGTACTACCTAGCCTCCTGCTCCGCCCTCAATACACGAAGCCACCACCCCCAGCATCAAGATTAAGACCGTGAGAGAGACTGCCCTTCGTCCTCAGCAAAGTCGTCAACCTCGCCGACGACGACGACACAGACGAAGCGCTCGTCTTCCGCGCAACACCGCCATTGAACCGCCGCCGTCCGATATCAAACGCCGCCGCGGCTGCGCGTCGGCCCCAGCTCTGACTGATACTGCTGCCGCCACTGCCACTGCCCTGGGTGTTGGGCTGCGATGCGTGGTTGGCGTTGGCGTTGGCGATAGTAGTCAGATCGCGCGCCTGCGCGGGCGCCGGGCTGAGGACGGGCTTGGCCGCGGCAGTCTTTTCCTTCCATGATGAGCGGGATGCGAGCGAGCGGGTGATGGAGGGGCAGTTTTCCTTTCCCCCCTGGGTGAGTGCGCTGTAGCTTTTGGGTTTTGTGAGGATTGCTCCCGGTTGGTTGGTTCCGGTTCCGGTGAGACGGAGGGGTCCCGGGGCAAGCATGGCCGTCTTGTTCAGGACCTCGACGGACGGGAGTGTCTTGAGGGCAGCTAACGCTGCCGCCGCCGCCGATTCCTCTCTTCTGTGCTTCGAGCTGGAGATCTTCCTGAGGGTGGCCTTGATGGAGGTGCTCAGCTTGCGTTGAACTTGAGGGCCGGGATGAGGATGATGTTCTGCCGTGTGCGGTCCGTCGAAGTTGGAGGCGCTGAACCTGCCGAGAAATGAGATCGAGCTCTTGCGCTTGCCGTACCCTTGGAACACCTCGTCGTCGCCGTTCGACGTCGACCCCTTGCGACGGCTGAAGGAGAGCGCTCGTAACCCTTCCGACCCGCGTCTCAGTCCCCAAGTCGAGGGTGCCTTTGCGTATGGCCGTTTGATGGAACTGCTCGGTGACTCGGGCGTGTTGTCACGTAACTGGTGCGGATCTGCCTCGCGGCCTGTGGGGTGGCTGATTTGTTCAAACTGATGAATTCTATCTCTCACTGGCGAGACAGCGCCTGCAGCTGAGCTATTCGAAAGTGCCTTCATCTTCGGCGGCGTATGGGTCCGTCTGCGTCGTTTGTGTCTGTGTCGCGTCTTGCGTATCTTGTTGGGGCCGGCCAGCAAGATGAAGGAAGGCGGGATATGGCGGAGCTCTTTGCGTGCAGCATCCGGCATTGCGGTGAAAACAATGTTGGGCAAGCTGGGACTGGACTTCATCGCAACAGCATCATTCACCGCTTGCCAATACTGCAGATAAGGAGAAGAAGACGACTCGGGCAGGGAATTGTGGGAACCGGCGACTTCCTTAGGTGTCTCATTGGCCGCGTGCCTTTGATCGGACTGCCTTTGAGCGCTCTCAATGCCTCCGGGGCTCTGGGGTTGAGTCTCGGGTAAGGAAGCCCTGGGAAGCAGCAGTAGCTGCGGCTTGGTCAATTCGCGACCTGACGTCTTCACTGGGGATTCATCGGTCATATCAGCATTACTAAGTGACTCTCTCGCTCTGTGCTTGATCGTCCGAGACAGCTCTTCAACCAGAGCTGCTCTGAGCGCCTTGCCTTCCACCCGCCGAACGGTAGGGGTCCTCGGACATTGGACGACGGGGAGAGGAGGGCGAGTGGGCGTCGGCTCGGAGTCCCTCGCCCCGCGGTCCAACCAGTTGATGTCCGCCTGAAATGGATGTATGCTGTCGGCGGCTTGCCTGTCCCGCGTATCAGACTTCACAGACCTTGCTCGTTCAAGCGTGTTGGGGAGCGAGGTGGTGGAGAAACGACAGCTGCTGGCTTGAAGCTCCCGCTCGAACACTTTGCACATATCTGCGACGCTGTGACTCTTGCCCGGGATGATCCCATGCTGTTGGTGATCCAAGAACAACCGAAGATTGTTGTCGCGTGGGATAGAACGAGGACAGGTTGACGGGGTTCGAGGTGCAGGTGTGCGTACCGGCGGAGAGACCGCCGGGCGAGCGCTGGCGTCTGTATCGATGGCTTTGGAAGCCCGAGGCGCGGACACTGAATGGCCCTGTTGTACCGGCAACGGCGCGGTGACGGCCCTCGTGGCATGGGTGACAACAGGTGACGCGACTGCCTCGTTCCCTTTGTTTGTTGATTAGCCGCGGACGCAACCCTCAGGGATACAGGTCTGACGACTCTCGACAGACTCACCAGACAACCGCTCAAACAGCTTCCTTTTCTCAGAGACCGTGCTCGAACTCAAGAGGCCTCTCATCTTTGCTCCGGGCTCAGCGCGGTTTTCAGGGGTCACGGATTGCCCTCGCGCCTCTCTGGCGGTGGGAGACGGCTGAGGCTTCGTGGGGGACGCCTAGTCCTCTCTATTGCCTCGGTTCTCCCAGCCATGGGCTGCTTCACAGTTGGCTCCCTCACCGCTCGCTTTACTGCTATCAGAGTCTGTGTCTCTGGCCTCTTGGACGTGGTGTCTGGAAACGGTTGAAGGGACTGCCGGCCCAGTCGCAGGGATGTCAGCGTGGGTCGAGCGGTTCTTGTCCAGCGGAAGGACCGTAAGCCGGTGGCAGCTGGCCTGAGGTCTAGTCAGGCCCTGCAAGTTAACAGACGTAGTTGACGGGCGCTTCCCCGAGGACCAGAACGAAGCGGACTCAGAGAGCCGCCGAGAGGGCCTGGACTCTTCCTTGATAACAGCATCGAGCATTTCGAACTTGGACACCAGGGCGGCCAGACCCGGCGAGGCAGTACGGAGGGGCGGTGCTGGCATGCAAAGGGAAGCTGTCCTCTCACGCCGGGCAGCCATGTGCTGACGCGGGAGTTGTGCCGCTGCTTCTCGAATGCGGACAAACTTGGGCGAGCCGGTGCCAGATTGGCCTTTGCGCGCGAGGAGCAACGCCTCTGGCGTGGCCAGCAATTTCGGGGAGGCTTCCGGTGACGGGCGGCTCGGGGGATCCATGACGGTTAATCCAATGCAAAAGACGCAAGGCAATAATCTTTTACCCACGGCGGTAACTACTAGGACACGAAATGACAACCACAGCCGCCGCTCGATGTGACGAGGGAGCACAGAAGAGAGGCTACGACAGCACACTCATTGCGCAGGAGAGCCCGTGTGGGATGCATCAGCTCCGTAGGCTCGACTCTTGGGGAAGGAGTGATATCCATGCCTGGTGGAAAAGGCAGGAACAAACCTAGTCCAGGTGCGGATCATCGATACTGTCCAGGTCCCGTCTTCCAACCTCAAGATCAACCTCTGCCCTGATGGCTCGTTATTCTCTCAGGGAAACGGATAAAGTCATGGCCTTGAAGCCTGGCTGTATCGAATGAAGGGACGCAATACACGAGACCAGCCCAGAAGTAGTTACACAAACCACGCACCAGTCGCAGCGATACAGACAAATGAAAGCAGCGACCAACCCGGCCCAACGAATTCAACGGAACAAGAAACAAGCCTAAACGCAAGCTGCATGGCCATTCACACCAAGAATCCAAAACTGTGTCCGCAAAACGCGATCTGCCCCCCCCTTCCCCGCCTTCATCACCCAACCAAGCAACACCCCCTAGACAGTCGCGGCTCAGACAACCTCCCCGCCTTCCACGGCGCAGTCAAACGCAAACAGTAGCTCACCCTAGGAGCTACCGCTCGGCACGCGCTCCTCCCGCCGCTCGATGCCATAATTCACCCTGACACCACCACCGCCGCCGTTGCCGCGCTCCAGGTCCGCCAGCCCCGCGTCCACCGGCGAGGTAACATCCCCATGCCGATGACGATGATGAACGTGATGATGATGGTCCACCCTCCCCTTCTCGGAAGACTCGGTCGACCCATCGCTGGCGATATGCGTGACCACCGCGCCGCCGTCGCCGCCGCGATGCACGCCGCTGGTGTTGTTGTTGTGCATACTCCACAGCAGCGGCCGCTTGGTGGTGGTGGTCGTGGCAGTGGACAGGCCCGAGCGCGCGTTCGAGATGGTGGTGGACGACATGTCGCCCGTGCGGTGGTGGTGGTGGTTGTGACTGTGGCCGCTGGCGTCTTCCGAGCCCGGGCCGGTGCCGAACGCGGCCGGGTTGGCGAGGCGCTGGGCGACGAGCGTTCCCAGAGGGAGCACGATGATCACCGAGGTCTGGGTGAGCGAGGCGGCTTCGAAGCGGGAGAATTGCACGAATTCCAGCGCGGAGAAGACCACTGCACACCCCGAAAACAGTCAGTCCCCGAAAAGGGGGATGGGACAGTGGTGAGGGGGAAACAAACATACCGGGAACGAACATCAAGATGCCATTGGTGATGACCAGCACGTCCATGGCTTTCAGCCCCTGCAGAGACGGCAGCACGCTGCGGTTGACCCACATGTGCATGACCAGCCGGATGTTGAACAGGAAGCAGAACCAGCAGATGGACGCGGTGATCAGCCCGAGGTAGGCCTGGCGCACCCAGTTCTTCAGGTACGACATGTCGGCGTAGAGGGTGGCCTGGGTCTGGAAGATGGTTGTCGCAAAGTTGAACCCCACCGTCGTCAGCACCAGCGCCAGCGACATGGCCGTGGTCGGCACCCGGTACTTGGCCGGCCACAGCCGCATCATGGACCACGCCTGCACCACCAGCGCCGCCAGGATAAGGATGGTGACGGGGACACTGAGGGCGGTGGTGGCCGCGCTCGTGTTGTAATCGGCGCGGGGGATGGGGCTGGCATCGCCCGAGACGACGGTGTAGAAGTTCACCCAGGTGGAGGTGAAGAATAGGGCAAGGAGGAGCATGCGTATCAGGTTCAGCGTCAGAGCCGCGACGCTGATGAGGGTGGGCGTGCGCTTGAACCGCGCTCTGGGCGTCATGGCGAGCACCACGGCGAGCATGACGATGCAGGCGCCGATCTGTGTGCCGTAGAGGATGGATAGCGAGGTGGCATTGGTGTAGACGAGGGTGATCATGGCCGTGTTGAACGGGACCTGCGTCTGGCCGTCTGCATAGAGGATGAAGGAGGTTTGCCGCGTCGGGTCGAACGGGGGTGTTGAACTGTTGGACGCCATCTCTCCCAGATTTCAAGGACAAGAGGTAGTCCGGGTGTTGATACGAAGATCAGATAAAACGTCTCAGCCCGTGTAGTCCGCGGCGGTGTCAGTCCGATATCTCTCGACACATGCAACAGCGAGTGCGGATGTTAAGTCAGTTGAAACTTAAATGCTCGACGGGAGCAAGCAATATGAGACGCTCAGGCCCATGTGCTGAGTGACAATAGTACGAGAGATTAGACGTCGAATCGACTGTTCTGGGCGTGTCGGAGTGGCTCGCGTAGCCAGCCCCTATTCTGGCTGTCAAAGAACAATCCTAGGAGGAGAGGCCATTTCCCCTTGGCCTAATCCCCCCTCAGATTTCGGGGTGGATGTCTTCAAAGAATACCATCACGCTGTATGCGAGCGTATTGCAAGGGACAATGAGATGTGGTACGTCGCCCAGCCATTCAGGTGCGTAAGCGCGTTCCGCGATAGTCGCTTTCCTTAGGATTGTTCTCCCGGGCCCCCCTTAGTATTGTTCTCAACGCCCGACCCACAATTCGCTGCGTTGCCGATCTCGAAGCAACTGACAAGTCGAATGACGACCGGTGTATCCCGAAGGCCAAGAGGATGCTATATGATAGGAAAATGAAAAGAGACTCCCCCATGTGCCTGGGAGAGTACTGGCTGCCGAGGTTGTGCAACCGCAGCCGACAAGTTCCGACGCTACGTCCGCGACAGGTTTCAGTTGAAATCATGTTCATGGCTACCTAGGTGTATCACTTTCATCAACCGATGACGACATGAGCCTTGACTGTCCGTTTGATGTTGCAGTCATTGAGTGCACCCGGGCTCATTTTCGGGTGGTTGGAATGTGGTTGGATACGCCCTCCGCGAAGTGTGAATCAGCATTCGGTGCATCCTAACCTGCAACGATGGTGTTCAGCTCGGCCCCTGCAGTTCCCTCTGATGGTCAAAAGATGAGGGCTTCACGCTTGGGACGTGGCTACTCCCAGGCCAGGTCGGACGTTCTACCATTGGCATCTCCAGACTGTCGAACAACCGGTGTGGTGCATCGAATGCAGAGGCAGGTGTTGGCCGCAATCGACCCAGAGCTTCACGGCACAACTCCAGGAGTAGCGTCTGTGCCGGACCTGCAGCTTGCATCTCGGGCTATCCAGTGACGACTTTCATCACGACCTAGTCCACGTGTTGAACGAACTCTGCAGCACCGTAGCCGCGCAGGCGCGGGTGCTCAGCGAGGGAGGCGGCAAGCAGCCAATCGGCATCGTTGCCTGTGTGCGTGTCGATCGGCGGCTGCAGCATCTCGGATCTTGCTTGGGCTTGCCCGAAGTCGGTGAGCCAGAGTACCTGAGTACCCGAGAGCCCCCGGCGTTCTGAGACAACGGTGTGACCGGCTGTCAAGTGAGCTGTGGCGGCAGCCAGGCAAACCTACTCTGTGAGCGCAGTCCTGCGGCAATAAATTGTCTGAGCAGGACCGTGATGAGATCGTGTAGCGACCGACAAGGTAACGGCTGCCAGGCTTCGCAAGAGCCCCCAGTGCGAACCATATGATGAAACTTGAATGGTTGAGGACCTGAGGTGTAGGAGATTGAGCCCCACTGCAGTGGTGATGGTAGGGTTAAGGTACGAGTTAGTTTCCGTAGTGCATGTGCGGGGCCTTCAAACCGTTCCTTCCCAATGCTCCAGCACAGGAATCTTTGAAGCATCGCATTTATTAACAGAATCGACCAAGCGTTGGTAACTGGAGCATATTTACAGATAAAGCATTCCGTAGCCTCCGGTGTGTTAGGCAGGATGGCGCGCGTTGTACGTATCTGCCGGCTCCTCCGGATCGCGGTTTGCTTCGCGCAATGCCACCGTCCCCGGCGACCCTGCAGCTGACCGTGTGCCCCTGGCTTATGAGAGCAGGCTGTCGGGCAGTTGACATCAACGGCCAGCATGGCGCACAACCTCGCCCAGTGCCGCCTCCTCATTAAGAAAGCAAGCCAGGCCGGCGCCAGAGTAGCTCATCCTCCCGAACCCCTGGATTTATTTTCCACGCTGAACCTCAATGGCAGGCCCTTTTCCTGCCCGAAGCAAGCGACTACATCGCCGGCTCTGGAGAGGAGACCGTCCGGCTCGTCAAGCCAGTCCATGAAAGCGAGTTTGTCCTGGGCTTGCGTGAAGAAGCCCGGCGCGAGAGGTTGTCGATCCATGTCGGTGTGCACGAGCCAGGGCTCGACACCCAGCGAGTGAAGAACACCGTGTTGTGGATTGACGACCGCGGCGAAATCGTGCACCGTTACCAGAAGATTCACCTGTTTGACGTCGACATCAAGGACGGCCCGGTGCTGAAGGAGAGCAAGTGAGCAGCCCCTGCGACCTCGGGGGGCCAGATCGTGTCTGATTGTCATCGCTTCAGCTCCGTCGAGCCAGGTGCCGAGATTGTGCCTCCGTTCGATACTGCGGTTGGGAAAGTCGGTTCTACGATATGCTTTGATGTTAGATTCTGTCCGTTTCCACGGTGATTTCCTACGCTGACAGTATCCAGCTTCGGTTCCCCGAGATCATTCTCCGCTTGAAGCGCCTTGGAGCTGATATCATCACCTTCCCTTCCGCATTTACAGTCCCAACAGGAAAGGCCCATTGGGAAGTCCTGTTGAGAGCACGGGCGATCGAGACACAATGTTATGTCATTGCCGCCGCGCAGGTGTGTGCAGATGTCCATTGGGGCTACCTTGACCGAGATGTGGCTGACAAGCGACGGCAGGTCGGAAGGCACAACGAGAAGCGTGTGAGCTACGGCCACAGCATGATTGTCGATCCGTGGGGTACCGTGATAGCCGCGCTTGGGGGGGCAGGCGAAGAGCCCGAGATTGCTACTGCCGAGATTGACCATGGCCTTCTACGCAAGGTCAGGATGGAGATGCCGCTCCGACGACGGACGTATGTGCTGCCGCAACACCTGTCTCATACATGCTTCTGTTCTGACGTTTGCGCAGCGATGTGTATCCGGAGATTTAGCGTTGCATTACCTCATCTAATGCCGTCAATGCCTTGCAAGCTTGGGCATTCCTCTCCGAGACATCTACAGTTCTGATGATCACCTGGTGCCCAGTATCGAAGCTACCTGACTCGGCGTTCCTCAAGCAATTCTCGCCCCGCTTCTCCGTGAAGGAAACACCGGCGTCCTTCTGGTTGGCCTAAACCTAAATTACAATAAGGTCCCAATGATTATGCCGCACTGAAATCTCACAACAGAGGTGTCTTGTCAAGCGTTTATGAAGGTTCGTAGAACAACAGTTTCTAGGCAACTTGGCCGAGTGGTCTAAGGCGATGCACTCAAGGAAATCCTTGCCCCTAAAACGGGCAGTATTGCATTCTCGCAAGAGGCGTGAGTTCGAATCTCACAGTTGTCAGCAGGGAGGCCCTTCCAAGGCCGTTCTTCTTTTCTCGTTTTTGCTCTGCAGCTCGATACACCAGCTTCAGTGGGCGTCTCCATGAGTCCAGTAACTGCGCATTCGAATTTCTGCGCACGCACGGCCTCGTCCCAATGTGCTCTCCGCATCTGCTTCCCGTGACAGACATCCGAAGACCCAAGCTTCAGGATAAATTGGGCTGCATTGATTCAGGCTGCTTAGCTAGTCCACACTGCAAATTGCTATGCTTCCAGACAAAACCAATGGAAGCTCCGCTGGACCATAATTCGGGGGTGAAGACTCGACACTTCCGAACCCGAAACGGAGTTGCCGCCTTCGCGACCTCGAGGACGTTGTCAGCACCAGCTTCTCACTCCCCTATGCCCGGACTGGGAACATTGGCTTCACGCTCGATATATACGGATAGTTACGCAGAATGTCGTCTCCACGGTCTCCTGCAGCGTTGCTTTCGGGTCTTCTGGAAGCGCTCCCATCACACCCTAAGGTGCCTATATATTTACACTCGGCCGGATAAATAACACGGAGACCGTGGAAGGGATCTCGATCTCACTCTCTCGCAACCCTGATGAACGGGATAAGAAGCTTGCCGGCCCCGTGCCGACGAAGACTGTAAACCACCAGCATAGTCAGCAAGTCCAGGACGGATAGCAGCCGCAGACATGCACATCTCAACCATCCTCTCAAGCCTGAGCCTGGCCAGCCTGGCCGTGGCAGGACCAGTGCAGCTTGCCGATCGCCAGGCTCAGAAACTCCGAATCAGTTAAGGCCACCCTCTCGCACACCCAGTCAGAGACCAACTACCCGCTAATACCCCGCACAGTGCCGCTCGGCGACAGCATCACCGAGATCACCTGCTGGCGCGCCCTGGTCTGGGACCAGCTCGCGGCGGCCGGATACGCCGACAGGGTGCAGTATGTGGGCTCGCAGAACAGCAACCCGCAGAACTGCCGGCCGAGCACGGCCAACTGGGACCAGCACCACGAGGGGCACTCGGGCTGGCTGGCCATCGACATCGCCAACAGCTACCTGGCCAACTGGCTGCAGAAGACGCCCGCCGACATCGTCATGTTCATGCTCGGCACCAACGACGTGACCCGCGGGCGCAGCACCAACGATATCATTGCCGCGTATACCAAGATGGTCGGTATCATGCGGGCGGCGAATCCGAGGATGAAGATCATCGTACGTTCTTTGTCTTTCTTCTACGTACACCAGACAGAACATCCGACTGACATGTTGAGTTCTCTGAGTCAAGGTCGACCTAGTCATCCCCCTCTCGTACTCCAACGCGCAGATCCAGGCGATCAACGCGCGCATCCCGGACTGGGCGCGGGGCCTCAACTCAACCGACTCGCCCATCGTCATCGCCGACTGCTACAATGGGTTCTCGACGTCGTATCTGCGCGACGGGGTACACCCCAACCTAGAGGGCGATAGGCTCATGGCGTCGCGGATTGGGCCGCTGCTGTTGAATTATGTGAATGCGTCGCTGGCTGTGTAAGGGGGGGCAGGGGGCGTGTTGGTGGTTGGGTGAAGGTTAGGTAAGGGTCTAAGGGATACTTGGCCGCCAGGTGCGAACTTTCAGTGCAGACGGCTTCGTGCCGGCAGCGGTGCTTTGAGCTCCTCGATACTCCCATCATCTGGTCCTCATGATAATCGTCCCACTCCTCGTGGATGACTTGATCGACACACTTCAGCAATCAAACCTCCTGCGTCCTTTCGCTGCTATGTTCTGCAATCAGATCGGTATTCCTGGTAGCCAGGGGCCCAGCTGGAGGGGGTTCCGTGCTGGCATGCCCCTCCTTCTTCTCTTTTTGGGCTTTGCGGCAGCTGTGGTTTCTCTCCCGGTTTCTCTCCGGTTTTGGCCCCCATCTCTTCTCAGCTAGCTTCGTAGGTTTCACAGGCTTCTTTTCGTCCGGGCCCCGGGCTCCGAGTTCAAACTTACCTAGTTCTTCAGCGCCTCATCGTCCTTCTGCTAATCTCCATAATGATGCATATGAGCGGCACATTGGAGAGTGAGGTTAGATTTAGGATAGCAAAGCGAGATGTAACTAGGTCGCTACGCGGGAGATTGAGCTACTGACGGTAGAATCGAGGTTGAAGCAACTAGGAACTACGAGTATGCCCGGTAAAACTATTGGCGCGCCCGCCCTAGAGTACCAAAATATCAAGATTCAATGCCTACCTAGAAACTAGTTGTACTCAAAAAGAGTCACCCTATATTGTCCCTTTAGATGCCCTAACCCTAATTAGGGAGAGTTATCAAAAACTTACAAAAACACCGGTACGGGGAATCGAACCCCGAGCTTCGCGGTGAAAACGCGATATGTTAACCGTTACACTATACCGGTACCAGGTATTGTTGAACTTTGGAAGCCGCGACCAGCTCTTCAGCATCGCCGGGAAGGGAAGGAGCGACCAGTTCAGTTCCTTCCTCAAGGTTCCCTAGATCCCAAACACCGAGCTTGTGCTTCGTGCCTTCGATCTTGGAAGTGCCATGCCTTGACCACCATGTTCTCAATTGAATCAAGCTTAATCTGGGATCATTCTACGTGTCCGTGTCCGGCGTTGGAGCTGCAACTGTGATGAGGTAGGCTAAGTCGGCATTATCAATTCCCAACTATAGATGCTACAAGCAGTCACCGACACAAGATCATCATGGATGTCGTATGTCGGAGAAAGGGTCTTTATACTTGGCAGTTACAACCAGGTACGCCCACTCCTACTTTGTACAGCGTCTAGATCAATTGATGACCTTCACGACAGCACAACGATTCCGGTCGAAGATCCATGAGCGTGCGTGTACAGTGGACACGACAATCATACATACAAGTCGCAGAATTTGGGGAAACCTTAGCGCAAATCCGCTACGTAGCTCAAAGAAATCTTGCCAGCAGTCAACGGCAAGACAAAACCAGAACCTCAACAACCCACAATGCTTCGCCCCGGGATCCAGCCGGCATACAATCTCAGAATCAGACACAAGACGCGATCACGAACTCCTAGCCAACGACATCACCGCTTCCATATCCGGCCCTCCCTCCCTATCAGCAGTCGCCCAGCGCTGCATCCTCCAAAAAATGGTCTGCAACGCCCGCCACCCCTCCAGCATCTCCCTCTCCTCCACCGTCTCGACTCCGGCCCGATCGGGACCAGCAGCTCCCCAGGGGACTTCATCAACGCCACATCGCGTCCACTCCCCTTTGAACTCCTCCTTACCGTCGACCCTTGGAGGCGGCGGGACCTTGCCGGTTGTAAAATACTCCCGCAGCACCTTCGCCATGCATCGCGAGACCGTCGAGATGGTGCAGTGTCCGAGCGACTGCTGTTCCACCAGGCCGGCATCCTTGAACTGCAGCGCCGTCTTGACTGCCGCGCGGAGAGGGGTGACGGGGTCGTAGGTGTTGGAGAGGAGGAGGATTGGGTGGGTCGTTTCGATTTGTTTATTGGTCTTTGAAAGTTCGGTAGCGGGGAGAGGGTGGGATGGGTAGATATCCCAGCCGTTGCACTTCAGCATCAGCTCCATCCAGATGTCCCCGAACTGGGAGGTGGCCGCCAGGGCTTCGTGGCCGGAGCGTATCTCGGGGAGGGTCATATTCACCTGTCGTGGCTTAGCGAGGACGGGGAGAAGTGTGGTTTTCCTGGATGGGGATCACTTACTGACTGCGTCTTGTCGCCGCACATGATGGCGCGCTGGGCGTCGGTCATCGTGCCTGTGACGAGCGGGTTTCCCGCTACCGTGCAGAGCAGCTGCGCGTCCTGGAAGAGCGCGCCCAGCAGCTCGTACTTGCCCTCGTAGATGATGTTCAGCACGGTGGCCAGCCCAGGGAACCCCTTCACCGGCGAATACAGGGTCGTGAAGACGAGCTGCTTGACGAAGTTGTTGCGGAGGAAGACCGGGTAGAAGTGCTCCGGGTGGGTAAAGGTGACGGGGCTCGTCTCCAGACGGTCCATGACCTCATCATATCGCCGCTTGACATCCTGCGCGGTATCCCCGTTCCGATACAGATCGCACTTCCTCCCCGCCTCGACACAGTATCGGAACAGCTCCCCCAGCACTTTATCCGCATCCACCAGACTCTCCCTCCACAGGGGAGTCTCGTACAGCTCCCCATCCACGACACCATCCAACACCACCCTCCCGACCCGCTCGGGAAACATCCTCGCAAACGTGGCACCAAGATACGTGCCGTACGAAAACCCCCAGTAAACCAACTTTCCCTTCAGGCCCTCCTCAGCATCTTCCCCAGCCCCGTGTTTACCAACCCACCTCTCCCACGCATCAACAATCCCCTTCATATCCCGCGCCACATGCTGCGTGCTGGCATGGCCCAGTATACTACTACTCCCGCCCTCCTCCTTCAGCCGACGATCCTTCTCCCCACACAGCCGATTCACCCCGCGATGACCCGCATCGATCAGCCTCGTGGCCACATCGCTCTCGTTCAGCCCGCCAAAGTCCCGCGTCATGGACTCCCACTGCAAGCGGCGCAGCATCCCGCCGGCGACATCTTCCTCGCAATCACCACCACCGTCACGAGTACGGTGACGGTGGTGGTGGTGGTGGTGCTGCTTGCAGGAGGGCGGAGGAGGGGCAGCCCAGCAATCGGCCCTGGGGACAGTGAAGCCCACGCCGCGGGGGTCGAAGCCCAGAATGGGTTGGTCTGGCCCCAGGACCTTCTGCAGCGCCGGGCCGCCGAGCAGGGCCAGTGCCACGCCTGACCCGCCGGGTCCGCCGGGGTTGAGTAACAGTGGCTGCTTCAACTTGCTCGTGGGCGATGAGTGGGTTTGGGTGTGGTTGTGGGTTTGGGAGGGGAGCAGGAGGAGGGCGATGTGCACTTTGCCAGCGGAGGCTGAGTTGTTGTTGGCAGAAGAAGAGGAGGAGGTGTAGTCCATGGGAACGGTGAAGCGGGCGCAGAGGAAGGAGGGGTTGATGGAGGTGTAGCAGGGATGCCATTCGAGCTCTGGGCTGGGTGTGATCTGTGGCTGGGTTTAGATGGGTCCGTCGAGGGAAGGGGGGGGACAACTGACGGATTCCCAGGGATTCAAGTGGTCGCCCTGCACAGAGTGCGGCTCTTCACTAACGGGGCTGCGCAGACGATAGCTGAAGAGACGGAGGTTTGTCAGGCAGCCGAGGACCACGATGCCCGCGAGCAGGGCGGCAACTCGGAAGCGACGCCGCGATCCACGGCATCGTGTTGTATCTGGCTGTGGAGGCAGCGGCAATGTGATGCCGGATCCCTTCTCCATTTTCTCACCAGTCCTGGGGGATAGTGGGAAGATGCTTCTGCGGAGTTAAGGGCCAAGAAGTGAAGTTGAGGTTCTTGGAGATGGGCAAATACCCGCGGGATTGACGCACCCCGCATGCGAGTTAGGCATCCTTACCGGACTGAGCCGGATGCTGACCCGTTACCGCGACCCGGATGACCCAGAGAAAATGCCCGGTCAACCATTGGAAGGTCGTAATGCTGTTGCTCCTTCCGTACCACGGGTTGTTTTGAGGCGCAAGGTGGGTGGGGGGCGAAACATTGATAACCCCGACAAGGTATCATGCCTATATTACTGCATTTTCAATCGATATACCATAAAATGAGAATACATCGCGCCTGCGCCTCACATAGGATATCAAAAGTTACTTTTTCCATTCCCACCCAGTCCTAACTCCAGCCCTGACCTTCCCATCAACTCAAAAACTTAGATTCCCCCTGCTGAAACAGCCAGTCCCGGTTCGCATCCACCATGAAATCTGTAATGTTAAACTCGCCCGGCACCGTCCCGTTCGCGCTACCCGCGTCCAGCCCGTTCCCGTTCCCATCCGCGGCTGCGCCCGTGCCGGGACCCACCGGCAGTCGTGGCACGTTAAAGAAGTCGAAGACGTCCAGATACTCCAGGTCGTTGGGCGCCGGCGTCCTCGACGCAGGCGTGACGCTCGCAAACCGGCTCTGCCACCCTCCGTTCCCCCCGCCATTGCTGCCTCCATTGCCCCCATTCAACCCCGCGCCGAGGAGGGGCGGCACATGCCGCGGCTGGCGACTGATCAGGAAGTCCAGATCGAACGCCGTGCGCCGCATGTCGGCCAGGATCCGGACGCTGTTAGGCGTCTGGCCGCCGCCCTGCTGCTCGCTGTCGCGGTGCTCGTCCAGCACGCGGCTCAGCAGGCTGCAGTAGCGCGCCGCGACCGGCCAGTACCGGCCCATCTCGCGCAGCGTGTCGACGAAGGGGCCGATCTGCGGGCTGAGCTTGCGCTCGACGGTGCTGCCGTGCACGAGCAGCACGCGGGCGGCGACCCAGAGGGTGAAAGCGAACGGCGGGCCGAGCTTGCAGAGGAGGTTGTTGTTGACGACGAACTCGCACAGCGCCGAGATGTTCTCGACGGCGGCGTGGCAGCGCTGCGAGGCCGAGTAGCTCGGCGTGAAGATCGGGGAGCGGGTGGTCGGGTACGCGGCGGACGAGTGCAACCGGATGACGGCCGTGTGGTACGTCGCGTGCAGCATCACCCAGCCGCAGTTGATGGTTTTGGCCGAGGCGGGCTGGAAGAGTTTGGCCATGTTGCCGTATTCGCCCGGCAGGCCGAATTTCCAGGCCGCCAGCATGTTGTCAAGCTCCTTGTAGCGCATCTGCCAGGTCTCGACGTCCGACAGCGCGCTGATGTCGACGGGTTCTTTCAGGAACTTGTGGATTTTGGACAGTATGCCGAGGATCTCGATGTAGTAACTAAATGTACCCAGGTTCTCGGGCTTGTCGACTTCGTGCTCGGACCCGTTGCCGCAGAGGTTGTCGTGCTTGACATCGGCAGCCCGGAACCAGCGCGTCTCGACTTTCTGGTTCTTCATCCAAAGGTCGTCGCGGCACGGCAGCGTGCGGTCGATCTCGCGGTCGTCGATGCCAAACTCGAAGGCCGTCGCGATGGTGGCATATCGGTCGAGTAAGTACACCATCCAAAAGAGCCGTCGTCGCGACTCCTCCTCGATGAAGTCGCGGGGCTCGGGCAGGATCATGGCGCGCAGCGTGTAGATCGACGTGAAGTTCGGGGCAACCGAGAAGGAGTTGCTCTCGACCGTCAGCCCCAGCTGCACCACGGCTCGTGTGATGAGCGCCATGATATTCCAGCCCGGCGGCCCGTTGCTGCTGCCACAGAGGTCCAGGGCAAGGATCACCAGTGCTTGCAGCGACTTGACCGACAGATGCTCCATGCCGTAGAGCAGCACGCGCTGCTTAGACGCATCATGGTATCGCTGCCGGCTCTCCTCGGTGAGCCGCACGTCGGTCGAGTACCGCATCGCGGTCGCGACGATGGCATGCAGCAGGATCTTATCCTCCTCGCCAATCATGGACGGGCCGAACAGAGAGTCCAACGTGGTCTTGCGGTGCAGGATCGGGCACCAAGTGTTGACGTGTTTGAAGTACAGGTCTGCCAAGGCGTACAGCAAGTCATACGGCGGGAGTTCCTGCTCCGATGCCATCTGGCCCGAGTGGTGCGTGGTCGCAGACGGTGACTGCAGATGCTGGGCGGGTCCAGTCCCATAGTACTCCTGCGCTGCGGCGCTCGGCGCCATGGCCGTCTGCATGTGGCTTCGCGGCGAGATGCCAGAGACGGCGTGGAAGCCGTCGTGTCCCGACGCGGCCGACAGTCCAAAGTCGACAGATGTCGACGGCTTTTGGAGGAAGAGCGCCGTCTCCGCCTGCGGGGTTCGGATAGTGTCGTGGCCCGGCCGTGAAAACACGGGCGGCATGGCTTCGCGAGGGGTGCCATGGTCGCTCGGCAGGCTCTGGTTGCTGCCCCTGACGCTCGCGGCGGCGGCGTGCTGTGCCAGGTTGGTGCCACCGCTCCCGGGCCCGCTCCCTGGACTATTGTTCGATGTCAACGACTGGAGAATCTCGGAGTGTAGCCGTAGCCTTTCCTCGAGCTTGTCCAGACGCTGCTCCAACTCGCGGCCATAGCCCGCCCGCAGTCCTGGCTTTTTTCTCTCCTTGTACTCGCAGAGCGCGCCGTTGCGGCTGCACCACCCGCAGGACGGCTGGCCACGGTCGCATTTCACCTGTACCGGTCAGCAGGCTGTCGGTCGGCGATGATGTAGTCTCAAGCACGGTAGGGAGGGGGCATACTTTCCGCTGCTTGCAGAGCTCACACCTAGGGTGGCATCAGCATCGAGTTGCCGACGGGGACGATGGTCTGGCGGCTGTAGCGGCGGACACGGCTACTTACGAGACGGATATGGGTCGCTTGCGCTTTCCAAGGCGAGCGCCTTCGTGCTGGTCGTCGTCGTGGTCGAGGTCATCGCTCTGCTGGCCGCCATCGTCGCTCTCCGGGGGATCCTGGTGCGCATGCCGCCCTGGATGGGAAGACTGCGGCGACGACTGCAGTTGCAGGCCGTTGTATCGGGGAGCCTGGTGCTGCATCATGCCGAGCGCCCACGGCGAGCGATCGCCGCCCGCGACGGCAGTCACCACGCGAAAGCGGGACTCGGGCGTTGGAGGGGGAAGTGGAGCGAGAGACCTGCCGAACCCCAGTGTACGGCGCAGCGATGCTCAGGGTTTGAGACCAATTGACCCGTGCGACACGATACGGTCACGCTGTATGCACAAACGCGGTATCTCCTAATCGCCACCAATAATCAGAGCCAGTCCGATGGCCGATGTTCCATGGAACGGTTCGGTGTAATGTTGTGTAGAGGAGCGAGACGGACAGTGGAGAGACCTCGGACGTTTTATCGCGGTGCAAGTGCACCCGATGCGCCGAATTCCGACCAGGGCTTGGGACCCATCAGGCGCGTGCATGGATTGTGGGGAAGCGAAATTGGCTGCTGATGATTCCGGGGTGAGGTCCAAGCTCCGAGCTGCACAGCCAGCTGCCCTCGGCTCCAAGCCTACAACACGACGTCAACAACTTGTAACGATGTCCCAAGGTCGCTTTCAACGAGCCTCTGAAGGTAATGATTCTCCCAGGTGTAACTAGGACGCTCAGTCCTTCTCGCCATCCACGTATTATGGGGATGGTCTCCGAAGTGCCGAGCATGGGGCGTTGGGTGACCTGCAGCAGCCCGCATGGGAATTCAGCCCGTCATGCCGACGGCAGGGTCCAGGTCCGTCTTCCAGCCTCAAGGGCCCAAACGGAATGCGGGAACGTCCGGCCCCGGTGCCGTCCCTTGGGTAACTTGGGTTGTCTCTGGCATAGGTTTGGGTTGGTTCCGTTGTACTGTTTCACCCCGTAGGGCCGGCGGGCGCTGCCGCTCTCGTGGAAGCCGAAGGCCTTGGGGCACCTGACATCTGACCCGGCTCACGCATTCCACTGTCCAATCTGGATGGGGCGCCGGGCAGGGGGACTGCTACGAAGCCGAGTGGACGACGCCTCAACCCCAAGAGGTCTCCATCGTCGGGATATCACCGCCCGACTGCAGGCCCCACCATCTCACGTTGCAGAACTGCCCCAAGAAAAGGGCTGCCCCCGCGTTGATGAAGTCAATTGTCGTCTCTCCTGCCAAGACTACGATCTGTGGAAGCTGACAAACACCAACACCAAATCCTGGGCCCATACACTCCGAAGTCGTGCCCTATTCCTCGCGGGACTGATCGCAACCTCTTGGCTCCGACTAGCAGGCTCTCGAGATGGCCGCGGCTCGAGAATTCCCGACCATCAAGGCCATAAGGTCCTATGTCATTGGCGGTGTTGGGTCAGGTGCGTGAGAGATTTCCGTGGATCGTCAAGAGCTGGTGGCTAACATGCCGAAGGCGGCGATTACCACAACGTCAAGGGGGGACACTGGTAGGGGTTCCATGCAGCTGCTGTAGGAATAGCCGCTGACTAACCCGCACAGGCTGATCGACTCGCCCATCTCAACACCATGCTCGAAATGGGAGAAATACAGAGCCTCGCGCACAAGCTGGGGCATCAACGTGCTCGGCTCCTTCTTCGTTGAGATCGAGGCTACCGACGGCACCGTCGGCTTCGCAACCGGCTTCGGCGGTAAGCACCGAGTGTTAGTTGCTGGTCACCACGTCCCAGGCTAACATGGGCAGGCCCGCCGGCATGCTGGCTTGTCCACCAGCACTTTGAGCGCTTCCTGATCGGTGCCGACCCTCGCAACACGAACCATCTCTTCGAGCAGATGTACCGCGCATCCATGTTCTACGGCCGCAAGGGCCTGCCGGTCGCCGTCATCTCCGTCATCGACCTGGCCTTGTGGGACCTGCTGGGCAAGATCCGCGGGGAGCCCGTGTACAAGCTGATCGGCGGCAACACCAAGGACCGCATCGACTTCTACTGCACCGGCCCCGACCCGCCGGCCGCCAAGGCCATGGGCTTCTGGGGCGCCAAGGTGCCGCTGCCGTACTGCCCCGAGGAGGGCCACGCCGGGCTCAAGAAGAACGTCGAGTTCCTGCGCAAACACCGCGAGTCGGTCGGGCCCGACTTCCCGCTCATGGTCGACTGCTACATGTCGCTGAACGTGCCATACACGATCGAGATCGCCAAGGCGTGCGAGGAGCTCAACATCAACTGGTGGGAGGAGTGTCTCAGCCCCGACGACACCGACGGCTTCGAGCAGATCAAGCGGGCGCACCCGACCATCAAGTTCACGACGGGCGAGCACGAGTACTCGCGCTACGGCTTCCGCAAGCTCATCGAGGGCCGCAACCTCGACATCATCCAGCCGGACGTCATGTGGCTCGGCGGTATGACCGAGCTGCTCAAGGTCGCTGCCATGGCGGCCGCCTACGACATCCCGGTGGTGCCGCACGCGAGCGGGCCCTACAGCTACCACTTCGTCATCAGCCAGCCCAACACGCCGTTCCAGGAGTACCTGGCCAACTCGGCCGACGGGAAGAGTGTGTTGCCGGTGTTTGGTGACCTGTTCATGGACGAGCCCATTCCGACGAAGGGCTTCCTCACGACGGCCGACTTGGATAAGCCAGGCTTTGGGTTGGCCGTGAACCCCGCGGCAAGGTCCAAGCTGATTCCCAGCACCTACCTGTTGGCATTGCCGCAGTCTCTCGGCCCGCCGAATGGCAATCCGGAGGAAACGGCGCAGGCGCAGAACGGGACCGCGTAGGGTATCAAGGTCGAACCACCAACCATATTGGATGCCGTGTTGCCATCAGACCATAATAGCTTCTTGCATATTGACAGAATTCAAGGAGTCGTCTTTGGTCTTACCAGAATGCCTCTTGGACGAGTCGCGGGACGACTGACGTCATGCGATCTCTCGTGAAGTTGAGTGGCCGGGTCGGCTATTTCCTTTCTTCTATGGGTGGAAAGTTTGGGAACCTGCCTGTGAGTTACAGTTGCTTAGAGTCGACCTCTCTGGAATGCCCTCGTAGCACCCCATCTCTTGAAAAGGCGAACTGTTGGCAGGGAGGAGACTTGGCCTTGCTTGCCTCGCTGTCATTTAACCCGAGGTGTGGGCCCGAGGCACTAAAGCGGTGGGTCTGCGGGGAAGTCAAGGGGTCGTCCCCGCCGGGGTTCGACCTCGACTTGACTTCCCAAATGAGCTTGAGCCCAGATGCAGCACACAGAATCGTCTGCAGGAGAGGTAATGGCAAGCAGAACGATGGGTCAACTGAAATATCCGAGAAATGGCCCGCGTCAAATTGACACCCCGGCGGGTGCGGAATGCGGATCCCCATGGTATTAACCCCGCGAACCGGCCCCTCATAGATCTCATGGGGATTCAACATCAACACCACCCGGTCCAGCCTAGACTACACTCGATCCTCATACGCTCCTATCGACATATTGAAAACCATCTATGCCCTACACCCAAACCTAAGCGCCGTAGTATAGCACAGTAAACCCGCCAAGCCATGCCCCCAACCAACCTCCTCCTTGGCGCTACCGCCATCATCACAGGCGGCACAACCGGCATCGGCCGCGCCATCGCCCTCGCCTTCCTCGCACAGGGCTGCAACGTAGCCGTGAACCACCTCGACCTGGAAAAGGACAAGCCCCACCTCGACTCCCTCCTCTCCGAAGCCGCGGCCCTGCACGAAGCCAGCCCAACCACCGCCGGGAAGCTCGCCCACCTGCCAGGCGACGTGCGCGACCCGGCCACCGGCCCGGCGCTCGTCTCCTTCGCCCTGTCCCAATTCAACACCACCCGCCTGGACATCTGCGTCGCCAACGCGGGGATCTGCACCTTCGCGCCCTTCCTCGACCTCTCCCCGGACCTGTTCTCCAACACGGTGCGCACCAACCTCGACGGCGCCTTCTACATGGTCCAGGCCGCGGCGCGGCACATGGCCCGCGTGAATTCCCCTCCGGGGGGGTCGATCATCGCCATCAGCTCCATCTCGGCGCTCGTCGGCGGCGCGCAGCAGACGCATTACACGCCCACCAAGGCGGGCGTGCTCAGTCTGATGCAGAGCACGGCCTGTGCGCTGGGGCAGTATAACATCCGGTGTAACGCGCTGCTGCCGGGCACGATTCGTACGCAGTTGAACGAGGAGGATCTGAAGGATGACGGGAAGCGGGGGTACATGGAGGGAAGGATACCGCTGGGCAGGACGGGCGTGCCGGGGGATTTGGCCGGGCCGGCAGTGTTTTTGGCGTGTGAGGAGCTGAGTGGGTACGTGACCGGCGCGCAGCTGCTGGTGGATGGGGGGTTATTTGTGAATTTGCAGTAAGGGGTAGTGTGCGGTTGTTGTAGGTTGTGATTTTATCTTTCGAGGAGTATAATTCTATCTTTTGAGGAAGTATACTACTATGTACGTAGTCCGGGGCCTTTTTTTTGGGTGGGGGGGTGAGTGGGGAGTGCAGGGCGGCTCATACTAAGACCACCCGCGCTCTAAGTAATGGTAACTACATGAACCAAGTCACTATCCTGGGATTCTCAAAGTCGAGTTCCGGTTTGACGAACTCAAATATCTTCCTCTTGTTCACGTACTCCTCACTCTCCTGCAGATCAACGATCTCATAATCAAAGCCTGCCAAGTAACATACCGAAGAGAGGGGCAACGCTTCCGGTGCGTGCTGTTCCCCTAGACACCCATCTGTGAACGTATACGAACTTGCCCGCCCTCCTGTAGACACGCCAGGCCTGATAGCGCTAACAGCTTGTCAGATAGATATGTTAACTTGCCAGCTGAATATATCCCGACTATCCGGTTCCATTCTTTCCGAAGGTCCACCCCGGCACGAGAATCGAGGCTCGGATTCGCCGGTTTTAGACTGCTGGGAATGCCCGGCGCGTCACGATGGTTGCGGGGTTCAATGAAAACTATCTCAAAAAGACCGAGGAAGAGTGAGGACAGGAGGAGGAGGATAGTGATGTGGACGATAATAGTGACGATGATAGTGATGATGATAAGGATGAGGAAGAGGATGAGGAAGAGGACGATGATGACAAGAGGACCGTGTTATGTAGGGACGGCAATTACGGCAGCGCTCCAACGGTTGGGGCCTAATCATGTTTCGCATTTGAGGGGAAGGTGTAACCCGGCACGGCTGCATAAGGTATAGTTGGTTGGTAGATCACTGAGCGCTGCAGTGGCGTTCTGGTCACTGTTGGCTGCACCGTGGCAATCACCTCTACCTAATCACCTCCATTCGAGATTGAAATCGGAGCGGCCACGACCCAGTAGAGCATGCCGCGGCATAGCGTAGACTCAGGTGCTTTGTTTTATTATCGCTGAGTTTGAACATTCCAAGTAGACCGCACCCTGCCAACGCCTCCAGCCCAGTCCAAAATGGTAAAAGAGAGCATCCAAGATGGTATTCTATCCAAGCCCGGCCCATCATCCGTCTGTCACTCCGAAACGCCGTCGAGAAGTTCCTCTGCATCGAGAGACAACGCGTTTGGAAGCGGGATCGCGGACCGGCGGTACAGCCAGGGGCCGCCGCCACTTGGCGTGACCTAATCAACAAGCGCCTAAGCGCCCTGATGCCTTGCGCGATGAGGCTCAAGCTGAGGCGGGTACGGACGCCGATCGCCATAGCGACCACGAAGCCATCTTGCGAGTGCCCGAATAGATCGGCCGATATCGACGGTAGCCTCGGTATGTGTTCGAAGACAATGCGCCGCATATCCTAGGAACAAGATCGCTAAGGCTGAAAGAGGCAGTGTGAGCAACGTGTCAGCCAACACCCACTCCATAAAGAGCCAGCACTGAAGTCTTGCGATGTGGTCCGCACAGCCCTTGAGCGCGATGCGCAGCAGCGATACTGTGGGCGCCATCGACATCAAAGAGAAGCGAGAAGCGGCTTTGACCGCCGCCAAAACGACCAAGCGTCGCGAGAGCGGCAAAGGCATGGGCGATGGACGAAGCAAAGGTGAAAACGGGCATGAGGAGAAACTGAGGCGCGACTCGCGTCAAGCACAAAACCGCGTCGGAAAGAGGTACCGGGACAAGCTTGGTGCGGAGTTTCAGAGCTTGCAGGCGGCGCTGCGCCTCGGGTGCTACGAAGATAACGACACACAACCGAAGCGAGCGTCGACTGACGTCAACCACCAGGTGCAGTTGCTCGGGCAACCCATGGAGGCGTGTGGCAACAGACCCGGCAGCACTGTCAATAAGGCCAAGATCCTGGCACTGGCATGTGAACGCATCAGCGAGCTGCTTCAGCAGTGGGAGTCAACAAATGCGGAAAGGGACGCGTTGCGGCAGGAAAAGGTCTTGGCGGGTTGGTGATGGCGGCTGTCTTGCTCTCGGCATGTACGGCACATAGTGTTATAGTTGAGTTCAGGATTGGTATGGCTTTTTAGGTCAAAGTGGGATTGATCACTAAGTCACACATGCCCCTGAAAAAAGGGGTGCTTGATCCACAACCTTGATGCGGGATCCGAGTTCGTATGCCGCAGCAGCATTCCATCCATCTGCATGCCCCTGTAGTTGTTGATTTGTCGTTGCCAGTGCCAGTATGTCAGAGTGCGTCCCGTGACCCTTGGGCCTCATGGTTGTGTTGATCACGAGGCCACAAGTGCCTTCTCTGTGTCCTCCATCTACCGACCCCCCAACTTACGTTTGGCTTCTCACCTTCCTTCATCCCACGAATCTGGAACTTTCACCAAATCGTAAACCTCGCTCCAATTTGAGGAATCTGACTGCCATCTTTCTGATCTTGACCAAATCTACACGACCATAACGTCCGACGAGAACGCCAATTACCTTCTTCATCACCGCACCAACTTACGACCATGATGCCTCGTCTCTCCTTCTTCCTCGGTCTCATGACCATCGCCGCTGCCGCCCCGATCACCGAGGACTCTGAAGTCCGCGCTGCTCAGCGCATCACCGAGTTTTCGAAGCAGTACCAGCAAAACACCATATCTGCCATCAGCAACAGCACGAATGGATGCACCCCTGAGAACATCCGCCGCCGCAAGGAATGGTAAGCATTCAACCCCCTTTCTCTCGACCCTGCTGCCTTGGTCAGACCTAGCGAGAAGCTAACACCCCACCAGGCCGGCCCTCACCGACGACGAGAGAAGATCTTTCATCGCCTCCCTCCACTGCATCAACACCCTCCCCGCCAAGACGTCGCCCTACCACGCCCCCGGCGCCCGCACGCGCTACGACGACTACATCATCACCCACATCGACGCGACCGACTTCGTGCACGCCTCGGGCCTCTTCCTGCCCTTCCACCGCCACCTGCTGCACCTCTTCGAGCACGACCTGCGCTCGCTCTGCGGCTACGCGGGCCCCATGCCCTACTGGGACTGGACCAAGTCCTACCTGGACCCGCGCAAGGCCGAGGTGTTTGACGGCTCCGACTTGAGCCTGGGCGGCAACGGGCTCTACATCCCCGGACGGAAGGCGACCACGATCGAGCTGCCCGGCGGCTTCTCCCTGGACATCCCGCCTGCCACGGGCGGCGGCTGCGTGACCGCCGGTCCATTTGCGGCGGGCAAGTGGGAGATTAGGCTCGGCCCTGTGGGCTTCCATCCGCAGGGGCCGAATGGTGGGCGGGGGTACAACCCGCGCTGTCTGACGCGTGATCTCAGTCCGAGCTTCAGCAGGGGCACGCGGCCCTCGGCGGTTACCGAGCTGATGGACGTGTGCGGCGATGATCTGGGCTGTGTCAACATGGAGATGGACGCCCCCGGCGGCGTGCCCGGCGGCATCCATGCGAGCGGGCACTGGCAGATCGGGCTCGACGGGCTGGATGTCTACGCCAGCCCCAGCGATCCCGCCTTCTGGCTGCACCATGCGCAGCTCGACCGCGTGTGGACCATGTGGCAGGGTCAGAATCTCACCAAGAGGACGTACCAGGTTTGGGGAACGATGACGGCCGCGAATGGTATGCCAACTCTCCAAAGCTTTTCCGTGTGAGTCCACAGCTAACTCTGCTACAGTTCCTGCTAGTCCTAACGTCACCCTCGACACGATGGTGGAGTTTGGCATTCTCGATTCACCGAAGCCGATTCGGGAGCTTGTCTCGCCCGTCGGAGGGAAGTATTGCTATATCTACGAGTGAAGGAAATTCTGATTTGCGGCGTTTTGACGCAAGGAAAAGGGACTAGATGGTGGCGACATGTGGAAAGATGAATGGATGGACAGAACGGTGGATTTACACGGAGATGAATGCGCATTGAGCGAACAGGCGGCCGAAGGGGTTGGGCTTCTATACTATTTGCTAGTCTCGGAGTTTAGCTAAAGATCGGAGTCATTCAATCCTGCGCTCCATCATCGTTCCTTGAATACCTCGAGGATATATCTTGGTTATCCTCGTGGATGACGGCATTAGTATTGCATGTTCCAACCGGAGTGTGACAGTAACTGGCCTTGCACTACAGCACTGGGAAATCGACAGTATCGACTTTATCAGGTGCCGAACGCAGATTGCGCGTTCTGTTTCCGCAAAGAACACAGGATATCTAGTAAGGGAAAGGAGAGGAAAAGGAGGGGGAGAAACCTCTCGGTCATCAGGTACTTTTAGTCCCCTCTGCAGGTTTCGAGGCAGTCGGCTCCGAGAAGGACCGGCAGCCTGGTGTTGCATTGGAGCAGATTCGAACAGCAGACCTTTGATCCCACATTCCTTTCGGGAAAGATCGTGTACCTCAGACCTCTCCGCTCGGTCGGATACCGGTTATAAGCCGGGCAGTGGCCTGAGATTTGTACAGACAAATGCTCGCATAGGACTGGCATGACCGAATCAGATGGGGGGTCACGCAAATCCGCCGTTCTCGGTGCCGGAAGGACCCACCTGATCCTGCCAGCCCCGTTCCGCGCCGCCCCACAATGCCGGACACCGCCGTTAGCGGGCAGCCATGCCCACAACGCATGTTACGGATTCAAGCATGAGACCACAGAGAAGCAGCCGTAGACGTTTCATAGCTTCACTCGGTGGAGATCTGGCCACTTCTGTCCTCAGCTTAGCTCTCAAGCTCACAATCAGCTTCGAAGCTGGTCACTGGGATATGACCGCCCAAACTTAAGCTCAGACTCACAGAATATTCCCACCACCATCACTCCTAATTATCGCCCTGTCCAAATAATCCCATGAATCAACTGACACGCTCTCCGCTACCTCCTCAAATATTTTTAGCGTCCTAGTCGCCGTCCTTGTGCTAATTTTCTTTTCAAAACCGATCCTTCTCTACATTGGTGACGCTCCATGTCTTCCCGTATCGCGTGCCGTCGCCGCTCACTTTCAATCGATGACAATTCTACCGTCGGAAAGTCAATTGCCGACCCCTCGGCTCTCCTCTGCTAGAACCATACAAGAAGCGTCCCCCCAGCCTCCCGGCTGGGGTAAGAGTGCTCCTCCCGTAAAGTCCCGTTCCGTCATCGCCTCGCTGGCACCCGTCGCGTTACTTGCCACCACCCGAGGGCTTCGCTATTAGCGCCTTCGCGATTGACCCCTTCGCGATTTGCTCCGCCTCTCCGGGTTGGAGATAAACTACCGGCTGGAACGGGGTGGAAAGTCACGTAGCACTTAGCTGTACCCTACAGGAGATGATTCATCGAGTATTAAAGTGTATTAACGTATCTTATAACGTACATGATAAGCGAGTGACCCAGACAAGCGAATGACCCACTTCCTACACGACGCGACATCTTTGCACTCAACAACAAAATTTCCTCTACCATCCAAAATGCCCTCTACTTCAAAAGAAGGCCAGATAATCTTGGCTCTCCAAGCTCTTCAAAACGACAAGAATCTAAGCGAACGAGCCGCAGCTAAGATCTATGGGGTTGACCGTAGGACCCTGGGGCGCCGACGCGCCGGCAAGCCTGCACGATACGATCTTCCAGCCAACTCGCGCAAGCTCATAGATCTAGAAGAGAAGGCGATAGTTCAATATGTCAATGAGCTATCTGCACATGCATTCCCGCCTAGGTTGTGTGGTGTGGAAGATATGGCCAACCAACTATTGCGCGAATGCGACGCGCCCCCTATTGGCAAACGCCGGGCTTATAACTTCGTCAAACGCCGGCCAGAGCTCCGTATACGATATACATGTAGATACGACTACTAGAGGGCTAGATGTGAAGATCCAGATGTTATTTGCGAGTGGTTTAGGCTTGTATAGAATACTAAGGCCAAGTATAGTATTGTAGATGACGATATCTATAACTTTGACGAGACCGGGTTTATAATGGGCATTATTTTTACAGGTATGGTTGTTACGACCTTAGATGGCCGGAGCAAGGCTAAGCTAGCCTAGCCTGGCAATTGCAAGTAGGCAATAGTAATCTAGGGAGTCAATACTCTCGGCTAGGCTATCCCTCTATTCATCATCTTGGCCGCGTAATACCACCTCGTCAACTGGTACACCGAGTACAACCTCCCGGCCGACTGGCGTTTCGCAACCACCGAGAACGGCTAGACTACCAACGTAGTAGGCCTTGATTGGACCAAGCACTTCAACTACTATATAGCACCTCGGACAAAGGGCAAATACCGGTTGTTGATCCTCGATGGCCACGAAAGCTACTACTCGACCGAGTTCGAGCTCTACTACCAGTAGAATAATATTATCACGCTCTGCATACCTCCATATTCCTCCCACCTCCTCCAGCTACTTGATGTTGGCTGCTTTGGGCTGTTGAAGCAGGTATATGGTCGCTAGATCAAGGACTTAATACGCGCGTATATCAGCCATGTAAGCAAGCTCGAGTTCCTTTATACCTTTCGTATAGCCTTCTTTGCCTCTATTACCAAGAGGAATATACAGGGCGGTTTTATAGGGGCTGGCCTTATGCTATACAATCTAGAGAGGGTGCTTTCAAAGCTAGATATCAAGCTTCGTATATCAACATCCCTAACCTTACGGCTAGGCACTATATAATCTTGGGTCTTCCAGATACTATACAACTCTCGAGAAGCCGAGTTATAGTCAACGCTTATTAAGACTTATATTGCCAACTATCAAAATAGCTCCCCGACTTCAATGTTGGCTGCTATGGACCAGCTTACCAAGGGTACGATGGCTATAATACACTAGGTAGCCCTCCTTCAGGTAGAGGTGTCTTCGCTCTGCAAGGCTAACGAGGCGCTAAGCAAGCGCCGGAGAGCCAAAAAAACACGTGTACGGCTTGGAGGATCACTTACTGTGCAGGAGGTATAGGAGGTGGTAAGCTAGGGGGCTATAGGTGGGGAGGCAATATAAGAAACACAGCTGGATGGTAGTAGTGCTAGTGGGGGTTGTACGAAGGTTCGGTGCTGTGGTGTATGCGGCAAGCCTGGTTATAATGCCCGCACTTGCCAGGAGGTTGCAGAAGCATCTGATTCAGCCGTTTCTGATGTAATTGTAGTTAGTTGATAGTTTTGTTGTTTTATAATTGAGGATAATGTTTATAGGGTAGTGGAGAGTAGGTCATTCGCTTGTCTAGGTCACTCGCTTATCATGTATGTTAAGCGAGATGAACATATAAGCGAATTGAACACTTGCCACTATACTATAACAGTCAACTACAATTACAACACAACAACATTATGAACCTACTATAATTACATCAGAAACAGCTGAATCAGATGCTTCTGCAACCTCCTGACAAGTGCGGGCATTATGACCAGGCTTGCCGCATATACCACAGCACCGAACCTTTGTACAAGCCCCCCCTGCACCACCACCATCCGGCTGCATTTCTTATGCCACCTCCCCAACCACAGCCTTTTGGTCTAGTAGATCCTTTGCATCTTATACTGCAAGCGATCCTCTAAGCTATACACGCGTTCTTTTGGCTCTTCGGCGCTTGCTTAGCGCCTCGTTGGCCTTGCAGAGCGAAGACACCTCTGCCTGAAGGAGGGCCACCTGGTGCATTATAGCCATCATACCCTTGGTAAGCTAGTCCATAGCAGCCAACATCGAAGTCGGGGAGCTATTTTGATGGTTGGCAATGCGAGTCTTGATGAGCGTTGACTGTGAGTTGGCTTCTTGGGGGTTGTATAGTGTCTGGAAGACCTAAGATTGTATAGTGCCTGGCTATAAGGTTAGGGGTGTTGGTATACGAAGCTTGATATTTAGCTTCGAAAGTACCCTCTCTGGATCGTATGGTATAAGGCCAGCCCCTATAAAACCGCCCTATATATTCCTCTTGGTAATAGAGGCAAAGAAGGCTATACGAAAGGTATAAAGGAACTCGAGCTTGCTTACATGGCTGATATACGCGCGTATTAAGTCCTTGATCTAGCGACCATATACCTGCTTCAACAGCCCAAAGCAGCCAACATCAAGTGGCTGGAGGAGGTGGGAGGAATATAGAGGCATATAGAGCGTGATAATATTATTCTGCTGGTAGTAGAGCTTGAACTCGGTCGAGTAGTAGCTTTTATGGCCATCAAGGATCAATAACCGGTATTTACCCTTTATCCGAGGTGCTATATGGTAGTCGAAGTGCTTGATCCAATCAAGGCCTATTACATTAGTAGTCCAGCCATTGTCGGTGGTTGTAATACGCCAGTCGGCCGGGAGGTTGCACTCGGTATACCAGTTGGCGAGGTGGTATTGCGCCGCTAAGATGATGAATGGAGGGATAGCCCAGCTAAGGGCATTGACGCCTTAGATTATAGTCGCCCATTCGCGGTTGCCAGGCTGGGCTAGCTTTGCCTTGCCATGGCCATCTGAGGTTGTTACCACTATGCCTGGGAAGATAATGCCCATTATAAACCTAGTCTCGTCGAAGTTGCAGATATCGTCATCTACGATACTGTACTTGGCCTTAACGTTCCGTATAAGGGTAAACCATTCGCCAATGACCTTTGGATCCTTATATTTGGCCCTCTGGTAGTCATATCTACGCGTATAACGCGTCCGGAGCTCTGGCTGGCGTTTGACGAAGTTATACGCCCAGAGCTTGCCGATAGGGGGCGCGTCGCATACGTATAGTAGTTGGTTGGCCATATCTTCCACACTACGTAGTCTTGGGGGAAAGGCTCGCTCAGATAGCTCAATTATATACTGAACAAGAGCCTTCTCTTCAGAATCGGTAAGCCGGCGCGAGTTGGGCGTAGTATCGCGTCGTACAGGCTTGCCGTCGCGTCGGTTTCGGATAGTATTGACTATGACGTTATAGATCTTTGCTGCGGCGCAAAGACTAAGTTTTAGGTTCTTTTGAATAGCTTTAAGGGCTAAGATTACCCTAGACTCTCTTGAAGCCGAAGACATCGTTGGGTGTAGAGGATTTTGGTTGTGGTATGGAGAGAAGGCGCGTCGCGGTCAAAGTGTTCAATTCGCTTATATGTTCATCTCGCTTAACGTATCTTATCAGCGAGCCGATCATATCAGCGAGCCGATCAATTTCCACTACACCAAAACATCTATCCTCAATTACAATATACTAACACTAGGAACCAACTATAATTACATTAGAAATAGCTGAATCAGACCCTTCTGCAACCTCCTGGCACGTACGTACATTATAGCCAGGCTTGCCGCACACACTATAGCACCGAACCTTCGTACGACCCCCCCCTGTACCACCACCGTCCGGCTGCGTTTCTTGTACTACCTCCCCAACCACGGCCTTCTGGTCTAGTAGATCCTTTGCATCCTATACTGCAAGTGATCCTCTAAGCTGCACGCGTGTTCTTTTGGCTCTCCGGCGCTTGCTTAGTGCCTCGTTGGCCTTACGGAGCGAAGAGACCTCTGACCGAAGAAGGGCCACCTGGTGCATTATAGCCATTGTACCCTTAGTAAGTTGATCCACAGCATCTAATATTAAAGTTGGAGAGCTGTTTTGATGGTTGGCAATGCGAGTCTTGATAAGTGTTGACTGCGATTCGGCTTCTCGGGGGTTGTATAGTGTCTGGAAGACCCAAGATTATACAGTGCTAGGTCGTGAGGTTGGAGGTATCGGTATACAAAGCTTTACGTCTAGCGTAGAAAGGACCCTCTCTGGATCGTATAGTACTAGGCCAGCCCCTGCAAAGCCACCTTGTATATTCTTCTCCGTTATAGAAGCAAAGAAGGCCTCGCGAAAGCCGCAGAGGAACTCGAGCTTGCTAATGTAGTTGATATATACGCGTATTAAGTCCTTAATCTGGCGACCGTATAACTGTTTCAACGGCCTAAAGCAGCTAACATCGAGTGGCTAGAGCTTATAGGAGGAATGCGGAGGTATACAGAGCGTGATAATATTATTCTCCTGGTAGTAGAGCTCGAACTCGGTCGAGTAGTAGCTTTCGTGGCCGTCGAGGATCAACAACCGCTTTTTGCCCTTTATACAAGATGCTGTATAGAAGTCGAAATGCTTGATCTAATCTAGGCCTACCGTATTGGTAGTCCAGCCGTTGTCGGTAGTTACAATACGCCAGTTTGCTAGGAGGTTGCACTCGGTATACCAGTTGGCGAGGTGGTATTATACAGCCAAGATAATAAAGGGCGGGATAGCCTAGCCAAGCACATTGACTCCCTGGATTACCGTTGCCCATTTGCGGTTACTAGGCTAGGCTAGTTTTACCCTACTATAGCCATCCGAGGTCGTAACTACTATGCCCGGGCAGATCATACCCATCATAAACCCGGTCTCGTCAAAGTTATAGATATCATCATCCACGATACCATACTTGGCCTTAGTATTTCGTACGAGCGCAAACCACTCCCCAATAATCCTTGGATCCTCGCACTTAGCCCTCTGGTAATCGTATCGACGGGCATAACGCGTATAGAGCTCTGGCTGGCGTTTAACAAACCGATATGCCCAGAGCTTGCCAACAGGGGGCGCGCCGCGTTCGCGTAACAGATGGTTGGCCATATCTTCCACCCCACTTAGTCTAGGTGGGAATACGCGTATAGATAGCTCAATCACATACTGAACTATCGCCTTCTCTTCTAGATTGGTGAGCTTACGCGAGTTGGCTGGAAGATCGCGTCGTGTAAGCCGGCCAGTAGATCGGTCATGGAGGGTTGTATAGGGTACGTCGTAGAGCTTAGCTGCGGCTCGGAGGCTTAGTTTTTTGTTGTTTTGACAAGCTTCAAGTGCCAGGATTACCCTGGCTTCTTTTGAAGGAGAAGGCATGTTAGGTTGTAGAGAAAATTGATGTTGGGTGTGAAAATGACGCGTTGCGGCAAAAAGTGATCGGCTCGCTGATATGATCGGCTCGCTGATAAGATACGTTATAAGATACGTTATATTTTCATATCCCCTGCCGAGTCTGTCCCAACGCAGACATCACACACTACATCAACAGGCCGCCGCCGTCCGTCCTGATGATCGCGCCATCCATATTGTAGTCCCTAATGCACGCGACATAGCTCTCCGCAACGTCCTCCGGCCTCCCCGTCCTCCCCGTCGCCATCCGCTTGCCGTACTGCTCCATCAGCCGGTCCTTCTCCTCCTTGGGCACCCTCCAGAGCTCCGTATCCACCGGCCCGGGACTGACACCGTTGACCCTGATCGGCCGCAGGTCCAGGGCCAGGTTCCGGACCATGGAGTGGTGCCCGCCGGCAAACGAGCCGATGACGCTCCAGTCCGGCATGGGCCGCTCGCTGATGCTGCCCGTGGTGATGGTGTAGCTGCTCTCGCGCGACGGCCGCACGTAGCGCGGGATGAACTTGGCCGCCAGCAGCGGCGCGAAGAAGCGGATCTGGCCGGCCTGCAGGATGGCCTCCATCGTCATGTCGGCCAGCTTCATGGTCGCCAGCGCGTCGCCGGCCGTGAAGACGACGTGGTCCAGGAGCTCGCTGCCGCCCATGGCCTGCGCGGCCCGCTCGAAGAGGGACTGCAGCTCGGACTCGAGCGTGTCCGGCTTGGAGAGGTCGACGGTGAGGCCGTGCACGTTGGCCTTGGCGGACGGGTAGGACGCCTGTAGCCTGGCGACGGCGGCCTCGACTTTCGCCGGGTTGGAGGAAGCCACCGTCACGAGGGCGCCGTATTCGACACACGCTTCCGCAGTGCAGAAGCCGATGCCGGAGGACCCGCCGATGACAAGGACGCGTGCGCCGTGGAGCTTGTTGGCGTACTTCTTCTGGTCGGACATCTTGCAGCAGCGTGGACTCAGACTGGGATGTTGGACGTCAGGGGTGGTGATATGCAAGGTTCACTTGCGCCGCTCGAAGTTGGCGTGTCTGGTATGCAGATCCTTTGAGCACAGGGAATACAGAATCGCAGGTGTACACTGATCCGGGCTGTGAATAGGCTATGATGTCGTCACCTTCTTTATACGAAAGGCTTCATACGGAGTTAGCACGGCGCCATGGCGTGAGTACTGGTGGGTCCGGTGTTATGGTTTACTCCGTCCGGAGACATGATTTGGTCCGTCCGGCATTGCGATTCGGGATATTTGGGTTGCTGGCAGCTCGATTTTTGTTGGTCCAGGTCATTATCCACAGGCACGAGAATTTTCTACGTACGGAAGTATTCCGAGTAAGTCAGCAGCATACAAAAGTGGCTACACAGTAGTCTTGTGGCATGACTCATGCCGTTGTACCGGTACCACACAAGATGAGAGATATCTCCTGGATTCGGCCGCTTTGGAAGGCCCAGCGAGTATGGTTCGGCTTATGCGATTGGTCTGCACGGGCATTACGGACTCCTACCGTGTACTTCGTACGTCCGATGCTCCCATTCATCATTGCCCGCCAAAGGGGGAGAGGGGGTCGCCAGATGTATTGCAACCACGGTAGCCGTGCAGCGCAGATATCACTGCAATAGCATGCTGCATCTCGCCACAGCTACACACTGGACCTTGATCTCGGGTTGCCACGTCAACGTCTCTAGCTTAGTAAGGTCATTTTGTACGATCGACCCAGGAATGTCTAAATGGTCCGGATGCATCACATCAGCTCGTCGTGTGACAAAGCGCGGTAAATTCCGTAAGCGGACTTAGGCACGGAAATAGGGGTGTGGTTCGATGGTATGCTGTGATGCTAACGTTGTCTGTAGGGGGCTGGAGAGCTTGTGAATTGTGATGCTGGCGAGAAGGGCCATGTTATCGCGTATTTGGATTCCTGTCGCATTGGAGGCTGCCCAGCGAAATAGCAATAGGTATTTGCTTCCGAAGGAGCATCACGCTGGCACCTTTTATGGAAAGAGTGAGCGGTAGGTACTATTGTACAAGTTAGGTCGTTCTCGGCCAACTGCATCCAATTTACTACCAGTAAGTCGGTCTCAGACCATAGACATTTCAACTGTAACCTACAAACACCCCTCCAACCTCAACCCCCAACGGTCCAGCAGTACCAGCTCAAGGTAACCTCATTCGAAAGGCGAGAATAATCGGGAGCTGAGTGAAGTTGCTGGTCGACTCGATCCTCTCCTCGCCATCGTCCTCGCTGAAGGCCAGCTCCTCCATGGCATCCATGACCAGTCCGTGTCGGAAGAAGGTGGCGAAGAGCTCGTGCATCGGCCGGTGGAAGTAGAGCTGCGCTGGTGTTCAGCCTTGTGCACAACCACGCACTGGGCCTGCAAGCCAGGGTAGGGGGACACTCACCTGCTTCGCCGGCTGCCCGTCCACCGCGATGCCCTTTGCCGGCGGCACATCCATGTACTCGGTGATGACCCTGGACCGGGTGATCTCCTCCTCGCCGGTGGCGGGGTTGAATCTCCTTTGGATGTTGATCGCCGCCCCGGAGGTGCTGAACACCGGGTGCAGTAACGTCGCGACGAACCTGTGCGCCTCTCTCAGCCAGCTGTTGCATGTGACACAGCTTTGGAAACTTACACCCCATCCTTTGCAAGCAACCCTTTACCCAGCGCGCCGGCAAGCGGCTCCAAGTCAGCCACATCCATGGCGGCCATGTTCATCAACACGATATCAAACCCGAAATCCCCATCATCATTCTGCTCCAGTCGCGCAAAGTCGGCCGCGCTGGTGACATCGAGCTTTTGCAGCCTCACCTTCGACTTCCACGGCTCCTCCTCCGTCTGCCGATGCGCATCCGCCAACCGCAGCATCTCGTCGGTGCCGTCCGTGGCCAGCACGGAATGTGCACCGTTGCGCGCGAGCCAGCGGGCGCACAGGCCGTTGCCGGTCGCGAGGTCGAGGGCCTTGCAGCCGGGTCTCTGGAGGGCTGGGCCCAGCAGGCGGGCCAGGCACGGTTCCTGCAGTCGCCGCCAGTACTTGTTGCCGTGTTTGGTGATGGTGGCATCCCAGTACTGCGCGATGGTTTCCCATGCGTGAATCGCGTCGGCTGATAACGAGGCAGTGGGCTGACTGGGGGCCATCGCAGAACGTATGGAGGGGTGAGCTTGTCAGGTGTCAGGATGGGTTGGAGAAAGGAGACTGGATGACAAGTATAAGATCGAGGTGAAGTGAAGATTGTCTGATCGGACGCTGTCCAGTAAACAAACCGTGCAGGTTTCCTTTGCACCCCGGGTGACTCAGTCGGGGTGCAGAAACTTGCATGAGCTGATGCATGTGGGCGGCCAAAAATAAGCTAGCGTTGAAACCTAGGGTGCTGTGGTGGGCTAACAGTTGATCATTCGGACAAACTACGTCCCCTATCTATCGTTAGATGGATGTGAGGGATAGCAATGGTATCCTAGAACTCGCAGTGTTCATCGAGAAATCAGTCCAGCATGGACGTATGCATCCGCCTAAGTCAGCCCTACTGACACTGATCTTCCGAGCCGAATTCCCATCCTGATCCACCACGCTTCACCGTACTGCCCAAACAACCTTTCTCTCTCTCTCATCAACACATCAAATCCCAGTCCAACTGCCCGTCCTACACATCCCATCCCATCCCCCAAGTTCCAAAACCCCCAGGTATTGTATTCAAGCCAGTACAACCCGCCAATCCACAAACCCCATCCCCCGCCCGGTATCACACCAGACCGTACTGCTCACGCCAACCCTCCCCTCAACCACCTGCCCCTGCGGCGCCCGTTCCACATATGCACGGATATAAAACCGCAAATCATTCGTCCCGAACTTATACTCCCCCACACCCTCCCCATTCTCATTCCAGCGCACCTCAAAGGCGCACGACCCGCTCTGCCCCAGCCTCACCCACCCGTCCTCGCCGCCCTTCGCTGCTGTTGAGATGGTCCAGTACCCCGGCCCCGGGTTGGCGTTGTACAGCGCCACACAGTCCGCCGCGAGCGGGGAGGAAGAGGAAGAGGTGGTGGTGGTGGTGGTGTAGGACGGTTTGGCTTCGCCGCAGTAGTCGTCTTTGATGTATGTGCCGTCTGGCGAGGAGGAGGAGGCCTGGGTGAAGACGACGGCGCGGTGGGAAAGGAGGTTCCTGGTGGTAAGGGAGGAGGGGGTGGTGGGTGCTGCGAGGGTGGTTGGTGTCAGGGATAGGGTGAGGAGGAGGCGGAGGAGTGTTCTCGTGAGGGAGGGCATTTTGATGGGTGATGGTTTTCAATGACCACCGATATCAAGGTTGAGATTTGAGAGAGGGGTGGTATAGTAGGTCCTCAGCAACAAATCCGAGAGAGATGGTGCCCGTGAGCACGTTGCTGAGGGAAGCAAAGTGCCGTCGGAAGCTATATATCATCTCGCCCTAATTTAAGCTGGCATAACACTGCCCTCTGAGAAGATAAACCTAAACACCTGCTGTTGGTTCACCCTCACGGCGACCCCCGAACTCTCCAGGCCCCGTCTCACCACTCCGCATATCAGAAGGATCATCACATCACAGACACAATACATTGCACTTGTAGAAAGTGACGATCCCTGCCCGACCCAAATTGAGCCCGATCAGGCCATGATCCATCCGGATTTCCGGAATGGGGAGCCCAAAGACAATCATCACATCACGCCCGCCGTACAGTAGACAACAGTGATTTGCAGATGCGCAATCATCCACCCCCTGGCGTCACTGGGTCGGCGGTTACACCAACCAATTGCAACGGCCCAGCCCATATGCGGGGTTGGTGCCGGGTGCACAACAAGCATGTTGGGTTGGTGACAAAAGTCGAGCCAAGCATTGTGCTGATCACAAACCTTGGCCGCTTGGAGTGACCGTGATGCACTATGCCAGGGACGCGGCACCGAGTTGGCCGGTTGCGGTGCGGTGTGGCCTACTTCGGCAGGTCGGGTTGGTCTGTGATTCAGGGGTTCACTCCAATCTGGATGCATGCCATTCACGGGACGCGAGTCAGCGTTGCACAGCCAGGATTTTGACTCCTTAGTATGTAAATTGTGTGATAACCTCCAATTTTCCTATCCTAGACATGTTGCACAATCCCACGGTGCAGAAACCGAAGGGATTAATACGCCCATAGGCATTTCTGGCGATGCCGAAGGATACACAAACCTCGTCAAACCACCCGGGTAGAACCTGCAACTTCGATCTCCTAAGAATCGCTGCACCAGTTGGTTATTGATGTCATGTCGCGATCGAATTAACCATGCTATACTTCCCAATAGCTGCCGTGGTACCAAGATATGTGTGGCATTCCGTCGAACTGCAAAGAGTATCGGTGCTTATGAGTGCTGACCGTAGTTCATGTAGTGAGCTCGGGCTGTTGGCCGCACCTGGTTAGCGAAGTTGCGCAATAATCGAATTCATGCAGATGTCAAAGCGCCGTATGTGCCGGTGACGAGTCATCATGTTGCATCTTGTCGCCAGCGGAGAACAGACTTCATTCAACGAGGCCTATCAAGGCCAACTCTGTGGTTCCTCAGCGAACACATCACTGATGGTCCTCGGCTGCCTCCCGCCCACTCTGCCGCCGCTGCACGGTACGGACGGTAAACTGCTTCACCACCCAGTTGGGAGGCGGGACAAAGAACGGCCAGATCGGCACCTCCTTCTCCACGTCCGAACCCCACAGCATCGGCGGAATGTATATGCTCTTGAGCCACTCCGACGACGTGACCAGCCGCTCGGAGCACTGCTCGCCCATGCAGAAGATGACAACGATCGTGTCTTCGACTTCCGCCGGGCCGTCGCCATGCACCTGGCGAGGCAGCGTCATGGTGAGCTCGCCCGTCCTCTGCTGCTTGGGCGGGATCTGCACATGCCAGAGCAGCGTTCCGACCGTCCATGACGCGTTGAGGCTGAACATGTGGACGTAGACGGGATGGCTGTCGGCGCGGTTGGAGATGACATACCGCAGACAATCCCCGTGGAAGAGCTCGAGCTTGTTGGAGGCGTAGTCCGCTGGCATGTTCTTGTTGTACAGCCGGATCGAGAACCAATCCCGCGGCACGGGGGAGTAGTACTGGTATTCCGTCAGGGAACGGACCGTCTGGGAGGCGGCCAAGAGACGCAGCGCCTTGCCGAGGTCCTCCAACGCGTCTGCAGCGTCGATGGGAATGCGGCGAACCCGGGGAACTGGCGACCCCTTCCAATCGGCAATCACGAGATGTCCGTCGCTGCTCTCCACAACTCTCAAGGCCTGGCCCTGCTAAGGCTCAATGACGAAGCAGTCGGTGTACCAAGGTACCGTGCCGGCTTCGGTGGCGAGAGTGTTGTCGAGCACAGCCCGGTTGACCGCGCTCCAAGGCGAGCTAAGCCGCACGGAGGTCAGCATGTGCTGGTACCAGGGGCGCAGCATCTTCATGAGGTCGAGGAGCCTCGCGGCGTTTGATCGGGCTCCCAGCATCCCCTGTACATGGCTGTGCCAGAAGAGGTGCGCATAGCTGGCGAAGCCGAGCTCGGTTGCGTCCCAGAGGTGGTACTCGTCTGTGTCCGCCGCCGCGGTGTCTTCTCCCTTGAACTTGGAGGGCACGCGCAAAGGCAGCGAAAGGTACAGGATGCAGGTCTCCGCAAGGGCACTGTGGCAGGTCTCCAGTGTGAAATCCCCCAGCCAGGGGGGCTTTCGGTGGCCGTTCTCTCCCGGGCCGGCCAGGAGGAAGTCTTTGGCTGTCTGGTGGATGAAGTAGACCCGGCCGTTGTAGACGTCCAGGAAGTATCGGCAGGCATCCAAGATCCAGTTGCGGAAGCAAGTCTCGTCCTGCAGGCCCAGGCCGAACCTGCTTCCGTTAGGGAGATCATGGATGTTGAGGGCAATGTTAACCTCCGGCAGGGTAAGCGGCCTTGCCGCTGCCAGGATAATCTGGAACAGCCTTCTCACGTCGTCCCGTTGGTTCTCGCGGACGCGGTTGAGGAAGCCGAGGTAGGCCTCTTTGACGTTAGCGGGAAGCGTCTTGAAGATGTCGATCCACCCTCGAGGCACCCGCGGCACGCCGTCACGCATCTTCATCTCGAGGTAGTCGAACAACAACTTGACGTACAGATACGTTCTCTCCTCCTTCGGCCGAACCAGGTCGAGCAGTTCTCGTCTCAGCGCCGTGTCTTGGATGCACTTCGTCGCAAAGCCGTCGAAACGGGCCATGACAACGCTCTCTATGTCCCTGCTGATGTGCTTGAGGCAGTGCGGATCCTCCTCGAGTTTCAGGGCGACCACGTGGGCCGACTTGATCAGCTGAGGCACGGACACCACCGGGCGCGTCGTGATGAAGAACTTCAGGGGCGGGTTGGAATGCGCGAGGTACTCGGCCAGCCGCTTGCACAGCTTGCCGGCCGAGTCCGGCTCACACTCATCGAACCCGTCGAGGACCACGGTGACGCTCCCCGGCTCGCAGTCCCGGGTCGCCTCGTCGAGGACGTTCCAGAGCAGGTCAAAATTGCAACGCACCTCCTCCGGCAGGAGTTGGTCAATCTTGGCGCTGATGACGTCGACAAGGTGCGGCTGTCTCCTGAAGAGCTCGTCCAGGACCCTGCAGAGAGCGGTGGTGGCAGCATTCTGGCCCTTTCCGTTGTCCTTGAAGAAGAAGGAGCAAACCGTGGTGGCCCTCCACTCGGACAGTTCCGTCAAGAGGGCTTTGGCGAGAACCGACTTCCCCGATCCTGGAATCCCTTCCAGCACGAAGACGCCCGAATCGGCTGACACCCACCTGACGAAGTCGGGATGCGTAAGGACTCCGGCACCGGTTCCGTCCTGCGGAGAGTCGATGCTGTCCAGATAGGCCTGGTAGACGGAATAGGGGAGGTCATCGGGGAACTTGAACTTGAGTATCCTTTCAAACCTCTGCTTGTGGAGAGCATCCTCGGACAGCGTGTGGAGTTTGTCCAGAAGGTGCTGCTCATAGTTGAGGCTCATGTACTCTTCCAGGCGCTTCTCGCTCTCCTTGATCCCCGACAGCATGCAGTTCCAATCGTCCAGCTTCAGAATATCGCGCGATATCGTGGTCAGAGGACGGCAGTACGTGTAGTATGCTCGCAAGTGATACTCGATCAGGAGTTTGTAGAGCGAGACGATCTCGTCGTGTATGGCATGGCGCAGCGCCGAGAAGCTGTGCGGGCTCTTCCAGTATTCTCGGTTCAGAAGGTCGAGGACCTGACCGTACCACGTAAAGCGCGACATCACGTAGGCGAAGCCTGCCTCTCTCGCGGCGATCTGCTCGGCGTGGTTGACGATGATCTGCCGGGTTGTCAGGTCTGCGGGACCAGCGAGTCTTCCGAGGAATGACTTACCGGCAAAATGATGGTGCACACACCCGTCCAGGCCAACGATGCAGGCGGCGAACAAGCGAGCGCAAGACCAATAGCGTCTTTGGTTCGTTGGACGAACTGCACAGCGGCAGAGACGATGCTTTGGCTTGCAGTGTCTCGCTTCGCCAGGTCCACGTACTCTTGAGCGAACCTTGTGAAAGACTCCTCGGCGAGGAGTGTATTGTCTTCGTCATCGGTTTGGGCCTCTCTTCGCACGCCCGAGGGTCGGCGGAAGGCCAAGGGTCCCCTGCTCGTGACGGCGCTGTACAGCTCCTCGTAGTTCCTCACGAGAGGCTTGAGCTCTTCGTCGCGGCTGATTTCGCTGTACGCTTCTTCCCAGATTTCGCAGGCAACTAGTGCAGCGTCCTGCCGGTTGGCGAGCCGAGGGCTGCTTCGTCCTATGGGCGCGGTCTCAAATGACGAGTACTGCGATGTGTCGCGTGCGAGGTAGCGAGGCCCCGGTGCGAGACTCGACGAAGGGCGGCGGAATGGTGGGCAGCTGGCAAGGCGGCGCTCAGGGGATGCTCTGGGCGACGTCATGACGGTCGATGATGCGAATGGAGACGGTACGAGTGGACATGGCGACGGCGGAGGCGATGACGGGAGTGGGAACCTCGGCTGGACAGGTCGCCCCCGAGTCGGCAACGGTTGGTCGTCCGGGCGCTCCCGTCGCCGATGAGGGAAAGGACAGCAAAGAACCAAAGGCATGGAATCGTCCCTCCAATGCGCAATCAATGGCGCGCAATATCGTGTGGTTCGTGTTTATGCGATGCTGGAACGAGGCAATGCAAACATAGTAGGCGAGCACGGAGAGGGAGCCCATGACTCACGAGGGTCCAGGCCATAGGCATGATCCTCGTGTGTGTAGATGGAAGCTTTCTAGGCAGCGGCAACTCGTGGTGGTGACTCGCATCCCCGGAGCGCCTGCCATCTCAACTTGTCATCTAAACACCGAGTCGCACTTGCCGATGCAGTTCAACGACGGGCATGACTGACATGCGGGCCGGTTGTGTTTTCGAGGCCGTTGCACTTGGTCTCAGACATCAACTTGACGATCTCCTGCGCCGCTATGCCCTTCGTTGGATTCATTGTCCTGCCAAACAACTTCCAGAGCATTAGCCAAGGCGGCATCACCGATATCAGAAAGAAGGCCGCATAGTTACTAAGTTCTTACCCTGAGGTGCGTACGGTGAGCCGACTATCAGTAACATCGAGGGGATCCTTTTTCGGTTAGACGGAGGGGGTTCTACCTTCTTCGCCTCAGACGTATCTCAGTGACAAACTGAGCCGCATCATACTCACCCATCGACAATTCGATGCACCCAAGGCATACCGATATCCATACCGCATACAAGATGAAGGACACCGCAGCCCTCATAGTCATGATCGGCATCGCCAGCGCCGTCCTGGTTGGCGTGGCGGATTGCACGGATAACACATCCGAATCGTGCAACGGCCTGGACACCGTTTCCGTGACGCTTGACCCACTCGATAATTTGGATCAGGACGTGCAGAAGCGCGACCCTAAGAATGTCCACAGGCTATTTTCTGAAAGCCGCCCCGGGTCCCGTCCTCTCAACCGCATTGGCAAGAGCTTCGGGCAAGACGATGCCGCCGACACCGAGCAAGTACGCAGCCAGCGCGATCTCAACGACGACCTCGACAAGCGAGGTTTTGATAAGCAAGGGTAAAGGCGTCCTGAAGAACCTCCCAGGCAACAAACCGGACGACAAGAGGCCTGAGGAGAAGTAGCCTGAGGAGAAGAGGCCGGAAGAGAAGCCGGAGGAAAAGAAGCCGGAGGAGAAAAAAAAAACCAGATGACAAGAAGCCAGACGACAAGAAGCAGGAGGACTCTAACAAGTCGATTCCGAACACGGGTAGCAAGGACAAGGGCGGCCCCGGAAAGAAGCTTCAAAACGCCATCTGGAAGGACACCAAGAAATCGGCTGCGAACATGGCGGTGGCCCAGTCGGGCATGCAGGGTTATCTGTCGGTTGGCTTGGCTGTGATTGTGGTTGTTGCTGGTCTCGATGTCGTCGCGTTCTAGATCACGCGTTCTGGTCATGGTGGGTACTGAGGTCCCAGCATCTTCGGTGGGCTGCGGCCGCCCCGGGCGGGGAGCCGGGTTCGTCACTTTGCCACGCACTTGTATGACAAGGAGAGCAGAGAGTAGTAGAGTTCCTGCTCAGGTAGCGCAGTACATTGAGTTGTGTCCATCATGAACCAAAGGGCAAGAGAATCGACACATGACCGAGATCTTACTGTCGGTGACATGGTCCTGCGGACTTGCCGTGCTATGCCTCGTGGTGACAGGCAGGCGTCGAAGATGTCACTCTCTCGGATCGTGCTTCTCAGACTTCGACGGCGTAATCGGAAGCTCTCATTGACCGTCCTCAACACCAGGAATTTGTACCACCTCTCGAACGTCCATGTCGATCGAGTCTGCCGGGCGTCGACCACCCGTCCACCACCAGCCAAGATAGACTCGTGGCCTGTGCGTAGTGGGCCCTTGTGGCGTGGGGCACTGGAACGCGATGTGCCGCTCACCCACAGTGCCCACGTTGGTGGGCCACGGGTATGCGGTTCACACAGCGTGCAGGAGGCCTGCAGCGGGCCGCGCTTGTTTCCTGTTGGGCAATTCTGTCAACCACTCCTTTTCTGCCTGCTCTGACTTCCGCCGTCTTCGATGTGCGACCACGCGCATCTCGTCATGCGTCGCTCAACCCGTCGGACTCTCAATCACTTGAAGGTGAATGGTCCGGAACCCGATCGTCGATGCGGACCCGGCTGGTTGGCGCTCGGGCGGTGAGACTCGAGCCCCACGTCGCCTCGTCTTGATCGGCCATCAACCAGCCAACTCCACCTCCCGTTCCTTTGTTCAACTACACAGGAGCGCAAATCGTCTGCGCTGTCCGGCGAGAGACGACGCCGGTTTCACCTATAACCAAGCCAATTGAAACCATTGCCCTGCACCTCCGTCAACAGAGAACGAAGCGGCCCGCGCGTCTCGACGTCTCACAGTCCTCCATCGATATCGCCGGAACCGTCCCGGAGTTGTGCGACTATGCCAGTGCGCTTGTCCGGATTCCAGATTGACCTTCGCCCCCCCCTGCACCTGGGATGGCAGACGCCTTGAGTCCAGATGGCGGCCCAGCGCAAGACGCCATGGGGGCTATCGATACCACCGGCAGCCAGCCCGGCGATCTCCGGTGCTGCTGTGGAAGGGAGGACTGCGTCTTTCTGAGACATAACTGCTCCGTGCTGTCGAGCGTCGAGCGGGATGTCCACACAGCGGCGCGAATGGGGCAGGTCAGTTCATCACGCCGCATTCCTTGATGCCACGTTCTTTGACCGAGTTCCGCGTCGTTCTTTGTCTACTTGTCTCCTTAACAAACCCCATGTCGCCCGGCGGGAGAATGCAGCCTTGTGTAGTGCTACCTGTAGCCTTAGGCCATGTAGTGTACGAATGGCTCAACAAGCCGAGACATTCTGGCGATCGCGCCGGGCAAAGCCCGAGGATGGCGTTCCCTCGCTGACATTCACGCTGCAGACACTGCTTGCCCGCCATGAAGCCTACATGGCCTCCGCCGAACGCGATCGACTCGAGCTCACTGCGCGCATCGAGCAGCTGGAACAGGAGAACGCCGAACTCGAAGCCAAGAACAGGTCCATCACGGACGAGAACCAGGGCCTACGCGATGAGCTAGAACAGCTCAACGACAGTGTGAAGGAAGCAGAGACCAAGATCGAGCTGCTCGAGGTCTCCCTGCGCGACTCGCAGAGGGAGGTGCGGAGGCTGGAGATTGCGGCTGACAGGGCACTCAGCCTTGAGCGGCAAATCGCTATACTGGAAGAGGAGCAGGTCGTGCTGCGGACCACCATCGCCCGCACAGAAGAGGAGGCTCGAACAACCATGTACCGGTGGCGGCAGGCTGAAAAGGGCCTGAACGACCTGCAGGAGCAGCTTGAGCGCATGGAGAAGGAGGCGAGGGAGGAGCGCGAGCGCCACGTCGAGGTCGTCAGCCGCATGGAGCGCCAGCGCGCCATGGAGAAGGAGCTTAACACGGCCGCGGGTAGGCTTAAGGGGGCCGCCGCCGTCAAGTCGTTAACAGACAGCAGGAACAGCGGCAACGTGGTGTCGCATTTCGTTCGTGACCTTTTGCAGGACAACGCAAACCTCCAGCTGGGCATGGCCGAGCTGCGCGAGATGCTGCTCAACTCAAACGACGAGATTCAGATGCTGCGTGAGCAGCTGATGTACCATCAGCCCGCCGCCGGCTACGAGCCGAGCTCCCCAACTACGCTGCAGGCGGAGCTAGAAAAGAAGGAGCCGCCAACGCCGCCGCCGCGCGTATCGCAAGAACTTCACATCCACCACCATTACCATGTTACGCACAAGCCAGAGGCTAGGAAACCTAAGAGGCGGAGGCAAGGGCTCAACCCAGCGATCTTCACCCCGCCCCGGTCGTCCGCGCCAGGCTCGCCGGTTATTTCCCCTGCTCGCTGGCAGCGTGATGCCCTGCCTGCACCTTTGTCATCACCACTCGCGAACGACGGTGCCATGGCCTGCGCCCGCTGGTCTCTCCAATCGGAGAGCCAGCCTGAGTTCGCGCCGTCCTCCGCCCCCAGCTCTCCGCGGTCCGGAAACCGGGACTCGGTGTTCGACAGAGCCCCGAACATGCCGACTCCTGCTTCACCCACGACGAGCGTAGACCCAACATCGCCGCACTGGCACACATCCCACAGGCCGAGGGTCTCTGAACTCTCGCTCAAGAGCATCTCCGAGACCGCCAGGTTCGGAGCAGACACAGCAGCCAAGACGCCTGGACATTCACAGCGACCACATCCCTTGGCGCGCTTCCTTATGAACGACCCTCTTTCCGCTGCCATAACCTCACCGTATACAACAGACGATGTACCGAGCGTCACTTCACCGTCTCTGGTCGACTACACCAACTATGAGAGCACTACAGTATCCCCGACGTCCACGCAGTTCGACCCAACGGCAGAACAGTGCCCACGCGCTCTCCGACGCATCGTCTCGCACGAGTCCATCATGTCCCTCTCCAACGGACTGGACGTCCACACGCTCAAGGCCAGGCCTAGCCAGCTAACGCTCAAACCACTAGGCCTCACCGCTGCCGGCACGAATCTGAGTGATGTAACGGCAAGACCCACTCTCTCGAGCGGAAGCCGGGAAGGCAAGCGCGGAAGCGTCATCCTCCGGGACAGCATCGCCCAGTCGCTGCCTGTGTCCAAAACGAGGCAGACTGGGCCGAGGAAAGTATCGGCTCCTATCCGGGGGAGAGGCAGGGAGAGGGAAGGAGGGCGCAGCTCGACAAGGGCGCCGTCGACGCTCGGCAAGCTGGTGTCATGGCGGCCTTGGGGGGGGGCCAATACTCACGGGACGGCCGGGGCGGCCACCTTGCCGGAAACGAGTCCCTCGTCGACGTCTGTGCCTGCGCCGTCCGCGTCTGCTACTCCGTCACGGGCGATCCCGGAACTCTCACTCCCGGCTGGTGTGGGTGGCAGCTCGGCGGCGAGCACCAGCACGGGCAAGTCACCGCAGGAGAGTCTGCTATCGACAGCGATATCTGCGAGTGTACCTACGACGGCAACTGCGAGTATGAATGCGGTCTTCCGTGCGCCGGGAATTAACCAGCCGGGGCCAATACCAGGGTTCCAGGAGTACTTCGCGGCGCATAAGCGGAGGGCGCCGCCCAGCAAGGTGTCCGTTGGAGACGTCGCCGAAGTTCAGGAGGCCTTGAGGGAGGTACTCGAGGAGAGTTAACAGCGCCAATCCTGCGTGGATTCCAGTTGGGTAAGAAAGTCGACTTGGCCTTTTGCATAGATGGTATTTTGGCTCGCTGCTTTGCGGATTTTCAGATTGCGACGGTTTGGCATTGTTGTTTGATTGCGGGGAATAAGACGGATGAGATGAGCTCCCGGAGGGCTCGCTCCAGATACCCTGCTATAGGCACCATTCCGGTTTATTGGTCTCAGCGCTCGAACACAGGTGGGATCGATGCAGGCCTGACCTGCCCTGGAAGGGAACACTAACCTAGGTCGTACGAAGTACTGGTAGTAGTAATGAACATAATAGCCATCATCAACATCATTCGTTCAGTGCAGGGTTAATAAGCGAGACGTCGAAGAAGCCATCATCCGTCATAGGCAGACCGGGCTCGAGCCGACGATCCGAGTGTACCCACACTCTTCTGCAGAAGCAGGCACACTAGGTACTCTGCGTGAGACTCTCCTGCGTTACCTTGTGACACTCGAACTGCCACGCTCGAATTCCCAAGCATCACCACATACGCCGGCTGTTTACCCCTACCAGCAGCCCCCACCCTAGATCCATCGGCTCACTGCCCCGGCAGATTGTACGAACCCCCAATATCCAGCAAGTAAGCCAGCGAGTTGAACTCGACATCGACGCTCTCGATCTGCCAGAATCCCTCCTCCTTGGTCACGCCCAGGATGGTGACGCCCCGCACCTGCTTCTGCGCCACGCCGAAGGTGGCCTGCCAGATCAGGGCGATCTCGTTGCAGGAGTAGGGCGTCGTGTGGGTCATTGTTAGGGGGAGGTTATCTGGCTGTATCCCTCCCCCACCCCGCGAATACATTAGCTCCCTTTCTGGTAGGAAGGAAGTGGGAGAGGAGGAGGCAAGACGTGCCTGAACATGCTGGTGCTCGATGAAGGCCTCCTTGGAGGGAAACGTCGGACTGCCCAGCGGAATACCCGCCAAGATGTTGATGCTGTCGGATGTGTCGACGAATGTGTCGGCCAGGTACTTGGCGTCGGCGTCGTTCCAGCCCGAGAGCATGCGTCGGTACGCGTCGACCAACGTGTCGACGTCTCCTTGGTGCAGGCAGGTGCCGGGCTTGGGTTTGTCTCTGCCGTTGCTGGATTTGCCGTGGCCTCGGCGGTTGAGACCTCCCAGTACATCGTGTACGTCGGAGCCCGCTTCGTCCTGGCGGCGGGTGATTGCCTCGCTCGTGGGGGTGGCGAGACCGAGGCCTGCCGCGGAGAGGAGGGTGAGGGAAGGAAGGAACCGCATTGTTTTGGCCTGTTCGAGGGCTCAAGTTGAACGCTCAACTCGGGTTGTCAGGTGACTGATGTTGAGGTGTGTGCGCGGTGTTTGGGTCGCTCCTTCCAACTTGAAGCTCCACCCGATGCCAACCCTTTTATCTCAATGTCGACCTCTCTAGGAAGTCCTGACATGCCACGCAACAAGCTGTGTTGGCCGGACGCCGGTCTTCCCCAAGCGTGGCTTCCGGCTGGCCTCCGGTTGGCCGCATGACTGGAATGAGAGGTTGGCGGAGATGTCTAATTGCCCATGCAACCTTTCAATAATCAAAGCTGCTTGACTCGGCTAGCAGTAGCTAGCTGAATGCGGAGGCAGCTGCATTATTTTTGCCTGAAAGTTTGTTGAGGCTTGCGGACGGCCCTCGGTCGCGGCTGGCAACCACCCCAAGCACGCGTCTGAGGCTGACGGTGCAAGCCATGGTATTGGTCTTTAACAGTGGTGAGTGCCGGTTGACTGGCCCCGCGGTCCCGAGCCGCAATTTGATGCCCGAACCTTCCCTGGACCATCGTTGGGTGGGCTCGTCCTTAAGAGCCTCCGTCCAAAGTCGGCATCCATTGTCAAGCGCAGCTGCTTCCGCCCCCATTTGCCGTGATCTGGCGGTGGCTGACCTGCAGGAGTGTTCACCGAGCGAATCGCGGCCTCTTACTTGCCGGTAGAGCCTCCTGCTTCCTGCGAGGGACTGGTCTGGTGCCATGTTCCACCGCAGCTCGTGTCCATTCCGAATGCCGCCGGGCTTGGATAGAATACCATCTTGGATGCTCTATTTACCATTTGGATTGGGCTGGATGCGTTAGCAGGGTGCGGTCTACTTGGAATGTTTAAACTCAGCGATAATAAAAACAAAGCTACCTAGGTCTACGCCCATGCCGCGGCCTGCTCTAGTGGGTTGTGGCCGCTCCGATTTCAATCTCGAATGGAGGTGATCGCCACGATGCAGTCAACCGTGACCAGAGCAGCCGTGCTGGGTTACACCTTCCTGTCAAATGCAATACGTGGTTGGGCCCCAACCGTTGGGGCGCTGCCGTAATTGCCGTCCCTGCACAACACGGTCCTCTTGTCATCATCGTCCTTATCCTCTTCCTCATCCTTATTATTATCACTATCATCGTCACTATTATCGTCCTCCTTATTACTATGCTCCTCCCCTCTCCTCACTCTTCCTCTTGCTTTCTAGACAGTTTCCATTGAACCCCGCAACCAGCGTGACGCGCCGGGCATTTCCAGCAGTTGCACGGCACTTTGCGGCGCTCTTGACTCGCAGCCTAGCAATCTAGCTGCCGCATTCCGCCACCCGCACGCGACCGGTCGAGCGCCGAGGTTCATACCGAGGTGCGCAAGGCGTTGAAAGAACAGGGTAAGCTCCCCCGCCCCCGATATCCTCCTTGTTCCGCGAGATGGAGAAGAGCATCTTGTGGATGTGGACGAGGTCAACATGGACAAATGGAACGAGGCCTCGGCCAAACTACGGGCGATGGGCATGCTCGAGAACGACGAAAACTCGGCGTGCGAAGACCCGGCGTGGTCCTTGAGATGCACACAGCTGGGACACGATATCGTCACAAACCTTTGTGACTTCACGGACTGGCGCGTAGCTTGCTTTGCCGCCCACATCCGCCCCTCCTCATCCACCCTCGAGAAGCGCGTGTTTGTGCGGCTTTCAGCCATTATGAGCATGGCGTGCCCATCGACGTGGGAACGATGTCGCGGCGTGTCATGAAGGATCTCGAGCAAGCGGCCTGCGGTCCAGCCATGCGTATACTCGGTTTCGTTACGCTATAGATTACGCTGTCGATCTGGGAGAAGTGTAGACGGGACAAGGACGATTTTGCCGACGTAAAGGAGGAGCCGATGACTATGTGTAGCGTCACTATCGATTCCATAGTCGCTATCTATAAATGTATGAACGCGCTGGAGCGACGCTTCAACCTTGCACCGGCCACGCGTAAGGAGATAGACTAGCGGCTTGATAACGAGTAGCTGGCATGGATCTTATACGCCCTGGTGGATGGATGGCTGACAAACCTAATCCGGCTCCCCACTGGCTTCTCCCAGTATAAAGAGGGCGCGCCTTACGAGGGCTAGAACCTATCTTGACGAGGTTTTGATCAACCCGTCAGAGACACCATTGTTCGAGGCCTAAGTGAGTCATAGGGGTAAATGGGCTATGGCACTATAGATTATGTCTGACATGGTGACGTACAATGTTATCCTCGTTAGTGCGTATAATATACGCATAGTGACGACTAGGATGGGTTGCGCTTCGATCGTGCTTGCTATTTCAAGCAGGTATGCCCATGGCGGTGAGGAGGTCTGTCACTCCGTCTAGAGTCAGAGGAAGATAGTGTATAGTATGGGAATTGAATTTATATTATTGCAGTGCAATGACATATGTACGATAGGGTGATTACAGTGGTCGAGAGATGTGGCAATGATGCCGAGGAGTAGATGGCAGTAGTAGGTCTTCGCATTGCTTAACTCCTAAGCCTTAGTCTCCTCCTTCTCGGGGGCGTTTTACCCTAGGATAGAGCGGACAGATCTACGGCTTTAGCTCTAGGGAAGTATATAAGCCTGTATAGGCGCAGCCCGTATATAACTCCACTTTGTTTTATAGATGTACAAGCTTGAAACCTGGCCTTGCAAAGACGCGCAATATTGTGCACTTGCTACCCATCTGTTTTCCCATCTTGTTCCTTACATGGTCAAACCTGAATTTTGGCCTTGTAAAGTTATACGTCTGCATAATATGATACGTCAATACCCGCCGTAGGGCTCGCTCACCCGCTTACGGCTCCAGAGCAACAAGCCGCGGCCGGTGGTTCTCCACGGTCACCGTATGCAAGTATATAGAACAATATGCTACCAATTGGTGGATACAAGCACTAGCACCGGGAAGCCGAGACCGCGGTACAATGGTGGGAACGAACCTTACTTGACTGATTTCAACCCAAAGCGTTGCTTCCGCTACTCACCCGTCTAACCTTCGTTGCTGCACCAGAGTCACTTGACTGTAGCGAGACAGCTGGACGCTTTCTTTGACCCGTTCGAGACGGCGGGCAAGCCTCAGCCGCATGCTGACCTGCTTCCGCGCCGCCGGCAGAGATGTCCAGCCCTTTACTCGATTGCGGTTCGCTTGAAATCGACTGGAAGCTTCCGTCACGATGGAGAAACGTGACGTTGTTTCCCAAGCCGTACAAGTGATGTGAAGAAGACGGCGCTGGTCCAGAGTCCGATGATTCGACACTCTCCCCAATGCCGCTGTCGGACATCGAACGAGAAACCTCATCTACCGAGGCCGGCTCTGGCTCGCCTGGTACCGGCGGGACGTCCTTTGTCAGGCTCCAACGCAGCGGATATTTCCAGCAGTGGCCGAACACCACCGCGCCCTCTGGGACGATGCGTGTTGGGCTTCGTAACCCTCTGCCATACAGTCCGGGAAACGAGGTGGGTAGGAGAACCTGTACCATGTCGGAGATACCCGGCTTAACCCGCCCGTCGCCTTCATTAGGTCTCCTGAAAAGCCCTCTCAGCCACTTCTTTTGCGGTGTGCGTTCTGTATCGACATCATCCTTCTTACCCTCGGAGCCGTCTAGTTGTTTCCCGGGGTGCGCTTTGCACTTGCAGGCGTGGAATGCCACACCGTCGGGCGAGTGCCAATGCACATCGCCCGCCAGTCGCCACGGATTTCTGCGCTTGGTCCCGGTCCGTAACATCTCGTGAAGGTCTGCTCCGTATACGGCAAGAAGGCCCTGCCCCGTGGGCACTGATGATGTTGCACTGCAGCATGCTTGCGCCTGGCCTTTGCCGCGCACCGGCTGCAACAGTTCGCCGAAGCCGGCACCGAACAGCGTCACGGCGCGTAGCGACCGCACGAGGTGGACCCAGCCCACGCTCATGCTCTGTATGGTGGCCACCTTCGGCACCAGCGTCTCCTGTCTGGTAGCTACGTCCATGAACCTGATGAAGACAAAGTCAGTGGATCTTGAATCGGGAAAAGGGGGACGGACCGCGGGACGCACTCAAACCCAACAATCTGATGCCGCGGCAAGGATTTAATGCGCAACCCAAAGCCGTCCCGCGAGTTCATATCGTCGTGGTATGCGGTGGCTTGCAGCAGCACAAAGCAGATCTGTTCGACCCGGTCTTTGAGCGTGAAATTGGAACTCGTTGTCTTGAAGGTCGTGGAGTCGGCAGCGTCCAGCGCCTTTCCGAGTCTCGTCGTCCTTTCCTCTGTCTCCACGGAGCCTTTTGGGTACAGCGGCAGCCTTTGGTTCCTGGGGTTAGTTAGGATGTCAAAGGCGGCTCTGGCCCCGGTGTATTCCACGCCAGGCCCGGCTTCTGTGAGATCGCCATCGCTGTACATGAAGTAGCTGCTGACGATACGGTCCTCAACATAGAACTTGAGGTAGGCGCGCAGAAGATGGAGAACGGCACTTGCTCCGTCGACAAGCCAGGCACGCTTTTCCTCACTGTCGTAAAAGACAAAATATCGCTTGACGATGGCCATGAGTGTCCCCAGGTAGTCGTCACCACTGCCGAAGCCGATATGGAGCGGCTTGTCTTTGACCCCGACAAGGAAGCTCCCGCCTGGTGTGATGAACGGAACTGAACCGGAAAGGGTGACCTTTTCGAGTACGTAACTGGAACTAGGCTCCTGGAGCTCGGTCCATTCGATGTCATAGTTCGCGTCGGGGGCACCTGAGAAATGTTAGGAGGAATGGCGAGGAAATGGTAGAGGTATTCTTACCGACATGGTTCCTAACATGGTTACTCCAACCAACAATATGGCGAGCCTTAACCAGGGTCCCGAGAGGCAGAGTCTCATCCCCCCTCGAGGCGCGGGAATCCTCGTAAGAAATGTACTCCCCGCCAGGGTTGTAGCAGAGGTGCCAAAGCACCTCGTCGCCAACCACCCGGACAGCAGTTAGCGTGGCTGAAAACCCCTTGAGAAATGTCGTGCCGGCGAAATTCACAACCCGCTGGCATTTTGTCAGCGCAGCCACCATGTCTAGCGGGATCTCAAGGCCTGTGTCCGGCTCGGCCCGGCGTCGAATCGGATATCCCCTGACGATGACCGGATTCCCAAACATGCCACGCCAGCACCTTCCTGCCGTGGCGAGATCCGTGTCTTGCAGGATCTCGGTTTTAAACTCGATGTTGCAGCAGCCAACAGTGATGATCCTGTCAGCGCTCTCGATTGTGGTACCGATACTAAAGTCAAGACCGGTGACGTGCGCGGTGCTATATGCGGCGGCGGTATCGGCGGGCGAGGAGCGGAGGGCAGCCCCTATCCAGGCGACTTGCTCGGCGACTTCGGCGACAGAAAAGGTGTTGCCAGCGACACTGAGACTTAGTTTGTGGTTATTGAAGCAGGCAACTAGGCGTGTTCTGTCTGGCAAAAGTGCTGATTTGGAGGGGTTAGTACGCACCGTTCACCACGCAGTTGAGCTGGGCGTCCTTCTACTACTCACAACTACAAACATCTGTTTCACGCTCGACCGCAGTCTGAAGGAGGGAGAGAATCTTCAGGCCTGACTCGGGCCACGTCTGCTGTAGGTAGCTCTCACATGTCGCAGCTTGCAGGTTGTTACCGTGCCCGGTCAAGGTAATGGCCTGTGCTAACACGCATCTCAGCGGTGCATCATATTGCTGCTCTTGCGCGAAGAGAATTGGATCCCAATCAACTGTGAAGTGCATCACGAGGTCTTGGGTCCGTTTCCGACTGAAGTTTCCGATACGGCTGGTGGCAGCCCTTATAATCTCGGCCCCCAAATGGTGATACCCAATGTGCGTGTTTGCCTCAGGGTCCTCCAGGGACCCTCTAACCCGGAGAGAGGACTGGAGCCACTGGTATGCCGAGGCCCCCCGTAGGATTTCACGATATCTGGCCAGTTCTGGGAATTCGAAGTCATCGAAGCCATCGAGATTGTCAACGTCGCCAAGGGTGTCTAGGGTCGCATGGTCGATATCTCGACCTTCGCAATCATCGGCAGAGTGGTTGTTGGAGCCATCGGACTCCTTCTCCCACATCATGATCTTCTCATTCAATGTCATGCCGGGCTCGGTGCTAAGGGAAGAGTCTCGGACGCCGCCGGTTCCGGAAGTTGATTCAAGCTCAGGATTGTCTTGGGTGCGGAGATGACGCTTGAGGCGTCTGACAATTTCACTGCAGTAAAGTGAATGGATGTTAGATCTCTCAAAGAATGGTTTATAGAAACTCTCCAGGTAGTAGTTACTGACCTCCGAAACCTATAGACAAGATACATCAACTGCCGCTGGGGGCGACCAGGGCTCTCATGGCCGAGTCTGACAGCAAAGGACTTAAGAAGGTGGTCCAGTGTTGACGGAACTGCATCCAAGTAGTTGTTATAAAGCTCTGGCGGTATGGACGTTGCGAGCTCCTTGGCAAACGCAGAGATATACTTGTCAACGTCCGGGTGTTGAAGGAGGCTCGCAGCGTCGGAGAATACTGTCCCTGTCTCCTGGCCTTCTTCTGGATTCATTGCAGTTTGCGCCTGCTCCGTCTCTTCCTGGACATAGTGGAAGTCCAGGCGTTTGGGAGCAACTGATTGCGTCCCCAGGGAGCCGTATCCAGAGTCACCGCACATGGTAGGAGGGTGACGCGACGTGGCGCTGATGCTCTGGTTGATAGGACGATCGCCGAAGGAGGTATCAAGCATTTCTTTGGGAGGAGGAATAACTGCTGAGATCCGCCGATCATAATCATCACGCATCGACAACAATTCTCCAATCTCGCGGCCAGGAAAAGAGGAGTCGTCCCGTTCCAGACATTCGCTAAGATATGAGAGGTCATCCCGGGCTCTAGGGTTCTTCTCGTAAACCTTCTTGATTACTCCCCACTCCTTGTGAGTCATGACATGGGCCTGGGGAAGAAGGAAGTGTACTGTTGGGCTAGTCATGAGATTACCCAGAATGTCGCGGGCCATAGCCACGCCCTGTCGTTGCCGCTCATCTATGCTCGGCGCTGGTCTCGTGGATTGCGGTCCTGGGGCCTGCAGCGGCTGAGGTTGCTGAGTCGGAGTGACTGCCCTAGGGACCTGCTGAAGTGGCCCGTGGGGAGACGCGGAGGAGGAGGAGGAGGAGGAGGAGGAGGAGGAGGAGGAGGAGGCTGGGGCTGAGACTGACTTCTGCTCTGGTGGGAGGTCTAAGTCTTCAACTAAAGAACTGTGAAGTGTCGGATTGGCAATATCGTCGTCTTGGAGCACAGGGTCGCGGTCCGGTCCTAGAACTAAGGAGCGAGATCTGTCAGCCAGACACCGTACGGCAGGGGGGTCGGTAAGATGAAGGTGGGCTTACAGGGTGATGGAACGGTCTCTCCCGGGAAGAGGATCTGATAGACGTCTCGCCACTTCTCTCCCTCCGAACGAGGATACTTGACCCGCGCGCGAATTCGCTTTTCTTGCTCCTCAGTGCACGTACCGTCTGGCGGGGAAGTCCCAATTTGGCAAACCGGGAGAGCCCGCCGATGTTTGTCGAGGTCTGTGGTTGTAGAGAAGCTTTTGAAACAGCGGGGACAGGCATTTCGTAGGCAATGGCGACGGTAGATGTGCTCTCTAGCATGGAGATGTCAACGTAGGAGCTACGAGGGCGAAAATGAAGATGGAGTGGTCTTCATATCGATCATAACAATCTTACTTGACGCGATGCATTTCCCTCCAGCCAGGCCCAGCACAGGCTTTGATCGTTCCGTACTTCTTCGGGTCGCGCCGGGCGAATGGGCAATGGAGGAGCCAGGTTTCGTCATCCGTAGGGCGCTTGCTTATCCGGGATGAAGCCATGATGTGACTGGGTGTTAACGGAGGTCTGCAAGATCTCCCTTTTTTCCACTGTTTCAAGCGCGATACTGACCGGAAGGAAAAAGTGAAGAGTCGGAGGAGGGATGGTGACCCCCCTCATCGGGCCTATGCAGGTATATGTACAATATCGTACACAGCCACGAAGTACGCCCGCGCCGCCAGCCGGCTTCTGGGTGAACTACGGAGGTATCGCGCGCCAGAGAGATGCGCCATTGGCCGGGTATGGTAACACACACGTTATAGCTGCATTGCGCCAATTTCCGGCTTCCGCTTCAAGGCGCTGCGGGTGCTGAGACCTAGATACTGTAGTCATAGGCCTCACTGCCACGAGCCTGTTCTCCGAAACCTTAGTTGCGACTCCGATTGCCGCCGGTCGAGCTCGGTATGATTGAGTTACCTACCACATCTCAGATATTCAAGCGAGGCTCCGAGGCCTGGCCCTAATTTCAGATGGGAGCTCGTCCTGAACTAGCTGCCGATGCCGATTCTACGACAGCTGCAGCCTGCGCCACAACGCTGCGCCGACCGACATACTTCATCCGAAGCCGACTGGCGCGAAATTGTCGGGGGGCTTCAACGCGCTTGTCAGGACTTTCGGCCCTTGTATCCGAACAGCTTGCCTACAACAAGTCACAGCACCTTCAATATGAACAAGTTGGCTGTAGATTAAGTAAGCTAGGGATCATTACCAAAGATCAGATTAACTACCTACGTAATCTAGGCATAGGGCACAAGACCTTTTAGCTTAGGTTCTAGTATACAAGTCTATAGAGATACAAGTAGAGTAATAATAGCACTTTTTACTACACCTGCACCAAGCAATGTTTTTGGCTGCCTGTGACTGTTTAAGCTCGTGCGGCTCCTTGGTATATGCAAGGGCAAGCTAAGTGCTTTTGTTGAGCCCCCTATCAGTACATGACATGTCCCTATTTCACCTCTAGCCTGAGCGTATCATACTGCACATACACGCTCCTAGGCAGCAGCGTACTCTCGTAGTTAGTCGCATTATAGGGCAAACTCAAGATTTTCTCGTTGGTAGTGTTCCCACTCGTCATGGCTCGTCGGGAAGGTGAACTTGTGCGAGAGCTGGTAGCAGACCACGCCGCTGCGGACGCCGCATGACGAGGAGTGGTAGTATCTGCGCGTGAAGGAAGACGTTGGTTATTAAGGTGCTAACGCCCTCGACAGAGATAAGTGGGCAGTTATTACGTACGGGATAATCCACGGTTCCAGTTGCATCTGTTCGGGCCGGCGAAAGTTGGCATAGCCGCCAAAGACAGACCAGTGGATGTAGGTTAAGTCCTTGGACTCGTCGCTGGCGCCCACATGGAAGTGCACACCCTTGGTGGAAGTCATCAATGAAGTCGTACGCGCCCCAATAGATGCGGTGCTCGGGTGGATAGAGCGGGTGGCCCGCGTCGCGGGCGGTGCCGGGGTGCCACTCGCCGGCCGACTTGTCCGGGACGCCGATGCGCCAGAGCTCGGGGTCAGGGGTAAACCACCAAAACCAGTTGCACGCGATACCACCAGCAGAGGCCTCTGGCCCTCATGAGTATGCCTCCGAGCTTCTCACCACCATCACTCTTCTGCTCTACCTGCCTGGACCCACCACAATGGGGGTGACGTTGCGCCGTTGAAATGGATTTGGCTGGAGTTGGAACTAGCGGCTCAGCTGAAAACGGGATGCGGGGGAGGCCGGGGGCAGGGTCGGCACGACGGCAGCTTCAGCTTCTGTTTTGGTCCGGCTCATGTCGATTCTCGCCCAGATTTCGCAACGGCCACGCGTAGACAGATACGGAGATATCCATCTATCACCAGGTACCAGTATCTCATGGCTGCAGTGGAAGCGGAGGACGACGCAATTCCGACGGTTCCCGTCGTGACTCTGCATCCGGAAGCTACCGATAGTAACGGCGCCGGAAGATGGGCCATCGCCCTGACGACCGTTTTCACGCCCCCGGCAGGGTGCGTCTGGCCCATCATCCCCGACATCAACCGCCCAGCGACTTGTAACCCGCCCTACTTTCAGCATGCAGGCCCCCAATGGCTAGGCTACTACTCCCCTGGCATCTGTCCCTCGGGATACACCGTCGGGTGTATCCCCGACAGCTCCGTAGAGACGTTCAACGATGAGCGAATAAAGCCTGGCGAGACCGTCGGCGTCTGCGTTCCGGTGTAGGACACTTCAACGAAAGATAACGCGCCGTGGACCGGAGCGATTTGCTAACGTGTGACGCTACAGGTCATACGCATGCCCTACGGACAGTGACAGACTGCCTCTCACATCGGGTGTCATGGCAGTTTCCTATTACACCACGGAAACGACCCAGACATACTCAGAGGCGCGCATCGTCCATATCCGCTGGCAGTCCTCGGATCTCTCGCTTTTCGAGACGCCTCCGCTGCCCGGACTCACAGTCAGCAGAACCAGCACTCCGCCCCAGTCTGCAACCGGTCGCTCCGAGACGGAGACATCGACTGCTAATACCACGACAGGGCAGCCGGGCGCTGTCTCATCGACTGCCCCTGCGGTCCCAGGCTCAAGCAGTGCGGCCCTTTCCAGCGGGGCCATCGCGGGGATTGTGACCGGCGTGGGGCTGGCGGCTATCTTGGGTGCTCTGGTCGCCTTCTTCGTCATGCGGACGCGTCTGAAGGCTGCGAGGGCGTCTTCTCGGGTCGCTACTGATTTCCGCTTGGGAGAAACGGCCGAGCTGGAGGATACTACGATGCGAGTAAGCCCGGGGATTACAGCTACTAGGATGACAAACGGCCACACGGAGGGCGGTGCTGTCGAGCTGAGCGGTGAGCCGCAGCCAACCCGGGAGCTCCCTGGGTAACTGGTTTAGAGGCCTGTATAGCTGGGAGAGAACTAGATGCTAGATAGTCGTGATGAACACTTCGATGTCACATTGGAGTGCTAAAGGCTACAGAAGTCTCGTCGTATTTGTACTAGAGCCGGGCTACCAACGGAGGTGGAGGTCGGTTAATAGTATCAATAGACTAGGCACTACCTAAGAAGGTACTCCAGCGGCTTCTGAATGATGGATTATGCAAGGGTATGTGTAGCTTAGCTGCACAAGCTTGAGCGTACTTTCCACATGTCGGAAAGAAGCTTCTTGTGCACCGAGTACAAACACCAATTTTCGCTGTGGAAAAGGGGCGCAATATTGTCCAAGGTTTTTAAGTAGAGAAAGGCAGTTTGCCCAGCGCCTACACAACCACAAGCTTTCGCTGCGCGTCCTCGGACAGGCCTACCACGTGAAAACCATATACACCGTGGCAGCAATTCAACATCAGTTTAGTGAAAGCCTCTAAAGTCACGAGAAAGCCTGACATTATAAGCCCGTTCAAACCACGCCTGGTTCAGTTTATTTTCCAGCATATCTATACCCCAACACTACATCATCCTCATTCTCTTCCTCTGTCTTTCCCCCTTCTTCCTCCTCCTTCTCCTCCAAGATCTCCTCCTGCTGACGCCCAGCCAGATCGCGCCCAACAACAACCTCTTCCCCATTGGGATCAGGATGGAAGTGAAACACATACTCATCCTCCAATGGGAGCAGGTCAGGGCCTTCCAGCATCACAGTATCCGGCGAGAGCTCGGTGTCGCCCTGCCGCATCCCGTCCACGCCGCTACCTGCAATAGCAGGGGATGGCGTACCTCCGTGCGGAGGCCGCTCAGCGAAGGGATCAGCACTCCGCTGAATCGCGGGGCCCTCACTGCCGGTAACAGCAGGCAGAGGCGGCGCAGGCAGTGCGCTCGACGGAGGCGGCAGCCGTCGCTCAGCCAAGATCTTGGCCTGCAGAGAGCGCTTATGGGCACGCTCCATGGCCTCGATCACACCTTCCCAGCCCTTCGGCGGGTCGTGGGAGTGAATGTTCGATTGTACCCATTTGTAGTTGAGCTCTGCCGGTACACCAAACGCCGGGGCACCGCGAATGTGGAGCTCATTCAGGGCATGGATGGCTGCCTTGACATCGGCCAACGCTACCGGATACGGAGCGAAGGAGTCAGAGGAGGCAGCGGACGGAGTGGCCGAGACTCGGATGTTCTTCTCCATCTCGCGCAACAAGGTGGATATGGGGGGCAGGAGCTTCCCCTGTTCTCTCAACGCCTTGCGCACCTCGGTATGAACCTAGGCACTCGACCGGGTCTGGCGTGGGTGGCGGAATGCAGCGGCTAGATCGTCTAGGAACCTGCCGTCCGTCGGATTCTCAACTGGCCATCGGCGATGGTCGTTGGTCCGCAGCTTGGCCGCGTACTGCAGGACGACAGCGAGCAGCGCGGGCGATCCCTGGAAGAAGGGATGGACGACGAGCAGGAGCAGCTGCCTGCAGAAAGTCTTGCCTCAGATGGATCTGGGCATATCAACCCCGCCGATGGTCACGAACGGGTTGCCGCTCGAGTCGTACTCGAGGTTCCGGTCTTCGAACAGCGCAGGTGGCAGGCAGCGCATAAACCGCGGCACAAGACGCCACATGGTCTCCAATTCCGGTTGACGCCTGTGGCCAGCAAGGAATTGGACGTAGGCGTTCGCCTGCTGGTCTAGCTGGGCAGTATCATCTGCCTGCCAGAGCGGGTCGCTCACCAGCTCTGTCACCCTAGCGTATTCCCCTGCATTGAGCTCCTTGGGGAGTCTCTTGGATGAGAGGGAATGACGCTCTCGGATGTTCCTGAGCCACTCCTCGAGCGCTGAGCACACGGCTGAGGGCAGCTCGGGCACGCGCCTTGGGCCCGGGAGACTGGGCAACGTGAATTCGTCATCGTTGCCCGCATCAGCACCGCTCTCCTCAACGACGCTCTCCTCAGCGCCGCTCTCCTCGCTGCCATCCTCGCTGCCATCCTCGCTGCCGCTCTCATCTCTGATCTCGCGGCGGCAACCCGTGGCAACTGGCCTCGCTCTCGCCTGACGACGAGATGTGGTTTCGCGAGCGTGCCTCTGCGCGCGACTCGCAACGCCCTTCCTCCCCTTGCCCTTTTGCTGTGTGCGTGGCATTTTGGGAGGTTTGGTCTGATGAGGATGGTAGAGGTGGGAAGCTTTTTTTTCTTCTTTTCTTTTTTTTTCTCGCGATGGGCTTTCTGCGAGGTTTGGCTACAGGTGGGCAAAGAAAGAAATAAATCGGCTTTCCAAGTTTTGAGAGTCGGTCAAATTCAAGTACAGAATAAGTCGGTCGAATTCACGATAATAATCTGCCGTGTAGATTTGCTTTCATCACATTAGGTACTTGAGATTTTCCCCCATAGAACTCACTTTGTGCCTGCCTACCAACTTCATTTCCAAATCCTAACTTTTCTTTCTCACACTTGCAACTCGAAGTTACAACGCGTTTCTGGGCTGCAACAAACGAAAAAAAGAAAACGAACAAAAGCTCTTGCATCAAAAGGGACAGAAGTCTACACGCGTTTTCTCTGTCTACTCTGGAGCCGACATAAAGATGAACGGATCTTCGAGCTCTGTTGCTACGGGCGGCGCCGGAAACATCGGCGTTGTTGGCAGTGCAGCAGCCGCCGGTGTTGGTGGTGGTGGTGGAGGCGGCGATGACAATCGTGGTCGCCAGTCCCCGGGGTTAGCGGATGGATATTACCGAGCGGAGACTTCTAACGCCAGCTTCGCCGTATTCAACTACGATTATCGTACGCCTCAAAGCCTTCTCCACGCGCAAGCCAATCTCAAGTGTGAATCAGCTGTTTGTACCGGCGGGGTCCGCGACTGCCGCCTAGCACCGACCGTGGCATGACAATAGATGACAGATCATGATGTGGGAGGAAGATACCTACCAGCGCTACGCCGACAGTTACGAATGTCGAGATACGAAATCTTTGGCTCTGGACACCATCGAACCTCCAGAGCTGGCCAGATGCCGTGAGATCCAGGCGGACGCCTCGGCATACCAGTCGCTCCAGTCCTCTCTCCAGGTCATGGGCTCGTTGGTCCTGAGTCGAACGCCACATTGCGTATCACGATATCGTGTTTACCCGACCGAACCAGCTCAACTGCCCGCTCCATAGAACCTGGCCAAAGTGTGGTAGTAAGTGTAAGTATAACCGAGCCTCTCGTATTGTCTACTACCTCTAGAAACATCAGGTGTAGGCTATGACTTTCAACCCCCGACCCAAGCACAGACGCCACAAAACGAATAAACCAAACCCGACCATCAATACCGACCCAAGCAAACTCGACCTAAGCACAGACGCCACAGGGTCAAAAGACCAAACCCAACAATCAATATCCCAACCCAAAAAGCGAAACCGGAGAGACGAGACGAACGAAGAGACGAGACGGAGAAAAGAGTCCAGAGGAGGGAGTTCGAAAAAGCGAGACCGGGAGACCGAGAGCCGGGAGGGACGACGAGCGAGAGAGCGAAAGCGACCGGCGACCGAAACTCACGACCCTGGGGCGCTGGGGTCCGCTTCGTACATCAGAAGCCGGCCCAAGGCAAACCAGTAAAACAACGCCGCAAGGTGGTCCTCGCCCTGGCAAGCCTCCGCATAGGCGGCCTCGATGTCCGCCCGCAATCGCCGGTTGTCGTACCGGTGCTGGGCGGAGTCCAGGGCCCCGAACGTCAGGGTGGCCACGTGCTCCCAGAGGAGCCGGTCCGTCGGGTCGTCGCCGGCGGCACGAACCAGACGTCTGCGCATCTCGGCGCAGAAGACGATGGACCGGGGCGCACCGGCCAACGACGATGATGCGGGGGGTAGGGGGAGCCTCAGGGGCAGCAACGGGGGGCCGCGAAGGGCGGGCGGAGGCGGAAGCGACAGGGCGCGAAGAAGACAAAGCGTCGTTAGCCATTTTGATTTATTTTTTCTTTTGACTTTTCGTCTTTTTTCCTCGAAGTCGAAGTGTGGTGAAGGAGGAAGAAAGAAAAGCAAAGCACTTGGGAGCTGGCCCGGTATTTATTAGGGAGGACAGGCGATGGAACAACCAGGATGTGTTTCTGCTCCCTCTGAGATCGTCTGATGATAGATGCTGAGTGGCGTCAAGCAGCGCTCGTGAGTTCAGACGGATACAGTCTCGACGTTGAATAGGTGGGATGGGTAGGCTATTACGAAGTAGAGCCCGTTCAGGAGAGATACAGACGCAAGTCATGGTGATGTACTATAACCATCCATGTACCTGAGAGTTCGAACTTCGCACACCCAAAATCTCAAGGAGAACCCAGCTATATAAGGCATCACATAAGTAGCATAGACGATTTTTTTTAAAAAAGGCGAGAAACTGAAATATAGGAATTCGTGAGAGGTTTTGCCCTAGCTATCTTGTTTATATTCTTACACGGCTGGTAGAAATGGGCTCTAGGTGTTGCTAATAAGCGTAGCATCGTCCCTCTGCAATTGCGATACAAATACCGGTTTTCTATTTTCAGTCCTGGTGCCCGGGATGTAAACTTCGATTTGGTCGCGGCAACACGACACTTTGTTACGCCGGTCCGTCGTTACGACCATCTAGCGACCAAAAGGGGTAAGTAAACAAAACAAATCCCGGAGGGTTATGTCACGTGCGTACCTTAGACCACCCACCATTACCTGAGGGTATCCACCAACCACTCACCCCCAACCAACGCGAAAATGACCACCCCGCCACACAACAGCTACGCGCCCGGCCACGACGCGTCCCAAGTAAAGCACCACGAATGGCGCACGGCCGAGAATAGCGCGGCCTACCTGCTGCCACACCTCCAGCGCGCCGTGCAGGCCAAGCCCGACTTGCAACTGCTCGACGTCGGCGCAGGGTCCGGCACCATCTCGGCCTCCCTCGCTAAGTACCTCCTGCCCCGCGGTCACGTGCTGGCGACAGACATATCGGACTCGATCCTCGCCCGCGCCAAAGCGCATGCTGAGGCCCAGGGGCTGGGCGCACAGAATATTTCTTTCCAGAAAGCGGACGTGTTCCACCTCCCCTTCGCGGACGGCGCGTTTGACGTCGTGCATGCGCACCAGGTGCTGTGTCATCTGTCCGATCCGGTGGATGCCATCCGTGAGATGCTCCGGGTCACGAGGCCCCGGGGCGGGCTGCTTGCGCTGCGCGAGTCGGACATGCGCATGTGGTGCGTCTGGCCTGAGATTCTGGCCTTGCTGAAGTTTCATGAGGTGATGGTGGGCACGCTCGTGGCGAATGGCGGGCAGGAGAAGGGCGGGAGGCAGTTGGTTAGTTGGGTTTTGCAGGCTGGGAAAGAGGTAGGGGTTAAGCGGGGGGATGTGGAGGTGAGTTTTGGGGCGTGGTGTTATAGCGATGCTGGGGATCGGAGGGCTTGGGGTGGGTGCGTTCTAGTATTCTCTCGCACCTCATGGTCTGAAAACGGTGAGGTGGATAATGCTGACTGATTGTAGGTGAGGCCATGATCGAGAGGCTGCGCACCGGACAGATGCGAGATAAGGCGCTCGAAATGAGCATTGCTACGGAGGAGGAGATTGAGGGGATGATGAGGGGCTGGGAGGAGTGGATTGAGACGGATGATGCCACGCTGGGCATCATGAATGGGGAGGTCGTGGTAAGGAGGCCATAGCCGGCTGGTCTACACTTGGACGAAGTGGCCGTCGTAGCGGTCATGGTGATTTACTGTCGACTGAACTCACCTTCGCTTTCACCCGGACGGACTCCATGGACTTGCAGTATTCATTATGAAATCCTAGAAAGATGCAACGGATGTCGGCAGGGATGATAGCTGTTGAGAACACAGACAATGGTCAGCATTCCGTCATCAGCACCTTATCCAAGCATTGGCATCGAGATTACTGGCCCGTGACCGACCTACGTCGCCACGCATCCGTCCCCTCATAAAAGCACGACACCAGAAGCCGTTGCTCAGGTTGTCGTCGCTCTTTCAGTTCGTAGTCATCGGCAGCTCGCCTACCAAAACACACCTGAATGCACAAAAGCCGATTTTGACAGCACCATGTGTGTCACATCACCGACCGCGGATCCCCATCCAGTAACGACGAACGTGGGCGTCGGGCAGTGCGCAGGAACAGCAGCGGGAGGGGCCGAGATCCGTATGTCTCCAACCGCGTCTTCTACCATCTCTAACAGTAGCAATCTCCATCCATCAACTAATAACACCAACTTCCCCCCGAACAGATGGCCACGCCCCGCATAAGACTCTCGTCCCGGCCGCGATCGCAGCGGCAGCAGAGGGCGGCGACGACCCCACCGCGTCCTTCGACCTGCTCTTTGCCACGGGCAGCGGCGACTACAAGCCGTGCGAGGATATGCAGATGGTGATGCAGGAGTTTGTGGCGGACCCGGAGCGGCGGGGGTCCGTGGCGCATTTACGGGAGGAATAGGGGGACGACCGTGGTAGTCAAGGACTCGCTGAGTATGAATTCATGACAGAGCATTGCACGAGGGAGGAAGCCGGATTAATTAAGCAGAGCAGAGAAGGGCGTCGCACAGGTCCCTCGCTCGGTCTTTCTGAACTCCGGGATAAGTATATACCTGGCCTACCATAGTTATTTTGCACCGACTCCCAAAAAAGAAATACATACACCACCCGAACCGATACAGCCTTCCCCAAGTCTGTATAATACCTGCGCACAACTAACGCAACCATGCCGAGGGGTATTCATAGTGCCTAGTGCCTAAACCTCAGCCCGCGATTCCCTTCCGGCACACCTGTCCGTGAGTGGTATCATACATACACATCCGATAGTAAGCCCAGTAGTAGTAGTACTAGCAATGAGACGACCGCATGTTTCCCGTCCTTATTGTTCCCTCTCACACCTCTGTGTGTCTGGGATCCCCTAATCCGTCTTGCTCTGATTTCCATATTGGTTGTTCTCCATGTCCGCGTCCTGGCCAGTAGCATCTCTGCTAGGGGCACCGCTACCCCCGCCGCCCAAGAACATCTTTTTGAAATCCGCATTGCTCTTGCCCTTCCCGTCCGCTGCCGCGCCATTAACAGCAGTAGCGGTCTCATCAGACCTCCTCACGAAACCAGGGAGTTTTTTCGGCCCCGACCTGGCGCCAGTTCCCGGGCGTTTGATCAGCAAGGGTGGGGGCGGCATCAGCTCAGCCGCACTCGCACCAGACTTGGCACCCTCAGCCTTCTTGCCGTACGTCCCTGCGGGTCCGGGCGGCCCGGGCTTGTCGATGCGGTCGACCCTCTTCTCCCCCTTGGACTTGAACAGCTCAGCCACCGTGCCGGTACGCAACTTCCGCCTCCCCAACCCGCCGCCGACATCCACCTCAACCCCGTCGATGGCCAGCGCAGCCTTGCCCGCGGCAGTAGCGTTGGCAAACTCGAGCACGGCCCCGCCGTGGGTCGGGTGCAGCACCAGCTTCACAACGTCCCTGTCCACGCCGGCCGTGGAGGCGAGGGCGCTGCGCAGCCGGGCGTCGTTCATCGTGTCGGGCACGTTCAGCACGGCGATGCTGCGGGCGGCAATCTCGGCTCGCGAGGGATTCGAGCTCGAGTTGGACTCCGAAGGCGCCGGGGATGATCCGGCCTCGGACGGCGTGGAGGCCCCGTCAGCGGTCCGGATGGTGGCGGTGACTTTGTGCGACGGGGGCCGCGAGAGCTCGACCTTGATCGGGTGGTTGCCGAAGATGAGCTTGTCGAGGGTCCGGATGGCTTCCTGTGCGCCGTCCTTGGTCTCCATCACCACAAACGCCGTGCCGTGGGACACGCCGGCCATGTTGCGCGGCACGCGGACGCTCACGACACGGCCAGCCTTGGCGAAGAGATCGCGCACGTCGTCCTCGGAGGTCCCTCGTGGCAGGTTGAGGACGTGCAGCTCGCGCTCCTCGGCTTGCGCACCGTGGCGCTGCTGGCGGGCCATCGGGTCGGAGAACTTGGCTTGGAGCTTAAACTTGCCGTACTCGAGCGGCTTGCCGTCGAGCTTGGTGGCGGCGGCGGCACCGGCGCGGTCGCGGAAGGTCACGTAGCAGAACCGGCGCTTGGTGTTGTACTTGAGGCTGGGAAAGCGGATGCTGTAGATCTCGCCGCAGTTCTTGAACAGGTCCCGGAGATACTGCTCGTCCGCCTCGGGCGGGTAGTTCGTGACAAAGAGCGTGCAGTCGGTGGCGGCAGCGACCTGGACGACATGGTCGCCGAAATACTTGCCGTCGCGCAGCAGTGCCGATCGGGCGTCGTCCGGCGTGCGAAACTCGACCAGTGCAATCGCCGCATCGTCCCGTTTCTGCAGGTCGATGTTGTTGATGTGCCCGTACTCGCGGAAGAACTGCTTCAGCTTGGTCTGCGTCGCATCTTTGGGCAGGCTGGTCACCCACACCGACGTGTTCTCCCGGTCCCGCTTCAACTCGTCGCTGTGCGTCTCGCTCTTAGCGCGTTTGCTGTTGCCGCTATCGTCGTCGCCCGGTGTCTCCGAGCGCTTTCGCTTCGACCCGGGCGAGGAGTTTGCATCGGGCGCGTCCGGCATGGACTGGTCCACCACGGTCGCCGCCTGTGCCTGAGCCTGCTGAGCCTGCTGAGCCTGCTGAGCCGCCACCTGCGCCGCCTGCGCAGCTTCCCGCTCACGGCGCTTGGCCACGCCCTTGCGGGTTTTGTAGATGGTGTCCTGAGCCTCGCGCAGCGTCTCCGCCAGCTCGTAGTCGTTGCAGTGCTTGAGATAGACCTCCATGAGGCGCTCCGGCCAATCCACGGTGCGGATCTTGAGCGCGCGGGTGAACACCTGCGTGGCAAATGTCGGCACGCGCAAGCCCTGCGTGAGGGTGGCCGGTGTCGGGCTCCGCGTCTTGCTTCTTACCGTGGCGAAGACCATCATCTCCCACAGGTACCAATTAAGCCAGAAGTCGTAGCTGTTCGCGTGCAGATCCACACGGGATAGCTGCTCCCACACGGCGCGCGCACCCTCGATATCGTCCTTCTTCTCCGTCAGAAACTGGATCAAAATCTTCTCAAGCCGGTAGTCGGGGTCACCCTGGTACGCCTCGCCGTACTTGCGCTTGCCCCAGTGCTTAACATCCTCTAGCGCCGACGGCAGGCCGACCTCGGCCACGTCCACAGCCTCCTCGGTCGCATTGGGGTTCATAGCCGAGCGCTTCAGGTAGCTGCACCAGGCCGAGTACATGTCGAGCACGCTGGCCATGCCGTTCTTGTCCAGCTGCGCGCTGTCGGTGGCGGCGTGCTTGATGCGCTCGATGTCGGTGAACGACAGGCCGGCTTCTTCGGCCGTCAGGATGTACCTCGCCCAGAGGACGCCGGACCACGGGATGTGGCGCACGGCGCGCTGGAGCGTGTCGAGCATGTTGGGCACCAAGCGGGCGGGGATAACGGACCGGCCGGCCTTGATGTCTGTGTGACTCGTGGAGATCAGCACGATGAAGTTGAGCCAGGTGTCCTCGTCCGAGGCCAGCACGCCGGTCAGGGCGCGCGAGAACAGGCCGAGGCAGATCTGGTAGTTGACCAGGACGTCCCGCGCGTCCTTTTTTGACTTGACGAGGCGGATCTCGAAATCCATGTACTCGGACATGATCGCGCGCACCGCGCCGGCATCGCGCGCCCGAGCCGCGTGGGCGAGCTTCGTCTCCCACGGGTCGCGCAGGTCGTAGAGCCGCCTCGCGTCCCGCGCGTTCTTCGTCACCTGCTGCATCTCGCTCTCGTAGGCATACCGGTTGTATTCGGACAGGAAGCTCGAGAACATCTGCGACGTGGTCTTCCAGGTCGCGTGGGGCACGGCGAGCCGGTTCTTGAAGAGATGCGTGATCCGACGCACGCCGGCCTCGGTCGCGGTGCGCCGCAGCAGCTCCATCTCGAGCGACACCCAGCGGTTCCACAGCTCATGGCTGTCCGAGAGGCGGTACTGCACAGCCTCGTAGCCGGTCTGCCAGAGGTTGAGGGCCGCATCGAGCGTGAAGGTCTCGCGGCCAATGTGCTGCTCGTCGTGGGGCCAGCCGGCGTCGCTGCCGGGCTGGCAGTCGATGTAGAGCGACCAGAAGTACTCGCAGTACGCCATCCACACCTTGAGGCTGCCGGGCTCGGCGAGCGTGGCGCGTCGGAACGTCTCGACGACGCGCACGCGGGCTTCGAGGTCGGTGGCCTCGCGGAGCTGGTGGTCGACATACTCGACCCAATTGTCCTCCCCCACCGGGTTCGCCATTTTCCCAGCGTCGTATGTCAGTGGCGTCGAGGCATCGGATGTCGACGGCGATGTCGATTGTTGCTTGTGCTGCCGATGTCGGTCGTCGATGTCGAAGTATGCACAAAACTCGCAACGACACAACTAGCGCAGATGGATCGGTAGGAAAGACGTGAGGGTGTCACCTGGTCTGGAACGTGGACTGCAGGTGACGAGAGCTCGGAGCAGCAGCTGCGAAATAGCCGAGTCTGGAACTTTTCGCTTGGCTGGGCGTATGCCTTACCTTACCTAAGGCTGAGCGGGGTGTGCTGCCGCCCACCTTGATCCAGCGTGACCAGAACGCCTGTCGGCCCGCGACGCTTTTTCTAGGTTGCGGGTGGTTGTTGGGCGACCCCGGCCGGGCAACTGCTAGAAATACGAAATCCGTGACCCCGTGAGATTCGGCACGTTAAAACTCCGCTTTATACTGCCGTGTACCAAGCGCAGGCCTTTTAGGTTACCGAAGAAGCAGGAATTTGTCGTATACTCGACGCAAAGCAGCTATCTTGTGTCGACAGGAAGCATTCAGTCTTCCGTCACTATTTCCGGTGGGTGCGCTTGTCATGGATTGTCTCAGGTTCTGATTGCCGCAGCCCTCGTTCTCCGTTCGTCTTTCCTCGCTCGGCCTGTCAATCTTCCAAAACCACCCGTAGAAGGCGCTCTATTGTTGATCAGCGTCGCGCGATTGGGGAAAGAACTGCAGACAGGCGGGCAGGTTGATTACCAAACCTTCGGTGCTGGCTCGATTCCTCTCCTTTCCGTCCCGCCGTGATGTCCTCCCAGGATCTGTCTTTTGGTAGTGGAACCCCGTGCCAGAGGCTTGAGAAATCGCCAAGCCCTGGCTCTGCCGATCCCACTGATCTTCCAACCGTCAGCCAATAGCAGCCGGGGCTCCCTCATTCCCGCAGGACCCTGACCACAGCGCGAAACGACGCTGCCTTGACGGCGTCGCTCGATTTTGACTCAAAATCGCCAGCGCGCACACCCACCTCGGCGCGGAAAATTCTCGCTTGGATCCCATCCCATTCTTCGCCCAAAACAACGACGCCCAACCACGCCTCACCGCGGGTTTGGCCTAGAGGTGACCGATGACGTAGTGGTGCATCCCACGGCAGCGGTGGAATGCCGTCATATCCGATGACTGGCGGGCCTAGGCCCAGCCTCCCCACCTTCGAGAGCGCTTTGGCGAATGTCGCGTCACCTCATCCCGGTGAAGGAAGGTGGATCAGCACGGGATAGCGACTCCTTGTCGCGATTCAGATGCAACGTGACCGACGCACCGCTCATCCCCGTCGCTACAAAACCTACCAGCTTATAGGGTTCACCACAGCAGCTTCGCGCATATAGTTCTGGCCTATGCTAACCCTCCATCTTGAATCTAACTCAACTAGTCGCTCTTTCGCCATCTGTACATTACTGCCGGTGGTGTTCTCAAGTCGCCCGACCTCCACAGCGAAGCCCCTCAAACGAAGCGTCGAACAGCAAACACGTGCGCGACGCTCGGAGGTCCAAGAGGCAGCAAACAAGTGTTTGTTGGCCACGACTCCACAGGTCTTGTTTTCTGTGGTCAACTGCTAAGGCTGAAACATGCAGGGTTGGCTCTTCACGGACATCTGTTGGTAACGGCAACTTGCAGTGTCCGAGTCCGAGTCGTCGCCCTGGCCCATCGCTTTCACATGCATGATAGAGCAAACATGAACACAAGACCCGCGCAGTGAGAAGCAAGAAGCAAGCAATACGGGAGGGACGGAGAAGGGAAAGAGAACCACGGTATGCGGTAGATTTGACAGCCGCTGTTTTGGGCTCGCCGGGCGGTGCATCGGCTGAAGACGAGGGGCCAAAGGAACAATACTGACGACTATCACACGCCCTCAGAAAGATAGTAGAATAAAGCATTGAGTGGTATCTAACAACGCTCCAAGACCGCATCTAGCAATGTAACTGCTACCTTGCTACTATGCCTCCTGATAATTCAATCTTGTCCGGGTACGGCCTCTATATAATCGACCTTTCTACAGTCAATATTCAAACTTATAACTTGGCCGCGTAAAGGTAACGTATCTTATAAGCGAGCCGGCCATATAAGCGAGCCGGCCACTCTCCACTACACTACCAACAATATCCTCAATCACAAAACAACAACACTAGGAACTAACAATAATTACATCAGAAACAGATGAATCAGACCCTTCTGCACCCTCCTGGCAAGTGCGGGCATTATGGCCAGGCTTGCCGCACACACCATAGCACTGAACCTTCGTACGACCCCCCCTAGCACCACTACCATCCAGCTGTATTTCTTACATTGCCTCCCCACCTACAGCCCCCTAGCCTACTACCTCCTGTGCCTCCTGCACAGTAAGTGATCCTCCAAGCCGCATACGTATTTTTTTGGCTCTCTGGCGCTTGTTTAGCGCCTCGTTAGCCTTGCGGAGCGAAGACACCTCTGCCTAAAGGAGGGCCACCTAGTGTATTATAGCCATTGTACCCTTGGTAAGCTAGTCTATAGCAGCTAACATCGAAGTCGGGGAGCTATTTTGATGGTTGGCAATGCGAGTCTTGATAAGCGTTGACTGTGACTCGGCTTCTTAAGGGTTATATGGTGTCTGGAAGACCTAAGATTATATAGTGCCCGGCCGTGAGGTTGGGGGTGTTAGTATATAAAGCTTAATATCTAGCTTCGAAAGCACCTTCTCTAGATTATATGGCATAAGGCCAGCCCCTGTAAAACCGCCCTATATATTCCTCTTAGTGATAGAAGTAAAGAAGGCTATACAAAAGGTACAAAGAAACTCGAGCTTGCTTATATAGTTAATATACGCATGTACTAAGTCCTCGATCTAGCGACCGTACACCTGCTTTAACGGTGTCACGATTTGACCACATGCAGTGACCCGGTGGGGCGGACAAGGGTGTATCCGCAGCCAATCATTGTACACAGGGACATGCAAGAGCGCTCGCAGCGCTGATGAGCATATGTAAGAGCGCCCGCTCACCAGGTGAGCGGACGAGCAGAATCACCTAGGCTCACTGGTGAGCCATGGTGAGCGGACCAAAACCAGCTAGTATAGTCATTCATTCTGGAGGACTCTGGGAGTTCTCCAGTGAGCAATACAAGCAGTAAGGTAGCCCTACATTACTGTGCAGACATTGCGACTTGCATTGTTGTGAACCTTTTGGCTTCACCGAGACCTACAGTCCGACCAGCAGTACCTTCGACCGGCGAACCCTTTCAGAGGCAGGACTGCCTGTGGTTTCGTCACACGTTGCTCACTCCCTTTGACTCTGTCACGGTTCAGATCGAAGGTACCACCGACCATCATGGCGCCCCAGACACCTAGCACCCCGGAATCCCAGAGCCAGGCCGCAACCATGCGACAGATGCAGCAGGCTCTCGAGACTCTCAACGCCAAAATCGCCCAGCTTGAGGCCGAAAACGGCCATATGCAACAGCTCGTCAACGAGGCCTACAACGGCAAGCCCAAGGACAAAGCCAAACTCGAAGCACCCCCCAAGTACGGAGGCGACAAAGAAGGACTCGCTGGATTCCTTACATCCATGAGGGCCTACCTCAAGTACTACCCGGACAAGTTTGCGGACGAATCCGCCAAAGTCATGTTCATCTCCTCGCGGCTCGAGGGGAAGGCACTTCGATGGTTTGAACCCACCCTTAAGGATTGGCTAACCAACAGTGCGGACGCTCAGGACGATTTCACCATTGAAATTTTCAAATCATACGACAAATTTGAACAGGAAATCCAGAAGGTGTTCGGAGACCATGATGAGAAGCTCCACGCGCAGGAGCGACTCGCACGCCTGAGGCAGACAAAGTCGGCGGCTGCCTACGCCATGCAGTTCCGCCAGGATTCACTTCGGTGCGAGATCAATGACGAAGGTCTTATGCAGTTGTTCTACGATGGCTTGAAGGAAGAAGTCAAGGATGAACTGTATCAAAAGGACCGACCCGACACGCTTGACGAATATATCGCCATGGCTATCCGCATTGACGACCGGATTTATGCCAGGCGCCAGCAGCGCAAGGGACGCGGAACGCAGCCTACATTCGTCAAGGCAAACGACAAAAAGAAGCGACAGTACCCCAGCACGTCGCATGGCACCCACGCTGGTCCAATGGACGTGGACGCCACCCAGCGTGAGGATAAAGGACGGAAGGACAAGTCCCAGGCCACCTGTTTCAATTGCGGCAAGAAAGGGCACTTCAAGCGGGAGTGCCGCAGCAAGAAGAACTGGAAGCAGGTGCCCGGCAAGGAAAATGCCACGATCGACAAGTCAACCCGCGTGGTTGAAGTGGCTGCGGCAAGCTACACCGAGGATGACTTCGACGACGCAGTTGACCGAGGCATGGCTGAAGGAAGCATCGATGACTCCTCTCGGTCAGGAAGCAATAGCCCCCACGTTACGTTCGAAGAACCCATCACAGGCTACGACATTGCCGCCGCCGCAGCATCACAACTCGCAGAAGGTTGGGGATTCCAGTTGACCCAGAATGAAGAAGGTCAATGGAGGACACGACAATCGGACAACGAACCCGTTGGCCCGAACCCCATCTTTCTCGCCCAGCGCCTTCAGGAGGCTGAAGAGGAACAAGCCGAGCTTCGAACAATTACCCGAAGACTCGCAGAAGAAAAGGCTCAGGCCATGAGCCAACTAGAATTCGTCAAGGCCAAGTTGGTCAGGGTCCAGGAAGAGCACCACTCGAACTTGTGGGATGGACCAGCACAGGACCTAAGCCAGGGCAGGGGGAATAATGGAATCAAGAACCCCGAGGCTGAATACCAGAAGGCCCAGAACCAGCGAAGACTCAAGGGGCAGGAACCACAAGATTGGGACACTTTTTGGAATAAGAAGCCGTACAACGGCGTCGGGGACAGCAACGCGGTACGCATCTGGATTGGATTCGGCCCGCGCTACGAACCCCACGAACAAGACGCACTTCGACTCCAACCCCAGCGATACGACCA